AGACCAAAATATTACCTACAACTTGATGTGAAATGAGTTTCAGCCAAACCTAATATTAATAAACATTTTTACTAATAACTCATTTCAAACTGTTTTAAACTCAAGTAAAGTTTTCTCTTTCTTATCTCATTAATCATTTCCATCCTAGAGGGGTCTAAAAAATATCATTCCTAAGTAAAGTATCTGAAAACATTGCACTAACCTCTTCAGCTCTTGGAGGCATATCAGTGAGGGCTTCCTGTGCAGAGTCAACTGCAATAAAATCAACAGTCAACAAAAATTAGCCATCATTCATAATCGGTTAGTGCACTCTTTACAACATTATACATTGTACCTAGTTTATTATGCGGCACCACCAATTCAAACAAACCACAAAAAATTTGCAGGGTGAATCACTTTAAAATTAATTTTCAACCTCACACAGCTCATTTCTGTGATGACAAAAATTTTAAGACTGCCAGTAAAGATGACAAGAAGCTTACAGTTTTTCAGCTGGTATTCAATCCCTGCTTTAAGATTGAATGCTTCAATCAAAGCTGTTTCATGTAACACCTGTAATTTGGGCAAAACATTATTAAAAAATGATATTATAATAAAATATGAATTATAATTACAAGATAGTGGGCAAATTGTGTTCAAACAAATTATATCATCAGAGATGCCAACCTCTGGAGATCTCAAATCTGGAGATTTTTTTTTGGACCAGTACCCTCCCCACCCAAAATTTCTTTTTTGATTTGGACCCCCCTCTTAACACCAAATCTTAGAGCTGCTGAAACCATCGCAAATATTTGTCAGAGAGTACTCAGAATTGACCCTTAGATCTTAGGACTGAAATGTTTAATGATCTTGTCTCCAGGCAACTTACTCTCTTATGCCCTTCAAACCAATGCATCAATCTTACCATCTACCCCAGTCTCCCCAAAGAAAAGATACAACCAACCACCCCCTTCCCCAACAAAAAATGATTCTTTTGTCCCAATCTATAACTATCAAAAATACACAAAAAAGTTTTATCATTGTATATAAATTAGATGTAGAATCTAAACATGATTTCACCTTGGTGTTCCCCACACTTCTGACTTCAATACCCTCTGTAGTCATCCCAACACTTAGTTCTGAAATGTTAGATCAGCACAAATACATAAAAAATATTCTAATAAACAAAATGGTCATGATAAGTATGAAACAAGTAAACAATTGGAAATGTCAGCCAAGAGTTCAACTGCCAATTACATAAAGTTCCTATGCAGCAAAAATGTGTTTTAAAGAGATATTGTTTGTTCAACCTGGATGCTCTCTGATTCCACGTTCAATAATGTCAGCAATGTGTTTCAACGCAGGTGCATATTGCTTCAAGCTGTAAAAACATAGGGCTATGTTGTACGACAAATCTGAAAAGAGACAAGTGATAATCACATGAGAGGACAGTATGAATCTTAAATTGTTTGTCAATTAAACAACAGAAGGGTTTCCTGCCCTACAGAGGAAAAACAATGAAAGCAACAGTCTGTTCAACAGTAATAGAGGAGGTCATCGTGGCAATCCTTCAAAGTTCTATTTCGAGTTCAGAAAATAAAGTTTACATTACAAATAAATTAAATTACAACTGTCCTTAAAAACTTGACTAATATCTCCCCCCTAACCCCAAAGCACTAAAATTTGCATTTGATATTTGAAGTCATGAGAGATTTCCTACCTGGTTGATATCCAAGAATATTCATTGCTGTCTGAAACTTTTGGCATGCCTCTGCATACCTTCCCTCCTAAAAAATTTAACAATAGACAGACAAGTAGTGAGGCTCAGCTTTAGGCAAGAGACATTGCCTTAGGAATAGGATTAAAGCTTAGGGTTTGGATGGATGTCAGTACTTTTCACTAGTTATCAAAAGACGCACTGAGCCATGCGTTCATATTTTCAAGCATAAAGTACATTCCAAATATGTCATTACCTTGTAGAGAAGACATCCAAGATTGATTTCAGTGTCAGGATCATCTGCAGCACACTGCTCCACCATACTCTGGAATAAAAATACATGTTCCATGATCATTTTATGACTAAAAATTATTTTCACAAACTATCAGTGATAAATCAATTTTAACCTGCACCTCCTCTAAGAATTATCAATAGACTCAAAGTCATTTTGTGATCTGATTACGATAAGTTTTAGCCTAATATACAATTAGGGTTTGACAGATGTGGATAACTGTCTCTGTTACAAAAAAGTTTGTTATTAATTTAATGCTGCTGTGCTTCACCTTTGCCCCCTGCAGATCCTCTTCTCCATATTTGATAGCTGCCTGGAGCTTCAGTACCTGTAGGGGGAGAAATAATTACCACAAACATGTAAAACACTACTGCAATATAAAAAATAAAGTCATGACAGAATCATATCAAATTTTACTACTACATAGCACCTTTTCAACTTGAAATTGTATAAATTTAGCCACAGTGACAATAGTTACCCCACAAGAACAAAAACATGTTATTCTTGCAGACTTCTAAAGATCTTAAATTTAACTTGGCTCTTTAACCCTTTCACCCTTTAACCCCTAAAAGTGACTAACATCTTACTTCTCCTTACAATATCACCCCTGAATCACACCTTAAGGTCATGAGAATAAAAGAAAATCATCATCAGTTAGAGAAGTTCTTGATTGTTAAACAAATTCATCTTGTCAGTACCACAAAAAAACCTAAAGAGTACTGCATGGAGCATATGCATACTGATCTTAGGGTGTGAAAGGTTACAAGGAGACAATATCAGGTACCTTTGCATGATATGTAGGATTTTCAATTTGAAATGTTGCTTTCATTGCCTCTGGATACATAAATGCTTTATATAATGCCTGCAAAAGAAGTATGAAATTTATTTTTGACAGATAAGTTTCTAGAACTTTTGTGACTGTATAATGATTAAATCAATTATGCTACCCAACAAACTTGGACATATATAACTTCAGTCCACCAAACTTACATCAATTGCTTCAATGTCAGTAACACAAACCTGAGCATAAGCCATTTTGTATTCATCAACCTCTGGATGAATCTGTGTCAGTTGGCCATAGCTATAAACAACAAGATTCAACCTTACTAGTAACTATGACTGCAAAATGAAGACCAGTCAAACATTGTAAAAACATCACAATTAACATCAGTGGTAGGACATAAAAAAAGGCTTATTACTTCAATGAAGTGAGACTTAGACAATACACCCAGGTATTGGAAGAAGTGTAATTCTTTTGAAGGTTTTAAAGACTGTGTCCATGTTTTTAAAGGGTGACAGCAGTTCCATAGATCTAATTAGTGTTACAACAAAAAACTGTTTTATAATCTTTTAAGTACAGTCTTTTGATTGACTATCCCTTCAGGCCTCTTACTGATAGCACTTCAATACTAATGACATCACTTTGGGGAATGAGTAAAATAACATCCACCACAATAACAAAAGAGAAAACTCAATCACTTTATACTTTATTGACCCTGTTATCAATATTGTGCATGAATTCTGTTTCCACCCATTAGCACCTTAGTCTAAAATTGGCATTTAAGAACAGCTGGTGGTTTAAGAAATAGAAGAACTTGGCTGAGTACTCACCAGTCAGCAGCTGCATCAAAGCTTTGAACCTGAAAGTAGCAGTATCCTAGCAGTGAAAGGGCTGCTCTTGACTGAAATTTAATCAAGAGAATGCAATGCATGAATGATAGATCCAATTAAAGTATATGAATAAAACATCATTAAAAGCTTACTGTTTCAGTAACAGAAGTATACCTTTGGATGATTTTCCAGCTCCTGTGACAGAATTTGTATTGCTTCATGGAACTTTTGGTTTTTTATCTGCCACACAAAATATAACAAAATGTAATTGGTGAATAATGATCTCTGTCTTTCAAACAGCTGGGACCCAACAAAATATTGCTGATTGGACAAGTGAAGGTAAACATGACACTTCATCATGGTATCCGGTTAGATCGCTCCATGGTTAGATCGCTCCAAGTCAGATCGCTCCATACCGAAGTCAGATCGCTCTACTCGAAAGTTAGTTCGCTCCATCAAATAAGTTATTTCGCTCCATACATAAGTTACTTCGCTACGATCTAACCATGGAGCGATCTAACCGTAAACCCTTCATCATCTACCAGGTACTGTCTTGTTGTCTGAAATGTCAATAATATCATCTGCAGATATTCATATCAATACTTGAATCCCTAAGGATGAGAAGGAATTTGTGTTGCTGAGACTAACAGGTCATATTTGGTTTATTTTATGGATAATGTTATTTACCCTTTCAAAAGCTATGGTGCAAGTGACTTATGCACTCTATTCAAACGAGTGAAAGAGGCCAGAAGCTAAGACCAGGCCACAGAAGCAATATACAGTAAGTAGCGAGGAAATCCTTACTCCAATTGTTGATCTTTCATGGAAAACTGACGATAATAACCTCCCTCTTAATTACATCCTAACTTCAACAATAGATACATGTAGTATCAGCAAATGTTAAACATTTTCGGCGTTCTGCAGCGGGAGTAGATTGTACATGTATGATCACAGAGAAAAGACTTGAAAGTTGTTGAACATATCAATCTTCTCGGCTTTTTATTAGGACGAATGCATATGATTTGGCGTGGGTTTTTTTTCTCTATTACCAAACTATTATCACAAAGTCCGCTACTCGAAAGAATATGGATTAAGTTGGTTGAATTTTCACTGTTCCCACCAATATTTACAAAATTATGTTTGTTCCCGAGCAACCGCTATAAACAACAGGCCATCATTTCAGTAAGATACATTTCAGGTAAAAACCACTCACCAGCCCATAAATTGTGGTTGTGTATTCTCCCTCTTTTACTTGTACACCCGCCATGATGAAAATCTAGCGTAAAAACGGCATAAAATAAAGAATTTCGGGTCGAACGAGAACAAATATTACCATGAAATATGTTCAAGATCTCGGATCGAAATCTTGTAACTAGACACCAGTACATCGCACAAGAACACGTGGAACGCCTGGTGAAATTTGTCCTTTTATTCTTTAATCACGATAAACTAATCTTATTGTTGGCTCATTGTCACCTCGTCCCTCTTCTAATCGCAACTGAAATAAGATTCGAGCAGGTAATGTATACCTTACATTTTGTGATGTTATCTTTCTCTACTCTGTTTCAAAGGGAGAGATGTTTAAAAGTTTTAGGCACGATAAACCCAGATTTATATTTTTCTTTGAGACTAGTTCGTGACCCGCTTGCAAATGTTATTTACTACTCTCGGGTACAATGCGTACAGGCTTTTTGGTTTTCATGGTTCTGATTGTTGGATGGACCCATAAGTTTTATTTGAAACAAGCTTCTTACTGACTATATCCTTGAGGTTTTTTGTCTTTTTTCCAAAACGTCCAAAAAGGCAATAATTTGAAAGCTTGGCTTGAATTCATGATCTATCAGCTGAAGATTTTGTTTTTGAAAGGCTGCGGTGTTTTACACTCATTGGCTGGCGAACAGATTATTTAACTAAGGGATGTTTACATTTATTCATAGTTGTCATCCGATAAGTGCACATGCAGATATTTTGAGTGTGTGACCATTGCCGAAATTCTATCTCTGAAATGTAACAGTCTGACCTCTTTTGCTTCAAAAGGTCGCGATGGTCGGTTACAATAGAATTTCTTTCATTTTCTTTTAAACAAGAAGTCTGTAAGCCACAAGTTTTCAATAATTAATCATTTCAAATCTGCTTTCAAACCAGGTCTGTGTTATTAACTCAGCAGATAACATAGTGTTAGTTAGATTGGAGTTAAGAATGAAAGAAATATATATTGTACTTGCTTACATCATAATTATGCTTTGAAGTAATTTCATTCTCCACATATGTAGCCATAAAACACGAATTTGGTAAACATTTGGCTTCCAGTTTAGCTGGTAAGCAAACATTCCAGGCATTTGATTTAAAATAATGAAAATAAATTATATGTGTTACTTTTCATTCTGAGGAAAAAAATTATATGCTGTATTGCTTGGTTAAATGAATGAAAACAAAATTATTTCAGTATCAAACTGTTGAATTAAAATTGAATCAAAGTTAAGAAATCAAATAGAATTCAGAATTAAATTAATGAAGTATTTGATTATTTATATCTTTTAGGTTCAAAAATGTATATTTTGTGTAGAATTGTACTAGCTGTGGTGATGTGCCTTCCTATTTCTGGAGTAAAATTGCCATCAGATATGTCCCAAGGTGTGTGCTTAAATTCTTCTCAAATAGATCAATTAAAAGTAAAACAGCTGTCAAATATTATCTCAAAAAGTAACCTCAAGACAAGATATACCATTGAGGTAAACAGCCAATAATTTTATTGGAAAACCCATCAAAAGTTCCATGAATCATCTATAGGTCTTGTATGTTTATATTTATTTAATACATGTCACTTTTGAGCTTTACTTTCACGTGATTAAACAACCCAGATCAAAGTAAATGTTGATTTTTCATTGTCATTAATTTTTTTTTCAGGAATTTTTTGTGAGGGCTGTAGTGCAGTTATGAAAGGTACATTTTTAGCCTAATTTGGTCCTTTACAATAACAGGAGTCCTTTATCTTGGAAAAAGAATGACCTGCTAGCCTCCCTACTGCCACCATTTCTTTCAGTTACAACAGTTACATTGGCAAACATCAAAAAATAGTAATGATCTCTATTTTGTGTTTAAGAACTAGACAAGTTATTGGAAAAAAAGAGTTCAGATCCCAGAGAGCTGCAGGTGGTAGAAGCAATGGAAGACATTTGCCAAACAAAGTATTTTTCAAAATATGATTATTCACCACCAACTACAGTCAAAGCCTGCAGATTTTTAATAGGTAAGTTATTGATTAATTAAAAGTTATAGCCTTGAACTTTGAACAGAATAAAACATACAATGTCAACATTGTGCAATTCAGCTATCCTTTGGCTCAGTTTTTTGAGAGCTAATACTGTAATAAAAAAGGTAGAGAGGGAATTGATGTTTGGGGTTGGAAGTGAAAAGGTTAAAGTTTTGTTCAATGGTAATTTTTTTTTTTTTTCACAGAGAAATATGAAGAGGACATAGAACAGTTGTTGATGGACAAGGTTGATAACACAGAACAAGAGGTTTGTTACAAGCTGACCAAAGCATGTGAAGGTGTGGATAGAAGTAAAAAGGAGAAAGAACCACTTGATTACCGTTTCAACAATCAGCCACAGCAAGTGAAGACTGAATCAGCCTCAAAAGATGATGATGGTATTCATCGCATGAATGTGGATATTAATGATCCTGGAGCTGCAGAGAGGCTGGCAGAGCAGATTAAATCACAACTGGGACAGCAGGGGATGGGAGGAGGCACGGGAGATGATGATGATGATGATGAGGAAGAAGAAGAAGAAGAGGAAGGAGGAGATAATGAAGATAAAGAAAATGGAGGAGCTGAAGAAGAGAATGATAAAAAATCTTTTGAAGTGAAAACTGAATTATAGTTGAACACAAAAAAATAGTCTACCCAGCAAATTAATATATATATGTTTACTTCTAGACAGGAATTTTTAATGGCTTGATGCTAAGCAGTAGAGGTAATTTTCTTTTGAAATGACATCCACCTTGAGTACTACACTTTTCACAAGCTTACAAGGTAAAGGCAAGTTTCACTTTGCACAAAATCTTGCATCAACTTGATAAGGTAAGAGAAATACAAAGGCAACATTCCATTATCATGTCATAGATCCATGTCTATTTTCTGATTGGTTTGTGCCTAGCCTTGATATGTTCTTTGGGTGCAGCAACCAATTAGAGGCCTATATAGAAATGTGTCAATGCATAGACACAAATGCGGGAAGGAGAAATGTCTCTTAGGTTCAAATTTTAAAAATATTTATCAAGCTCCATACTGAGGCTTGATTACCTTAATTTCTTACTAGTTGAATTTTATGATATTGAAATTAAAATCTGAACACAAAATAAATGTTTAATTCCTAATAAGACTACTACATCATTTTCATTCACCTCTTCGGATTCTGTCCACATCGTATGGGTGGAAAAATAACTAACAAACGAGGCTCGCATATCAAGGAGGCTTATGACGTAGTGGGAGACATGTCAACGCGTTCTACTTTGGCACGAATGACACGGATCCTGCGCCTCAATCGGCCTTACAAGTGCCTGAAGCTGGGAGGAGAGCTACACTTGGAAATGGGAAAAATTTCGGTGATTTTCTTGGTTTCCTCGGCCCTGCGCAGTCTTGGGAGCTGTGCCCTTAATGATTTTCTATGTATCTGGAGGAGCGTTGGTGAAGAGGAGAGGAGTCAAGTATCCCAAAAACCCACCAAATTTCTCGCAACATCACGAGAAAACTGAAGGAGAGTGATTTTTATTCGTCTGAGTATTAATGAGGCGGATTCAGGGGATCAAAGTTTACATATCTTAGTATCTATGAGTTATTTTCTGAGATCGATTATTCCAAATTTCAGCAAAGAATTCAATGAATGTATCAAATAACTAACGCTACGCGGCATCTGACCTGTAGGGTGATCTGAGTAAGGCATTTCCTTCCGGAGTGTCACTTCGTCCAGCTCTCAAATTGCACATGAAATAGTTTTCAGTCAGGTAAAGTATACTTAATATATTGTGCTAGTGTTCTTACTATTTTCATTTCCAAATGGAAATAGGTTGAGTTTGAGGCCAGTTAGCGTCAACCTTCATCATTTTCCTTGCGACTAGGTTTATTTATTGTCCTACTAGCTGATTTTTTAAGCTCTCGCGGTCAATTTCAGTGCTCACTGGCTTTCCAATGGTCATCTTTCCGCTAATCGCTAGATGGACCCTTACTTAAATAAGGTGGTAGTGTTCATTATACCCTTATTTTGTTAAGCACTTTTTTTTGTCCTAATCTTGCTAAAGATCAATAATTAAAAGCTTGGCTTGAATTTACGATTATCAGCTAAAGAATTTGTTTTTAAATTGCCGCGTTGGTTTGGAGGCTGCGTTGTTCGATACCCATTGGCTGACGGGCTGGAAGATGATTAACTCAGGTGAAAGTCAAACATAAATTAGATAAATATGCACGAGCATAGATTTTGAGAGTGTGACAACTATCAATGAAATCACTTTTGACCCTTGACGTAAAATAATTTCTGATGGTCGGTTACTATTTTCTTTTATCACTTAAGTCTGTAAGCCACAAGTTTTCAATAACACTACTGTTGTAAATTCAACCTTGCTTACATACCTCTCCAGAAAAAGTTCAGTTAACAAAACATTAGCTTGATGAGAGTTTTGGACGAAAATTATGTTACATTCGTTTACATCATATATTTCTGAGCTATTTCAATTTCCTCACATTTAGCCATAAAGAGAGGGGTTGGGGAACTTTTGCCTTATAGTTTAAGTGGTATGCAAATATTCCAGGCATTTAAATTCTAAATTAAATTAAATTTTAATTTTATATTTTCTTCATTTTTTTTGTTTCATCTATCTTTGCCCTTTTTTTGTAACAGCAAATTTTTTAGGTCTAACAATATTTTATGTTAATAGTTTATTTTCTTGAGTCAGGATAAAAACAAGTAAATCTGAAACATTTTAATACTTGCATAAATTCAAAAAAAAATTGAGTAGTTGAATCAAAAGGTACAACCCAAATACAATTCAAAATCTGGTCAGGAAATCAGAACATTTATGAAACTTATTGAATGGCATGTGTCATCATAGCATCATTGACACCTTGTGTTTCTGTATGTTTTTTTTTAGGTTCAAAAATGTTCATTCTATGTAGAATTACTTTGGCTGTAGTGCTATGCCTTCCTATATCTGGATTAATATTGCCTCCAAATATATCTCAAGGTTTGTGCTTTAATCAAATTTGTCTATGAGGATCAAAAAAGCTGACAAAATAACACACAAACTGGCTACCTTTTTTTAATTTTCTTTTTTTTTTTTGCTGTAGAAGTGGTTTTTCCCTCCTCTCTCCCTTTCTCTCTCTCTCTGGCTGTATTTTTCATTTTTTTGTTTATCTTTTTCATAGGTTTGTCTTTGACACTAACCCTTACTCCAAGCTCTCCATGTTCATCAATTACTTTTTAGAGGCTTCTGAGACAATCAAAAAAATAAAAATCTCTGTAGATCATTTGCAGCTTTTGCATGCTAATATTGTTTCATTCCATTTGAAAATTTATCACTTTTTGATTAAATTCCCTCCGGAGTAAGAAGGTAGAAAATTCTAAACTAACATCACCTAAAAATACATATCTTGAAAAAGCTGTTCACCCAAAATTCACACTCGACCATACCAAGGTTACAATTAATTAGTTACTTTAGATCAAGTTCTTATTTTGAGTTTTTTGTGTAATTAACCTCTTTCATGTCAGGAGTTTATTGTGAGACCTGTAGTGCTGTTATGAAAGGTAAATTTTTAGTACAATTTCTTTTTTATTTACTGCTGTGAGCTCTGTATGTTTCTTAAACTTTTTAATCTGTTACTATTAATCAATATTCAATAAATATTGACCAAATTTGGCCATAGGGAAAAATCAGTCAAGTTATTAAGGAATCAGATTTCAGATGTAGAATGCTGCCAAGTAATGTGCACCAGATAATTATGTAAGATGACTGATTTTTTCTCCATTACTAAGAGATGGCTCATATGCCTCAAGAAGCTAGCTTTTCCATGATTGAAAATTTTTATTGATATTTTAATGTACAGGGATCAATAAACAAGACTTTTCACTCTACATTTAATGCAATTTACTAAAACGTGTACAGTTTACAACATCTACCAAATTAAACTGAATTTTTTATATTATATTATATTTCATATGAGTCTACAACAAATTTAATATTAAAAAATTGAATTGAAAAGTATTACATGTATTTGAGTAATAGGAGGCCTTTATTTTGGAAAAAGAAGTAGATGCTAGCCCTCTCCCTTCCTCTATAAATTTTTATTCAGAGGTAACATGAGTAAAAACAAAAATGACAATGTTCTTTACTTTGTGTTCCAGAGCTAGACAAGTTTTTGGCAAAAAAGAGCTCAGATCCCAGAGAGCTGCAGGTGGTAGAAGCAATAGAGGATGTTTGTAGATCAAAACATTTGAAAAAGTATGGATATTCGCCAATAACTCTTGTCAACGCCTGTAAATTTTTCATGGGTAAGTCATTAATGAATTAGAAGTTACAACTTTGAGCTTTAACTGAGCAAAATTTCCAAACAACAGTTGTGAAATTTTGCGTGCAAAAGCTTCAACCCTAACCTTTGATCCAGAGTTCAACACATTGACTGTTAGACTACTGCTTCCCTCCATCCCACTGCAGGCTCAGAATTTCATCAATACTACTATTTAACACTTTCACTATCGGGAGTAATTAATGCATCAATGGCAAGCATTAAAGTGATGAGAAGGAAGTATGATATTGAACTAGTTGGGAATTTTTTTAACACAAAATTGTCAGAGAAAAATAATAGAAAATGCATGGAAGACAGTTAAGAGAATTGATATGTAGATTTGAAAGGGTGAAATTTTACAAAGGCAAACTTCATATTTTACACAGAGAAACATGAAGAGGATATAGAACAACTGTACCTAAAAGGGGTTGATAAGGTCAACACAGAAAAAGAAGTTTGTTACAAGTTGAGCAAGATATGTGATGGTGTGGACAGAAGTAAAAAAGCGAAAGATCCCCTTCAGAAACGCTCCAAGCACGACAAAGCGAAGTTGGTGGAACAGATTAAATTACAAGAGCGACAGCGTGCGATGGGAGGCGGCACGAGAGATAAAAAGGTTGTCTACAAAGAGAAAACTGATTTATAGTTAAAACTAATGAAATCAATATACCCAGCAAGTTGAGATATTTCTTTGTAGGCAGGAATTTTCTTGGTTTTTTGCCGAGTAATGCAGTCGACATTACCTTTTGAAATCACTGTAATGACGTGAAAAATGTTATAAATTACAGCAATGCGGTGCACAAGATTGATGGCTTACGCAGCGTTTTGCGGCAACTTGCAACACGTTTGATAAATGTACACGAAGGAACGCGAGTACCTACATGATATACACACATGCAACGTGAAACGCAAACTTGACTGAGCAAGAGCATTTCCTCCTAGCTTTCTCAGCTGATGTTCCATCATGACGACGAAAGTACAAATACATTTTCTAAGTGGTGATGCTCAGCTGAGAAATATCTTGCGTGCACCGCAACCAGTAAGAGACCTTTTCCGGAGTTGTGTCATTGTGTCATAGTTTTCTTGTAAATGCGGGAGCGGGGAGAATTGGCTCTTAGCTGTAAATTTTATGGAAACTTAACAAGCTTCATAAATTCTCCTTTAACTATATTTTTTAAAAAAATTAATTCCTTAAAAGAGAACTATTAACGGCAATTATTTTACGTAGTCAACGATCAGTACCTTCTTTCCCAGTATGGTTAGGCCTGATTATAGGCCGTAAATTATTCCGATACTTTATCCCTTCTGAGTTAATTATGCCTTTACCTTCAGCAGACAATAACTAAATTAAATACTATGCTTTTTGTCATTTTCTGTGAGAATTTCTTCTTTATTCCAGCGCAGTTTGCATTTTAAGGGAAGCGACTTAAACGAGTAAAACCAGTTTAGTTTCACTTTTTTCAAATTTTACGCTCAGTTGAGAAAATTGCCTTTTAAAAGTATTATCCAAAAGATCAAGAGCTATTTTCTTTACATTTTCTCCCTCTTTGGTGCGCAACCATACGAGTTTTCTTGGCCTCAGTTTGCTCGAGAAAACGCAAAAAGTTTATTTAAAAATCCGCCTTATCTGTAAAGATCTAGAAATAATTTACACTTCGCGGAAGTAACTAACCCTGCTCAGAGGTTGTAAGAATGATTTTGATAAACTGACTGATTTGATCGTCGGAAATTAGTGAGATATTCCTAGGTGGAGAAGGTAATGGAGGTAATTTGCCATAACCATTTCATGGTAGATTCAACATGATTACGACTTAACCGAACACGAACCTAAAACGTGTAAGCAAAAAAGTTATGACGATTGGATCCATCTGTTTCTCAGATTTCCTAAAAATTCATGACCTGTAAGAGATTGTGTTCGTTAATGTTTTTATTACACACCAACTTAAAGGAAACAAGCGTATTTTGAGATGAAAATTTTGTTTGACTTGGGAAAAGATTCAAGGTGGCTCAACAATGATATGTTCTTTAACTCCAAGAATGTAAAAATGGCGATTTCCACATGGTGCACGTAAACTTAAAGTCTTGTCCAAACCCAAGACGAGCGTCAGCTGAAAAAACGGGCTGTTTTGTCTACGTTTTAGTCATAACTGACCACTCGTTAGCTAACGGCTCCGATCTTAGCAAAGGCGTAAATTTAAAGGGGATACATGTTGCCTAATTTTCGCTGCTTTGTTACTTAAAGTTATATTTGTATAAATCTACAATCCAGCAATTCTTGATTATTTCTGCCGGAACCGACCTGGACGTCTTAAGGTCCAGACAATAATGCTTCTTACAATTACTTTCTTTTCTTAAATGGCAGTAAAACCACATCTGTCTTTTGTTATTATAATGTAAGAAAAAAATAGCCCTGATTCAGTGAAGTTTATTCGTAAAGTAACTCCCACCTGCTAACTGAAATAGTTGTGAAATTGAAATGCAAACCTGAATAGGTTGGATTTGTGAATTGTTGATCAGGTTGTTTCGGAATAAGAATTACTACAAATACTCTAACTAATATTCATTTCAAGTTATCAGGAGTACTAGATCTTTTTACTTTCAACGTTGAGTAGACATCAACCATGTTTTCTCACATCCGACGGGATGTCCACTGTTTACATGAAGGACAGAAACAATTTCAAATTCATAATTCAATGAAGTTATGTAAAACAAACAACAGCTGAGGGCAGAAAAACAGGCATATGTATCATATATTCGATTATGTCAAGGATGGATACAGGAACATTAATTACTCCTCGTCGAAAATGGTCATCACACAAATAGATCTCTTTCTCAAATCATCAGTAATGTTAAAGTCCATGCAAAAGATGCATGACCAGTGTTACCGAATGTCCACCCTGAGCTTAATTTAAAACTCCTCCATGACAACAATGCAATAGCTGGCTAAAAATTCGTTAATTTGAGACTGAAAAACTTCTATCCTCTCTTCTGGCGATTCACCCGTTTTTTCCGTTTGTTAAAGTATGGTACATTTCTGTTTTTCCGCGAATGGATTTTCCCGTCTTTCTGGTGGATGAATAAGGGGATCTTTTGTGCCATTTTGTGTACAATACTCCTTTAACCTGAAAGGAATAATTAAAAAAGAAGTGTCAATCACTAAAAGGATTGTAAAGTTTACCCGTTCTGAAGAAAAGCGCGTGAAGGATTCATGTTATCGCGATTTGAACGTGTCGATGAGAAGCGCTCGGTGAAAATGAAGGTCTCTTCGAGGGGTTTTCTTCTCAATTAGAGCGATATATTTTTCAGCTGTCCTCCTCAAGGATTTTAGTTAAGAAGAGTTTCAAGGCAAAACGCGATTTTCATAAACACAAAGTAAATTCAACCTGTCTCTTGAAAGGCTTTGTTAACGCAGGTTGCAGCAAGGTTTCACTCCTAGTTCGGCTTGTGGTATCCCTGACTTAAAAAAAGGGCACATGTTCATGTAACCACACGGAGAAATTAAAAAAATAGTCGGAAAATTCAACTGTTTTCTTGGGAATGACACAGACAGTTTTGATTTAATCTCTGAACACTGATTTCGGTGATTCAGCCGTAGTAAAGATTAAGCATTTCGCTATGTTAAAGCCGTCGAAAAAAACCGCCCATAAACCGATTTCTTCTATGAAAATACACTATTTAGCCAAATACATTCGCTGCATGAAACTTTGTGGATATTTAAATCGCAAAAAATAACTTACTGGCACAATTCTTTAGCGAAAATTTAAAAGGAAAACGATAAACTGCGTACGTAGACCGTCTCCCAAATTAATATTCGCTTCATGATATAAACTTGTGATTTACAAATTTAAATGACAAGATCATGGTTTACTTACTCGTTGCTGCATATAGAAACCGGCAAACGCGAAATTCTCAGCTGGTCTCTCAAGCTTTCCACGGTTTTCAACATCTGTGTTCTGTCCATGGTTCGCCAGAAATTGAATTTTCAAGCTTTCTGAAGCTCGTCTTTCGCTTCAGCTTTCGATCTTCTTACACGGTCGCTCTCTATTATGCCTGATGTTCGTGCAAAGGTTTTAAATTCGGAGCTGTTTCATTGGACAGCACAGACAAAGTCAACGCAAGTGAGCAATTAACATGAAAAATGAACCAATCAGAGAGCGGATCAACGACAAACGAATAGTAATCGATAGCTACAGGTGTAAAGGTTTTCTGCTGCAGTAAATCGTAAGCTGAATGCACCCTCTGATAAATGTCTATAGATATGATTCGATTCGCTTACGACAATTCCTCAAAACTCTATGTGACATTTAATTTTTTTGGACTGAAATTACAGCAATGACCATTTTAAATTATATAGGAAAAAACAATTTCAGGCCTCCTAGTCAATATGTTTATTTATTCAGTGTATCTGCATCTATTATATAAAAATTTTGGAAGCTAGTCTGGCCTTCAAAATGCTTCCGGAATATTTTGTAGCGGTGCCAACGATCTAGATGAGTTTCATCCTTAAATGCTTGAAAACCATATGCATTTCCATACCTTTTTGGCATGCCGTACACGAACAATTTTCAAAATATTTTTCTTTGCAGTTTGGCAGAATCTGCGGCTAACGACATCATTTTTTATAGAATTAATAAAGATGTATACCATGCTCCCAATCTACGTAAACAATTTGAAGATGTAAAAAGCGATCTGATTTGCTTCTGCGTTAGTTTATGAATGGCAAATACCGGTTTTTCTTATAGAAGAAGCCTTTAAAATGCTTGTGATTTATACTTCGCAATTTGATTTTTCTTCCGTTGCTGGTAATCCAGTTATTTCTTTCCTTCATCGGTGATATTCCAACGTTATTTTACAATCCATTGACAGCTCCCAAGGTAGCAAAGAATTTTTAATAACAACAATAATGACAAATATATGAAGCAAAGGCAAGAGTGATGAAAAGTTGCAGGAATGTCTTATTTGCTTTCATTTTCAGCTTTGTTTACATATTTCATCTTCGAGACCGCTCGAGAGATTATTGATAATTTAAGGGACAGTTACAACGCTTATCTAACGGAAATAAAACATCACAGCGACAGCGTCATTATTTTCTTATTACTATTTAATTGGATTACATTTTTTATTTCACAATTGTAGTGGAATAATCGGTGGAAACTCTGAGGCATTTCCCTGGAAAATTGTTCAATTTTACTGGAAATGAAAGGGATTTTGAGCGAGGACTTTCTTCTTTCGATTGTTTTCATTTTCCCTTCCATCAACGGATTGTTCTACTCTTTCAAGCAGGTGTATTGCATTGAAGTTTTTTGAAAAAACAAAAGCGTTACATGTAATCTAATCGTAATTTAGGTCAAAACATTAGTCGTTTGTGGTTCGATCATTAAAAAACGGAAATTGAAATTCCTTGCATCGTTAAAAATAGATCAGTTTAAGATTAGTATATGTATGTGCAGGTTTATTATTGATCGCTTCGTCAGAAGACCTTTTCTCATCCAAAAAAACGTTGTTAGGATAATAAAAAACGAAGGTGAGAGGAAATGAGGAATAACCCAGTTATCATATGTAAATTTTACTCTCGTCCAAAGTTGGAGCAGTGATCATCGGTAGGAACGATGGGCTCCTGACATCGGCTGTGATGCAATTTTTCAGGCCCCAGTTCTATGTTGTCTTTTCTGTTGAAATCTAAGAAATGTGTCTCTCGTTATTTCTGCGCAAGGGTACGGCAAATAAAGAATCCTTCAGAGCATGTTCCCCTTTCTCCTTTGTCAAGGGAAAGTGATAATTCATAGGCCTTTATATTTCAACCGAATCCCTTGCTCCAGCTCCTCCTATTACTTACCACTGTCAACGTGAGAACACGCGTGTCAAGAGCTAATAACGGCTTTCTGAAACTTTCATTTTATGATCTTGTTTCGTTTAATGTTTGCTATGTTGTTGCTTAAGTTCGGGTTTCCTTTTTTACCCCACTCATATACAGCTGCAGTCGATGACAACAATTAACTCTTGCTGCGGAGTTCTTTCTTATGGATATATTTCCCCTCACTCCCCGATATGAAATCATCTCGCTGAGAATCATGGAGCGAAGTGTCTAAATTTAAGTTGAAACGAAGTTAAACAAGGTTTGCCTTAGGGAATAGAATGTTCTATTGCTAAATTCTGAACTGGAATTTTCTCCAAACAAATTTTTCAAGTATTATTTCGGTCATAAAACTACCTTCTTCCCAGATTCCTCACGTCATGGGTTATTCTGAAATGAGACCAACGTGATCTTTACTTCCGGTATGCCCAGTCCTTAAGACGAAGAACAACTCAGTACCGCGGTAACCTTCTTCCGCCAAGACATTACAGTGAACCATGGACAGAACTGGAAAACAATATCAGAGACCTAAAAAATCGTGACTCTGGTAATGCTCCCTCCATAAAACCGAAAAATATGCTGATTATTGCTAACACGATTCATAAGGGCTTGACCGTGACGATTAAATCTAAATAAGGAAAGACGAATCAAGGCTTTCGATAACGATTTGATCTGGAGTAGTGCTTATCGTTTTCTGAACAACTTCAGGCTGTCCTTTAATCAAAATAAACAAAACCTTTTGTTCTGAGTATCAATATTTTGACTTAATGAACAAGAAAAAAATATGTGGAGGAATAAAATTAAAGGGCTCGTTGCCTTTTTTATGTGAAAACGCGTTTCTCAAGTAGATTTTTTTGAATTATTTATCACTAACAGAGGACTTAAAAAAAGGAGTTTGGTTCAACGAATAAAAAAAACTTCATGTTTAACGCATAAATCCTTTGTCATCTCGGTTTCTCACTAAAACAGCACGAGAGCCTGTTGTTTAATTAATATTTTCCTAACTCTATTCATGATCGGGTGAAAAAGAGCAGGGTAAAACAGCTGTGTTTAAACTTCATTTAAAACGAAAACTGATCGAGTGCATTTCTGATGAGAGGGCCTGTCATGTACTTATGAATTTTTAAGTTTTAGAATTAGTTTCTTATTACATAGAATTCACCGGTTAAACAATTACAGAAACTAAGACCTCTTCGCCCGCGTGAATATACACTTATAATGTGTTAGTTGTTGTGGGGTGGGAAATTCATCATACTATTTTCCCTTGCAATCCGACGTAAGATAAAGAAAATATACAGATATGTGAAATAAGGTTGCTTCCGATTCTGTTACTAGTTGGTGCATCGCTTAGGTTACCATGAATTTCACAAGAATTCTTTTGTTCATTAGCAATTTTGGTCCTGACGATTTTTTTGTCCACAACTTACGTGTGAATTCAGCTGGTATCAACCAAATTAAGTAAATTTCTTCTCCACTTTGCCACAGACGTGTCACTATTCAATTCGATTTAACTTCCGTGACTGCAGTTTGCGGGCTCTATCCTCTCAGCCAATCACAGCAAGACACGACGGGTATGTAAAGTTATTTCCGGTTTGAGGTTCCACGTATTTTCCCTCTTTACTCCAAGTTCTAGAAATTGAACAGTCGTACGATTGGGTGACCACGAGAATCTTTCCACGATGAAGTTTTATCTAACATTTTTCCTCAGTTTTGTGGCTCTTTCATTTGGAGCAGACATCGAAGAAGAAGAAAATGTCTTAGTCTTGACCGAAGCTGTTTTTGATCAAGCTATAAGCGACAATGAGCATATTCTTGTTGAATTTTGTAAGTTAGCGTACATGTTGTGAGCGAGAGTTTGTTATATGGTCACTTTACAAACACGATAAGATCACAAGTTTATCTCATGCGTATTTTTTTCGTTTTAGATGCACCGTGGTGTGGACATTGCAAAGCTCTTGCCCCTGAATATGCCAAAGCAGCGACGAAACTCAAGGAAGAACGGTCGGCCATCAAGCTTGCTAAAGTTGACGCCACTAAAGAAACTAAACTCGGTGAAAAGTACCAAGTCCAGGGATATCCAACCCTCAAGTTCTTTAGATCGGGAAAACCGGTGGAGTATTCTGGTTAGTTTGAAGTGAAGCCAATGTTTTCAAGCCGTAATTCGCGAACGAAACGCGCAGACTTGTACTACTACACGTGCAACCATGTTATTAACAGACTTCTAAAATATTTATTGCTAATTTCCATGTTTTTCTTGAAAATGTAAGTATTTTGATTTAGGTCGTTGGCAGCGAAAATCAATTTTCATTGTAATTAGTCATTTCATAACATTTATCACTTGCTCTTTTTTTTTTTCATTGGGTTTCCGGCCTCTACGAAAATGTTCGTAAATCTTTTGTTGTCTCCGAAAATACTGGAAATACAAAAGGTTCTTGTCTTAGCTGAACAAACTCGGTGTTCGTTGCAAAAATTTTTCTGTGAAAATGATCTTACTTGTTACATTCTTTGTTCAACTTACGAGGCCTGTAATATCAAATTAGCGTGAAGTACAGAAACAATGAAAATTGTGTTTATTAGAGGTTGAAAATTCGGCCTAATTTTTTAGCTTTTCGTCTAGAACTATACAGTAATTATCTACTTTTTCAACTAAACACATTTCAGTAGCGAGAGCAGTTTAAGTCTTACTCGTCTTCTAGAACAGGAAAAATTGTAAAGTAGCAGCTGACATCAAACATAAGTTTCACTTTAGATGAGTAATATGAGATGATAGTTTACATGATGGGCCATCCTCGCTAAGTGATGATTCATCATTGCCAAATTTTTACACTAGTCCATCTATCCTTTGTTCCTTTTTTTTTTTGAAAAAGATTAATGTAAATTAGATTCATCCTTTGATCTTTTTTTTTTTGGACCAATGAGAATTAACCAACTCAACACTTCTATCAGTTGAAAAGTCTCTTCAAAATGTGTTCCTGGCTAGAAAGAAAAACTTGCCCACATAAACTTGATTTGGTTATGTTTTGAGCTTTTGTCTGTAATATTAAGATCCAAAGTATTGTTTAGGAGAACATTTTGTAGACATAATTCCAATATTTGGATCTCCTTTCAACAGGTGGCCGCACAGAATCTGAAATCATCACTTGGTTGAAAAAGAAAACAGGACCCCCAGCAGTAGAACTAACAACAGCAGATGAAGTCAAGGAATTTAAAGAAAAGAGTGATGTTGTTGTTGTTGGTTTTTACGCTGACAAGGAATCTGATGCTGCTAAGGCTTTCGTTGGGGCTGCCCAGGGTATGGATGACGTTCAGTTCGGAATCGTACACGACGCAGATATTGCTAAAGAACACAATGTTGCAGAAAATGTGGTTCTCTTTAAGAAGGTAAAGCTTAGCAATGCGTTTTTATCTAAAAAAATATATATATACTTAGACTCCTCTGCTGCCCACCTCCAGCTGTAATATTATAAATCAAGGGCTTGTTCAGCTGGATTTTTGAGTCTTCATGTGAAATATTGAGAGACCTAAATGAAGTGGTTTTGTTATGATGTTCTGTGGTGATGATAGTGTAGGATAAATGGCCTTCCCATCTGGGAAGAAAAGCTACACATTTGATTGTGTAATACTAAAGAAACCAGAATATTCTTGTTTACCACTGGACAACGTATATGCATAGGTATTACTTAGTGTTGGAATTGAAATTTTGAAGGGTGCTTCTCAAGCTAAACATTCAAAGAATTTTAAATACTTTGGAATTCCTTCAAAGGTTTAGTCATGCAGGAATTTGATGGGGCTTTGTTGAGGTCCAAATGCACAATGAGTCCAAGTTTAATTTCAGTCTAATCTGAGAACCAATCAATGATAATTTCTGTTAAATTGTTATTCAGTTGCTTTGTGGGAATCTTCTCTGAGTCAGTGTTTTTTGTTCTTGTGTTAGTTTGATGAAGGACGTGCTGACTATGATGGAGAACACAAATCTGAAGATATCATCAAGTTTGTCAAAGGAAACCAACTGCCTCTTGTGACAGAATTCAATGATGAGGTAAGATCTTAAACCATGATATGTTTGTGTCTATAAACTCCCCTTGATAAGCCTTCTGTTGCCATCACTTCTGGGTTTTAATATGATAGAGCAGTAAAACATTAAAAAAGTTAGATCTGGACTCCATAGGGCCTTTTTTGATGAAGAAATGTTCATTTCAGACTTAGGGTACCCATAAGATATGTGAAGTAACTATACATTGAAATATTAAATTGTGGCTGTATTGTCAAAATTGTTCATAAAACTGGGGAGATCTTATACAAACAGAGGAAGTCATTTGAGTTAAACCTTGTGGCTAGTCATTCCCAACTATTACAAGGCACCCTTAGCTGTTATGGCTATGAAAGTAGAACTAACACAATTTTATCTTCTTCTAGAATGCACCAAAGATCTTTGGAGGAGATATTAAGAAGCATGTTCTGCTCTTTGCAAGCAAAGAGGCTGAAGATTTCCAGGCCATCCAAGAAGCATTTTCAGCCGCAGCTAAGGAATTCAAAGGACAAGTTCTCTTTGTGCTTGTTGACACTAATATTGAAGACAACAGCCGTATCTCAGAATTCTTTGGAATTGATACTAAGGAAATCCCAACCGTCCGCCTGATCAACTTGGCAGAAGATGACATGACAAAATACAAGGCTGAAACCACTGAAGTTACCACTGAGAATGTCAAGGCTTTTGTCTCCTCAGTTCTTGATGGATCACTCAAGGTAATAATTTCTTTCTAAGCTGTAAGTGATGTTAATGTTCATAAATCTACTGGCTTGATTAATTATCCTTCAATCTTCCAAGATCTGAAAGTTATGGTTCACTGGATCTGAGAATCTGGAGAGATGTAAACAATTACATCATGGGTTTGAGATTACTGTCTTGTGATAGTTGCTGAGGGCAAAGCTCAAATTGAATGTCATGCATAGAAATCGAGTCCTAATAATCTAATTGTGTTAGTTCAAATCTATTAGTTGTTGAAAACTTATCAACAAGGCAGGCTCATGTTTCCTTTCTTGTTTTCTTAATTTACAACTGTTCATTATTGAGCTATGCAGGCTACTTATACTCATGGAATTGATAACAAGTGGCTATTTTAGATTGTTGTGATAGAATGATTTTAGTTTCTTAATTCCCCTTGCCTTTTGTTTGAAAGTGTAATGAAATTGTGAGGTAAATTTAAGCTATCTTTCGTAGGGTGAAGCATTGAACACTTTCGTAGGGAAGAAGTAAGGGGGAAGTGCTCTTAGAAAGAATGATTTTTCACCCTCCCACTTTTGGTTGTTGGGATTTGATGTTGATGGTAATGTAACAACTACCACCTCTGTCTTTGTCTGGTGACAGAGTTTTCTTATTCTGTTTGCATTTAATTTTCAGCCTCATTTACTCAGTCAAGAAATCCCAGAGGATTGGGATGCCAAACCTGTCAAGGTCCTGGTCGGAAAGAACTTTGATGAAGTAGTCAAGGACAAAACCAAGGCTGTTCTAGTAGAATTCTGTAAGTGATGTTCTTTTTATGTTATTCCTGGGATTTTGTTAAAAGTGCCCTTGTGTTCAGTTTGCATGTAAGACTACGGTCTCTGTTGGAGGTCATGCCAGCTTGATAAGGTGCCCAAGCAGTGAAAAGACTGGATTTATGATCTTAATGTACCAAGTTGGGTTCTTAAACCTTTCGCGTTAGATCTATTGTCAGTTACCTACTCTGGCTGCAACACATTTCCATATAAACAAGTTGCGAGGATTTGATGTTTGATCAAGATAATAAATTATACCTGATTATTTTGAGCTATATTCATTATTTGTTTGCTGAATCAGGGCGTGAAATTAATTTTTTTTTTCTGATAGCCACCTGGCTCCTAAATTCTTCAAAGTGGTAGCCAATTCAAAAAAAGTTGGTCACCATTTTCAAAGACAAACAAAATCTTTCTTTACGCTGTCAACATTCTAGATAGACCCTCCAAAATTAAGTTAGGGAAAAGATCTTTAGCATGCTACAAAGTGGACACTAGGATGGATGATATACAACGTTCAGGCTCATCTAAATCCAAGATGGTGTCTAGTTATCGCTCGAGATGCATGTGCTACGTTTTGGAAACAAACTTAACAAGGAAGTTTGCCACAGATTTATCTTTGCAAATCTTTTTAATTCACTATATCTCTTGGTAAGGTTATGATGAAACGTTCTGGTCGCCAATTTGGCGACTAACTTTCAGGATTAGGTCACCAAAGTGAAAAATTTAGGCGCATTGGCGCCTGTATTAGGTGCAATTTCACGCCCTGTGAATGATAAAATGGATATCATAGGGATAAGTAATATGTTAATAATTTCTGGGAATTAAAGGGTTATACGTATCTTGTAAATGGGCAACTTATCTGCCTTGTGTTAGTCAAACCAGGCTCTAAGCCTTGTTTTGTGTCATTGATTTTTTTAGCTCCACCTGCTATTGTGTTACATTAATCCTGCTAAGAGTCAGTAAAGGCTAATGTATAGATTTAGCCAAGCCTTAAAGCAGAGCTCACATTTTTTTTTTCCCCACACGTCTCAAGGGCACAATGTCTTGCCCTGGCCAGGACCAAAACCCGGGTTGTCCGACTTGGAGACCACTAGACTACTGAACAAAGCTGTGGCGTTAGTGTACCCATGGTACAGTTGACCACGCATGTTAAAAGTAGCACTTTGTATGGTTGTACAGTCGCACATCCAAATTTTTTCAGCTTGATGGGTTACTACTATTTTGTATAATTATGGGGCTACGCTCTGCAAGCTCCGCTATTAACATTATTTGTTTTTTCTGTGCCATAACAGATGCCCCATGGTGTGGTCATTGTAAGAAATTAGCTCCAATCTGGGATGAACTTGGAGAGAAGTTTAAAGACCGTGATGATATTGTCGTTGCCAAGATGGACTCCACAGCCAATGAAGTAGAGAGTGTTAAGATTCAAAGCTTTCCTACTCTTAAATACTTCCCTAAAGATAGTGATGAGGTAGGAAACATTCTGAAAACAAATTTTTATTTACTTGCTATAATTATCAATATAGTTTTGCTTTGTAATGAATTGTCTCTGGGAAGTTTGTTAACTTAAGTGTAACAGCAATGCCTTGTCATCATTCCAAACAAGCAGAGATGCTTATGACCATCTGGAGAATAGTGTTTAAGATTGGGGAGCTGTCTAATTTCCTTTTGATTGTAACGATCATCTTTACAAGTGCCAAAAGATTGAATTTGATCTTTTTCTAATTTATGTTTGGGAAATCTTAGCTGAAATTGATCTGAGCCTTATTTTGTGAGATGCAGTCATTCCCCTTAGAGTCTCCTATGTCATGAAAATGCTTCTTTTTTTTCTGTATCAGATTGTAGATTACAAGGGTGGCAGAACTCTTGATGATTTTGTCAAGTTTCTTGAATCTGATGGTAAAGTAAACCAAGAACCCACAGAAGGTGAAGAACCAGCCCCAGAAGAAGAAGGGGAGGGTGTGGAGGGTGAAGAGCCTGAGGGTGAAGGTGACGAGTCTGAAGGTGCTGAGGAAGAAACTGATGGAACAGAGGCAACCAAAGATGAGCTCTAAATTGTCTTATCTGGTTTTTAAATTTGAGCTGCAGATGATTTCTTAATGTAAGAGAATGTAATGAACTTTTTCCAAAAAACAAAATACAACTGTGGCCAACCATTTTGAAAGTTCAACTCCAAACTATTAGGAGCTGTTTTTTGAGTTCTAGACTATCCTAGTCCGACAAAAGAAATTAATATTGCTCAGTGATTTGCAAGAAAATGTTTTCCTAGTTGAAGACTTTCCTGCTGCATCTTTTTGATGAACTCATTGGTTCAGGACTCCATTTAATTAAGCTTTCGTCGCACTAAGATAAGTTAGGAGCATAAAATTTAGGAATAATCATCTCTGTACCACATCACTGTGAAAGACTTTTACTTATTTCTCTTTCCTAGCATTATATTCTGTGACCTCTGGTTAGGTAATATGTTTTAAACTCTTGTGTGTTTTCAAATAGTTAATAGGTTTTCAAATCTTTTTTTTGGAAGTTTCTTCAACTCACACTCAAAATAAACCTCTCACCACCTGGCTTATAAATTGTTTTATTTTATTTATGGCAATTATCGGTGTGAAGGTTTAATTTAACAAAAAAAAAAGTGAAAAAAAGCTTTCAATTAAAAATTCCTCATTAAATAAAAGAGTATTGTTTGGTTTAGTATTTTGCATCAAGAGGGTTCCTTCTTCATTTATTCAAGGCTTTTTTTAACAGGAGTTTCCCAAACAAGATTAAAGGTTCTACCCTGGCTGCACATCAATTGTTTCATTGTTTTACAACCAACATTTTTCTTACCACCCGGATTTAACAATCCACTATTTAACAGTCCCCCATCTTCCCCTTCCTCTTAGGGTTCTCTCAGACATTAAGTAACCGTTTTGAAGGATTTCCTTATTGCAATTCGAGCTGCTAGTTGGCGTCACTCGAGAATTTTCTCGAAAGAATCGCTAATCAAACAGAGAAAACGGCACAATCAAATTCTTGGTCAATAAATTGGCTGATCATCGTGCGTCATTCAGTTGAGTGACCACTTCCTTGTCTTTCAAAGTAGACAAATGAGGAGAGGATTTCCTATGAGGGTTTGTCACGTAATATTGGGTCATTGCCCCCGAGGAGGCACCTTAGGACTCCCCGCGTAATATAGAGGAAGACTGGAGAAGAGGGAATGTGGGTATTTTCGGTAGATCATAACCAGAAAAAATCTCGATTTGATCGCTTGCACGGCCGCAAGGTATCAACGTTTTTCCCGCAAATGGTCATGGGCTGCCAGTAAAAAGACACGCGCGCGAGGACTTTTAGGATCGGCGTCTTTGACACGAGATTTGTCCTAGTATAGAGGAAGACTGGAGAAGAGAGAATGTAGGTGTTTTCGGTTGATCGTAACCAAAAAAAATCTCGATTTGATCGCTTGCACGGCCGCAAGGTATCAACGTTTTTCCCGCAAATGGTCATAACTACACAACTGTAAACAAGCCCAACTCAAAAAAAAAAAAAGAAAATGGTACTGTAGGGCGGGGGCAGCTCTAGTGAGAACTATAACTAGTATTAGTAATGTCTAAATCCACAGCGATATGGATATCATTTAATCCCTCAGATCCTGTGCCAAAAACATGTGTAACCTCTTCCGCAGAACGTCCATTGTGGTTCTTCCCACTATGATCATTTATCTCAATATGCTTTCCGTTCTCCATGTTTTTCGCGCTTATGACGGTTTCTTCTGATGTCTCACAATAACCCCCCTCCCCCCCCCCCCCGCCAAAAGTCCCTGAATGAAAATTATGAAGGAGGCTCAGAATTGAAGTCAATTTCTACACGATTAAATCAGTGTGGTTCAGAAGTTGCTTCATTTCGCATTTAGCAGTTCCTTGACGTTCATTCTTGGCTTATTAGAATTTCGGGACATAAAAATATCCGTTGGAAAGCGTGCAGTTTCCTCGTGACATCTCATCGCCTCATGTTAGATTTTGTCGGCCATCGGATCATGTTTCATGCTCATTATCCCTTAACCCCTCCCGTCTCCTTTTATAGATGCTAAGCTTGACAGAATGACTTCAGTTAGTAAAAACATTTCAGGCTGGAGCCTTTGGTAACTACATAAGCAACGTGGACGATGTGCAAAGACACTCGAGAAGAACATTACAGCCTCCCAATCGAAAAAGACTTTTCATTGGTTGTTCGTCGAGCTTGATGTGAAAACGCAAATGATTGGTTGTACTAAAGCTCTGACGTCATGGGGTGGTTCTACTAGATTCTGAGAAGAGAGCTGGAGGTAAATGGTTGTTAAAGTCTATCAGGAAATATAAATATATTAGCTCGACTGAACTTACCATGGCTGAAGAAGAAGAAGTTCCAACCCCAATTGAAGACGAAGAACCAGAAGAAACCCCGGGTTACAAGCCTCCCGCTCAGAAAACTTTGCAAGAAATTCAAACGTTGGACGCGGATGACGAGTCTTTGGTTAGGTACAAGCAAATGTTACTCGCCGGTGCGGGGGCAGCAGGTATCCCAAGAGAAAGTGATCATTACATTTTTCAATATTGGGTAGTTATTTTTCTGATCCTGATACAAGGATATTTTTGACTCTCTGTTTTCTAGCTGATGAAGGTGGTCCCAACGTGAAGGTCTTAAAAATGTCAGTGATCGTGGAAGGTCGTCCCGATATCGAGTTAGATCTCACAGGTTTGTATCTTGCTCTTTTCACAACCGTAATCCTGGAATGTCCTTTTTGGTTCCGTCTCTGCTTTGGAATGGTGTATTCTTATTCATAACGTCTGTTCTTCCGACCTTTTGTGGCCCTAATGTAGCGCATTGTGCGTGACAAAATTTACCAGCTGATCAGAACTACGGTGAAGTAACTATCATGAAGAGAAAGCTTCTAATTTCGAGCGATCCGACCAGCTTAAGTCTCTGTTGTGTTCACCTTTGGTTTTGCAGGAGACCTGAGCAAACTTAAAGAAAAACCAATAGTCATCAAAGAAGGGGCCAGTTACAAAATCAAAATAACATTCAAGGTAAATTCCTGCATATTAGTGTTGACATTGTACTAAAATGGCAGAACCGTGCTGTAATATCGTACTTGTTACATTTAAGTAATTGCAGTTTCAGTCTTGTATTAATTAAAGAGTGTTCAAGTATGCCTTTTCAATCAGTTGTGATTTTGCCATTTCCTTCTTCTTTTGCGCTCAGTCTGCGTTTTGTGGTGATAGAGATTCGTAAATTTACGAGCTAAATTGTACTCGACATGAGCTCATCAGGAGAAATCATTGTGAGTGTCAATTTTGAAAGTTAATTATTCTTCACCCTATTTGAAAAGCAGACTTTTGTTTAGTAATGATCCTTTTGATGTCAACAATTTACTCAGATAGATTTATCTTTGAATCATTGTTTTTGTGTCATCCATGTTTTTAGAGTTACTATTGTCTAGACTGAAAGTTATGTGCAATTTTCTGACTGCAGAATGTCATGTAATAAGGAAATTCTACAAGTTTTTATTTCCGCGTTGTCTCTGTTATCTTTTACATAAAGACAAAGGAAATGTTAACGTGAAATTCATGCTAGAAAGGGAGTACTCTATTGGACTTTAAGATGTCAAATAGAGGAAAATGTTATAATTAGCACAATGCAGGGGATTTTTTTGCATTAGCTTAAATCAGAGAAATCTGAAAAACAGAGGGTAGAAAATGAATAACACATTGGAGTTAATTATGGCCCAGGAATCCCACACTGTTGAGATCAGGGCAGGTAAAAGGTTCAATTAACTCAAGGACTCAGACCTTGCAAGCAAAGAAATGCTTGTGTTACAGTGCTTGTAATGAGAACTTGCTTGCCGGCTTAATAGACTGTACTACTTCCCACATGACCAACAATACTTATCTGCAGCTTTCATCGTGATTTGACTTTGACAATTGAATTTTTCCATCCATCCTTGGTCTTACAGATCCATATCCGGAGTTGAAAGATCACTCACTAGCTAGGCACAACTAGCAGGGTTTTTTTGCAGCTCTCTTTTGGTGTTATCACTCAATTTATATCAATCTCTTGGAAAAAAATCCTTGCTACATGAGATTTTCTGCCTTATTGATTATACTATTGTCAAATTCAATTGGCTAATGATCAAGTTTCCAAAATACTGACTCCTTTCTAGGGGCTAGATTTGGAAAACAATATCATCCTTGCAGGCCATCATCTTCAGTGTCCCCTCTCTGCAGACCTCTCTCTAGCTTGTATTGGTCAAGGCCTCACACTTTGAAGAAAGGCTTGTGCTGAAGCACTTTTAATATGGTCCTCCTCCAAAGCTAATGTCTTTTAACCCTTTCACTCCCAAGATCTAATAAGTAATTCTCCTTACTATCTGCCATACCATTCTTATGATGTTAGTTTGGAGAATTTGGTATCGCATCAACCAATAATCCCATAATTGATATTCTTCTCTATTCTCATCACCTACCTGCTTGATATTGTATTTATATTGTAAGGAGAAATTCTGTCTTGGTCACTTGTGGTAGTGAAAGGGTTAACTTTAAATCAAACTTAATAAGATATTCAGGGCTCTTGAGAATTAAAGAAAGGATCTGAAACTTGACAAGCTCTTGATTTTAATTGAATTCTACTTGTCAGCACCTAAGGAGATGATTAGAGTTACTATGGAGAACATGTATACTGATGTTAGGCTTGACAGATAGTTTAGAGATAAGAAAGCTGGAAAATGCTTAAAAGCTTAAATGTTAACAATACTGTAAACAAGGACTCAATGATAGCTACACCTTTATATTGAAATACATGCTTAATGATCTCTTACTTAATTTCATCAATAAAAATATTCATGCTGCAGCTAGCATCATGAAAATGAATGTCACAGCATCTAGTTTTAAAATAGCTTTTGATTAAACTGGATCAAGAATTTGCAGGGGGCTTTCACTTGGGATTTCAAAATAGGAATGGAGTGGTAGCATCCTCGTGAACTTTTGTATGTGACTTGCACTGCTTTCAATAAGATTTGAAGTACACTCTGTAGGTGGCTACCTCAGTAGGGCACTTACTGGAGAATAAGTTCCCTTCAGAACAAACTGGCTTCGAATGGAGTCTATGCTGTTTAACTTTGGCAAATGTTCATTAAATATTAGTCTCCTTCATAAAAGTTGTTTAACTTGTCATTTTATTTCTAATCAAAATCTTCCATGAGCTGACATGTTAACCTGCTGCCTTAGTTTCACACAAGAGTCCTCTGAAAGGACATATGGTTAAAGGCTACTGAAATTTGAGTCAGCATGTTCTTGGAAACTCCCAAAAAGTCACAGAAAGATCCAGAATGATGGTAACCATCCAAAATCACATAATACATAACACTTTCAACAGGCAGTCTACAAAAACAATATTATACAATATCCTGTCTGCATCAATGCACATGCTCTTGAATGTTCTCAAATTTTGATGCTATGATCCTCACCTTCCTTTGCCTGACCAAACCAGATTCTCTTGTTTTCTATTTGTACATCAGTTTTTGATTCACAATTGCAAAGTATTTGCACTTTAGATGTTTTCTGAGTTTCTTCTGCTTATAATTGCAAACAAACCTCCTGCTTTGAAACAAAAAATGCATCTTTTGCAATCCAAGTTTCTTTCTTTTTTTCTTTTTTTTTTTTTTTAGTGGGTGAAATTAAAGATATGCAGCAGTGAATTCCACAGGTTTTATTTATTGGAAAAACCCCAGGATTAGTTGATCATTCTAGTCTGTAGAAGTGTGCGTTATTGCTGATGCATTCCATGTGGTTGGATGAACCACTTTTTTCAATATAACTCGTGCCCATTGTAAGATCTTAGTTACAAATCATTGTTTTTTTAAAAAAAATTTCCAGGTGGTACGTGAAATTGTGGCTGGTCTTAGATTTCATCAAGTGACCTTCAGGAAAGGTATTAGAGGTAAGTGTAGGTCAACATTATGGTAGATTAAGATTTATGAGGAAATAACTTAATTTATTACTAATTTCAGGACATGAAATTAATTTTTTTTTCTGATAGCCACTTGGCTCCTAAATTTTTCAAAGTGGTAGCCAGTTAAAAAAAAGGTGGTCACCATTTTTGAAGACAAACAAAACTTTTTTATACGGTCAGCATTCTAGATAGACCCTCAAAAATTAAGTTAGGAAAAAGGTCTTTAATTTAACATGCTACAAAGTGGACACTAGAATAGATTATATACAAAGTTCAGGCTCACCAAAATCCAAGATGGTGTCTAGTCATTGATCGAGATACATGTGCTGTATTTTGGAAACAAACTCAACGTGGAAGTTTGCTGCGAATTTATCTTTGCAAATCTTTTTAATTCACTATATCTCTAGGTAAGGTTATGATGAAGTATTCTAGTCACCAATTTGGTGACTAATTTTCAGGATTTGGTTGCCAAAGTGAAAAATTTAGGTGCATTGGCGCCTGTATTAGGCACAATTTCACGCCTGAACTTATGCCACATTAAAGAGATATTTGTTGGCATTTTGTTATTGTTTACTGATCATCCAATTGTGAACATTCTTTTGCTTTCCCCTTTGTGTTTCAGTTGACAAAAGTAGCTTGATGGTAGGAAGTTATGGTCCGAAAGCAGATCCTCAAGAATACTTAACCCCATGTGATGAAGCACCCAAGGGAATGTTAGCTCGAGGCCATTATACATCAAAGAGCAAGTTTATTGATGATGACAAGAACTGTTACCTTGAGTGGGAATGGGGATTTGATATTAAAAAAGATTGGGAATGACAGCTATTCGACACATGTCAAGACGTAGAAATTAGTTTTTTTTTTTTTTTTATGTAGGAAGACAGTCTATATTTGGAAATTTTTTTTTCTTAAGTTTGAATTTGATGCTACACTGTATGCACTTTTTTTGTCTTCAGGTAACTTTTTTTGACTGGCAGTGATTATCAAAAGAAGAAATAACTACAAACGTAATGTTAGAATCTGTATAAAGATGTTGTCATAATATTTTGAAGCTTTTGTTATGTCTTGAGATTGTGTGAAAATAACCGTTGATATGATCAATAATAAGATCCATCCATCTAGACCTCAAGCAATCTTTATTAATTTAGTTAATTGACATTGATGGAAAAATTTCTTTGCTTCACTTAAGGAGTTTGTTTTGTCACAGTCTTGTTGTTTTATTTCTTTTGGCTGGCATGGCGGACTACCTGGAGAAAGAGAACTGCTGGTAGTCCCCTCATTTACCTAGCTTTCCTTTGTGTGCTGTGAAATGTACCGTGTTAGATGGAAGATCCCTTGGGTGTCCTTGCATGCAACCAGTTACAAATAAAGTTTTTGCCCAAAATAGAAGAGAATCAAATTTATACCTTGACTGCTATTTTAACTTTCCTGCTCTCCCTTCCCTACTCAACAACCCAGAATCCTATTGCGAGTTGTGGATGCTTTTTTTTAAGGGTTGAGACAATTAATGAAACTGCTATTTCAGGTAATGAAGTAGAAGTTAAAACTTTACTTCCCATTTGTAATGAATATGTAACTTTTCCCTAGGATACTTACGATTTAAATGCATTAAGGTTAACGACAAATTGAAACGTAAACTTAACTCCACGTAAGAGGAACTTGTTGCTGAATGTTGGGCAAGGTGATGTTGGAGCTTCTGTATTTTGACTGGCAGTGAAAATGATGGTACAGTACCTGATAATACTTTAAAAAAATTGTCTTGTCAGCATTTGGGTCGCCCTGTTTCTCTTTGTACCCATATGGCAGGGACCTATCTCACCTTGAATCAAACCCGTGAATTGATGAAGAATGGATCGCTCAGCTGAAAAACATGAAAATTTTTCTTAATCGATGTTTTAATTGGAAAAGTTTTTGAGATTAAGAAATACTATTACCTGGAATTAACACCAAGTTTCTAATCAAGGATTAAAGGTCAAATGGTATTAGAGGCAAATTCACCAACTCGAATACCCAAGGGAGTCATATATGGTTCGAGTTGGCGGGGGTTCTAGTGAGCTGATAGGATCAATATCAGTATTTGGGCAACTGTCCACCTACCCCTCCCCTAACCTAACAGTAACTCTAAATTGCTATCAATTGACTGTTGTTGGGTTAGGGGAGGGGTAGGTGGGCAGTTGCCCAGATACTGATATTGATCCCCTGATAGTAAATGAATGGAAAAAAATGGGTCAACGGAAATCAGATCTACGAGTTCACGGTGGTTCGAGTTAGCGCGGTTCCACTGTTCAGTCACAGGATGGCATTTTTTTTCCAGTGAGTTTCCGGTATTGGGTTGCATCAGCACTCGTAGAACAAATGAACACATCCGTTGATCATACATCGTGGTGTATCCAAAGCACTTAGATCTTACTTCTCTTCTTTTGTCGAGGACAGTTTCACAACATCGCATTACGTTTGCTCGCGACATGCGCGCGTGACAAGAATCAGATGTACCATGTTTCGGGTTTTGGTTCGTGACAGAGAACAGTTCGTTTGAGTTCTTCCTCTTATACCTTAAATTTGCCGATGGAGACGACGATGTATTTTCAATTAAGATATTTCAAAAAATACGTGCATATTTAATCATTTTTCCATAATCTAATTAAAACATATGTCGATCGGTAAGCGTGCGTGAGCTTTATAATTGTGTAAGTTGAACAAACTTGGCACCGGTAAAAATCTTTCGATCATCATCTTTAATAATGAATCTGTCCTAAGTTTTGAATTTGCTTTTTAATACCAAGCGATCATGATTCCTTTCTTTTCTCAAATCAACCCCTCAGATTTTGGATCTCAATCATTAAAATACAAATTGCTTTTCTGAGACCTTTTCTCCTTTGGGGTAGAGCCACAAGTTAAAATAAGTGTCGAGTTGTCGCAAGTTGAAACATTGAGACAACAGGAAACGGGAGGTGGGGGGGGGGGTTAATATGTACCCTTTGTATGAAACTGTGTTTCTACGACTCAATAGAAATGAATTTCAGTCTAGCCCTTTCGTATTCTCATTAGCCTGCGCAGCGATTAATTTTTTTCTTTTCTTTTTTGTTTGTTTTGTCTTGATTTTTTTGAGGGGGGGCGGTGTAGCAGTCCTCCCTACCCTCCTCTGAGAGGGGAGGGGTAGTGCGAGCTTATTACCCCGAATCAGCGGTTCTCAATTTAGGTCTTAGGCCTCTCGCGGTAGTCACGTTTCCGCTGGTCAAGCACTCACAAAACCGGCAGAACTTTACATCGTTACATACTCTTTGTTAATTAACTGCGATCGATGTTAGGAGAAATTACGTTTTGATTATTATTGGACTAAAGAATATAAATAATCTATCGGCTGAAACGCAATAACGAGGGTCTGAAAAGAAGGTAAATTAAAAACGGGCATATTTCCATAAAATCCATGGTAAAAAAGCAAAAGTTGACGATAAAGCGCTTCCGGCTTAATCTTCTAAGTGTAAGTACAGATGTCAGCTTATCGACAAGTATTCACCCGTCCCTTGCGAGCTTTCTTATAATTTTAGCGCAACAATGATCTCTTTAACCTTTGTTAAAAATGAGCAAGTAATTTCGTTTAGGAATTTGCTCGCATAACTGAATGGGAAGCTGTTTTCCATGTGAACGTGAATGTTGTCATTGCGTGTTCGGCACACAGTGAATTGAATAGGTTTAATACCTTCTTGACAGTTTTACTATCTGTAGTTGCTTGTTTTGAACAAATAAGTATTGTCACAAATCGTCTTCTGTTATTGAAGGTTTACCGAAAATAGCTTAGCGAGGAAATATCATTTATTGTTTAAACATAATCCAATGTCATATTTCGTAATAAATACTTCAGAACCAGATATAAATGACAGAGACGCCAATTCTCGGACTTCCGTCCTCGAATAAAAGTAACCGAAAGCTGTAGCTAATGGATCTCTGTTTGCCGTGCTGTTTGAAGTACTTGCGACAAAACCGAGTAGACGAACAGTAAGTCCTTAGAATGCCGTAATTTGTAAACATTCAATGATCACTTCAAATTCTCGTTTTCGTCCATTTTAGATGATTTTTAATAAGGTAGAAAAACACACACACACACACACACACACACATGTGGCTTCACTCGCAAGCAGACCTACGGCGGCTACGCACATAACCTCAAAATTTTCCTTCGCGGAAATACCTTCACTCGACAGATTTCCCGCGCAGATCAGCTAACAGTTGATGTAAAGGGGTCAGCCAATTGCGATTCAGCGTTCCCACGCCTTGTCATGTTTGATTGACCAATAGAAAACTTATTCAAACAATCAGGATTGTGGTATTATCTGTCATATGCGTTGTTGTGTTATGTGGGGGTTTAAATTCCTTGCATTGAAAATTTACCCTCAATGAATCAAATCGGGGACAAGCTTACTCAAACTCAGTGCTTGCCAATACAAGAGTAATTTTCTCCTTATTTGAATCGTTCTGAGGCCTTTCCGCTTCAGATCAATATCTTGTCAACCTCCCCGTTCATGATTGGCAAAACAAAATCCTAGAGACAGTTGGGATTTTTTCCCGCTCTTAATTGAGGTAAGTCTTAACAATATTAACCGATTGACCAGCCTGTCTTCATGTTTGTCTAAGAGTCTCAGTCGGTGTCTAAAAACTACCACAATTTTTATCTCTCAAAAACTCTTTTATAAGTATTGCTTTCAAATCAAATTTTCAATTATCTCTGGAATGGCCCTCAAACTATTGATAAATAGGATGTTTTATAAGCAATTATCTGCTTCGAGTTTTAAGAAGAAAAATTGTTTTGTCTTCGAAGCACGCGAATAGGCTGCATGCATTTGTTATTGTTAATGTCAGTGGTTCTGTTTATGTATGTATTGAGCTTTTACGCTGTGCCCGTTCTTCAAAGTACTTAATACACATAGGTTAACTGTCAACATCCCGTGTAATGTTCCGTGTCTGTATTTTTATCGATTTCTAGCGTTACAACACAAGTGTTTTTGTTCGAGGTGATTAGGTTAAAGTCGAGTTTAAAAAAACCGATAGCTTTCTTAAAGCAAGTATTTTTTTTTTTTTTATCAAAATTCGCCTAGTCTGCCTGTGACTTCAGTGGTTCTACCTCTGGTAAATTTCTTTCACCCTGCTAATGCGCCAGACATCACGGGTGCCTCAACTGGTCAAAGTTCACAAGATTCCAACATTTAATAAATTTCTGCTTGTGAGGCCACCTTAGAAATAGAGAACACCAGCGCCGCATTTGAAGGAGAGTAGACTAAAAGGATTTGTTCGAAGCGGAAGAGTTATCACTTGAATAGAAAGGTACGTCGCGAATGTTTCTCTGAAAATAGGCGTGACTGCGATCGCGTGACTTTTAAGGTTGTCAACATCTACTCATTCACGTCAAACCTGAGGTGTATCAAGAAAAGTTATCTTTTTAGACCGAATGTCGCTCATTGTAGATTTGTTTAGTATCTCCAGTACTGTGAGGTCTATCCTTTGCCGAAATGCGACAGAACTTTTCAGCCTAGGAAATAACTGAAGAAAATTTGCAGTCGGTGCTCGAAACGCTTTCAGGTGATTCATTAGAGGACGACGATGAAAGAATGAACAACGTTTTCAAGCTCACAAGAAACAGTTCTATTCCAGTTTAAATCGTAGATTTCGCGAATTTATCGTTTAAGTCTACACTATCGTTGGTGTTAAAAGCATCAACTAGTAGTTAATTAAATGAGGGTAAGGGGCGCCATTGTTACCTCTATTGACTAAAACCCGCAAAATATACCACAGTGTAATCTTCATGTTGACGGTGACAGACATTAAGAGAAGGCATGCAAGGCGGAGCACCCTCGAACTGAAAAGGAAACATGTTTACCAGTTCACTGATATGTGCTTTAGTGAGAGAAGTTACGTAATTCTTTCAATGAACTTAAACAGTGTACAATGATGATTCATCAGCATGGAACAATGCAAAACACAAAAACTCCGACAATTGTTTTAAAAATGGGATCAATTTGTGTCGTGTGCCAATGATCAGGTGAAAAGCAATGGTCGATGTTTAAATTAAGGCATTGGCTTTATGTGTTGACAGGAAAAGTGAGCATAAAAATTATTTTAGGTCAGCAATTGTCATCACCGCTTTTATTTCTCCATTAGCGGACGTAGTCCTTTCTTTTAATCCGGACGTATAAGAAATTTTTGATTGAATAAGCCCTTTACTGGAGCCGACAAGAATCCTCTCTGCTTATTGAAAATCTAATATTCTTCAATTTACTTCCTGTTCCTAAATACCATCTTAACCTAAGTGAATTGTTCTGGGGAAGCTCTTAAAGATATAGAGCGGATGTGATTACGTTTGTTTTAAATCTAAGACACTCTAAATTTTTCGTGTCGATCTAGCGTGGGGGCCTTGCTGACAAGGGAACTGTTAAAAGGGACGCGTTTGTGATATCGGTATGTGTTCAAGGTTATCGCGCGTGCTTATTAAGATTCAGTCCTTGGAGGTATTAGAGATAAGGAGTTCAGTCTGGGTATGTTCTAGCTTATCTGCTTAGTTGTGCTGGTGCTGTTTACATTTTCCGCACGCACGATTATCCTACAGAGTGTAAATAACGATATCTGTTGCTTGAATCGATTGTTGTATACTACTGATACCTTCAGGCGACTCCTTGGCTCCGGTTGGTTTCCTATCGTGTTTTTTCTGTTCTTGTTTGTTTCCTCTGATAAAAACGTTAATCCATTAATCAGTCAAAATAGAAAAACCATCTTTTTGTCGGCTTACTGATAATGTTCATTTATTTTGGTATTAAATCAGGCGAAATCATGTTCTTTTATCACGAAAGGCTTTTCGTGCCAGGAAATAAAATCTGTTCTTGATTGCGGAGAAGACAAGAGGGGAAGAAAAGGGAACTGGTTTTGGCAGTCTCTCTGCTTCCTTCCTTCGTTTTCAGACGAAACAAAAGGCAGTTCGCACTTAAAATTGATCTAAAAATGACCACGCGACAGATAGAGTTAAGCTGACGCGCGCCAAAAAGATTATGCTGTTATTTTGATATAATTGTATAATAAGATTTAAAAGGTGTGTGGTACAGTGGATCAAGTATAAACTAGCACGAAAGCTATTTTAAACTGTTATTGTTTCTTTTCTTTGTACTCTCGTACCCTTTCTAAGCCGTCGCTTTGTCGCAAGTATTCGCGCGCTTCGTTTCACATTTTAGAGGAGCATTTTTTTCCCTCAGAGATAAATGCGAGCTTCGCGGCCGCGGTTGCAATAGATTCCTTGACCGCCTTCTGCCGTTCACCCATACCTGCTGTTTTTCTTGTTAAAGAAACGAAGACACAGTTTTTCAAGCTCATCAAAAAGTATTTTAGGGAAATCTTTTTTCTTTTTCGTTCTGAGCGTTAGCAGAGCGTAGGGCTAACGCTCGAAACGTCAGCTTTAGAAGCTCTACAAGGGGGCCATTTTACATTATCAACTCTGATCAAACTAATTTATCTTGTAAAACCGACCAGCAACACAGCATCACAGTTTCGTTGTTAACTTTTCTCCTATTATTCAAGACCCTCCTTAGCTGGGATCATTTCTTTTAGTATTTTTGTAAAAGTCAGTAATATTGTAAGAGGGGAAAGTCGATGACAGTCTCCCTTGGGGATTTAGGGTTAACGATGACTCAGAAATAGTGACATACATAGTGCTCGTAATCCGCACCTAAAGTAGACGGGGAAATACCGGCCATGATTTAGGACTTTGGACAGATTACCTGTCTTAGCTAGCTAAACAAATTTAGCATTGACTTCGTTGTAAATATAGCTAACAAATCCATGTAATCCTTTTTTCTCCTCAGCGACTCTGAAATTCAGCCAAGAAGAAGATCTACTATGGATGACAATGTGAGACAAGCACTTTCTTACATATCATTGGGCGATCAAGATCTCAGAAAACAGCGAACCGAAGAAGCTGTTATCCATTTCTGTAAGGCGTACGCTTTGGAGCCTGGTCTTGTGAAGGATCATATGGTCGCTTTGCCACCAAACGCTTTACGTACGGTTCTATGTACCTTAGAGGATTGGTGCATATGTGGGGATGATTCTGGAAGTTTATTAAATTCGGGGCTCACAGTCTCTCTTGATCAAATTTGTGATCTGATTACTTCTAACGGTTTACGCCCGGACAGCCGTGTAGCGTGGTCCACAAAACTTCGACTGCAGATGCGGAGCAAAAAATATTTTGATGCCGTAACGACGTGTGCCGATGCCGTGAAGATATTTTCCAATCAGATTGATGTAGTTTTCTTTCTGGTTCATCGCGCAATGGCCTACATTCTCCTGAAGGAAAAGAAGTTTGCTGTACAGGATATGATCGTCGCGTGCGACAAAGATTTTAATGCTGGTTTAACCTGCATTAAGGAAATTGGGGTAAAACTCCTTCCATCCGTTTTAGAAGCGCTCTATGAGTTCATTGCTTCTCTTGCTAAAAAGTCAAAAAACTTCAGCGAGGAGGAGAGATTTTTGTTGATCAAAACTGACCGCATCGTTGTTGGGTTAAATCCGGAAGATTCGTCTACTATCGGCGACTGTGCAAGTCATATGATCAAACTAAATCAACACAAGCAAGCTGTCGTCCTTTTGTCCGATGGACTAGATCACATAACGTCACTAGGGAAAAGAGAAACGCCGGAGGTGGTGGAGCTGTTGCTTCAAAGGGCACAGTGCTACTTAGCTCTGGAGGAAAGCGAATCTGCCTTAAATGATTATCTTTGTGCGGCAGCCATTGATGAGGATATCACGCAGATCACGATACTTTCCTTGCCCCATCAACAACAAGATAACATTACTGCTCTCGCTAAAAAGATCTCATCTGAGGTCTTAACCCGTTACCGCCTTAAAGTCAGATTGAAAAGCCCATGTGTAGTTGACGCCAAAAATACCGCTGACATCCTAGATAGAGCAGCGCAAATGTACAGGATGTTGTATCTCCTGGACAATAACAACGTTGATGCCTTAGTTAATGCTGCGGAGTGCTTAAAGCTTCAAGACAAAGATACTGCGGCAATCAGCGCCCTTGACTTAGTACTTACGCTCCGCCCAATGTGTTCCAAAGCCTATTACACTCGTGCGTTTTGTCACATGAAAACCGCTGACTTGAATAACGCCTTTGCAGACTTTAACATGACCCTCGACATCCAGCCAAGTTTTGTCCAAGCGCTTTGTGGGCGCGCCTTTGTTTTGCTCTTGAGTGGAGATCTTGGCAAGGCGGCTAAAGATCTGACAGCAGCAAGCGGGATCTCTATTTGTGCCACAGTCACCTGGATAAAAGAATTACCCGACTGTGAGCAAGAAACACTGAAGAATCAAATCAAGGAATACTTAGTAACGACCCCCAAGAAACACTCCCAGAGTCGAGGCTTGTGCGAGGACGACTCGCTCGTCACTTTAGGTAACGTGTTAACGCGCGCGTTTCCCACGGACTTCGAGTGTCATCATGTGTTTGTGGAAATATTACAGTCGCTGTGTAAGATGGATGAAGCGCAAGCAATTCTTGTTCGCTTAATTACAAACAATCCCGATGACTATTTAGCAACGCTACATCTTGCTGTATTGAAAATGAGGCGAAACAGAACAGCTGATGCACTGGAAGACATCTGTTCCCTTTTGAAAACGATAGGAGAAGAGAAACTTGCAAGCGCAATGTTGAGATTAACTGACAAAGACCGTGCGCGTTTAACGCGCGAGTCGCATTGCGAGGGCGTACAGAGATTTAACGCTCACCTAGGAGATGCAACAATAGAAGGATATTTTTCCATAGCCATCGCCTCCTCTCCAATCAAAGCCTTGGAATCTTACGTGTGGCGAGCAAAGTGTAGAATGTTGAAGGGTCAGCTCGATTTGGCCATCGCAGACCTGGATTCAGTGCTTATTAAAAAACCAAATCATGTTGAGGTGCTCTGTGTGAGAGGTCATCTCTTTATCCTGAAAAACAACCGGAAAGCGAGCTACAATGACTTACTATTGGCGTTACTTCTCAACTCTCAAGCACTTAAGACTTTCATCCTTTCACTTCCTGATAATCAGAAGAATCTTGTGGTGGGAACCCTTGAAGACTGTGTCCAAATGCTGTTTTCTCATTACCTGACACAAGGTTTCCGTTCCAAATTTATATTGAAGCTCTGTGATTTATTGGTTCAAATAAACAGTGACGTAGCTTCTTACCACAGCCTTTACGCCGACGGCCTCATAATCTTTGAAGAGTACCGAAAAGCCATTGAGGAGCTCGACATCACCAAACGACTGTCTTCCGAAGATGTATCGATACTCAGCCGAAGTGGACTCGTCCACATGAAACTCAATGAAGTTGAAATTTCGGCAGCAAAATTTCGAGAACTGGCCGACATCGATCCTGAAGCCTTGAACTTCGCTGCCAAAGCATTAAATCAGGAGCAGAGAGAAATCCTGTCTAAAGAAGCTATGGATAAGGCGAACTATCATACTAACGTCAATCAAAATGACAATGCCTTGGGATTCTTCACGGTTGCTGCCGCCGCGACGTGTGATGGTCAGCTGAAGGAGATTCTGCGCATGCGTTCTAAATGTTATGAAAGGCTCAGGCGATTTCCAGAAGCTATCGAAGACCTGACGTCAGTCATTCGATCGGGCGCACCAGTCGTCGGAGATCTTGTGGCACGCGGTAATCTGCACTTGCTCGATGAGAATTACAATGGCGCATGTAAGGACTTCCTTGTTGCTATGGAAACGCAAGAGGTGACAGCGATGACACTTATTTCGTCCTATCCCGGAAGAGAAGTGGCAATCAAAACTTTTCTCAAAGCTGCCTCAGCTCATCATAAAAAATTGGCAGATGGACTAAGGGTTTGCCTGTACGGACTGAAGTTTGATCCAAACAACATTGAGCTGAAAACACTAAAGCGAAACTTTGAATTTGGTTTAAACAACAAGTGTTTTATCCAATAAAAAGAAGCCAAATAGTTTAGTACGAAGATTTCCAGCCACATGGAATGTCCTGAGAAATTAATTGAATTCATTGCTTGTGTTGAATTGGAAATTAGTTTTTTTTAATTCTTTCCTTGTTTGCCTTACTTAAAAATATTTGCTTAGTTCTTTCGCGACGCCTAAATAGGAATGGTCACTGTTTCAACTTAAAAGCATGAAAATCAAGATAGACTGTGACGTGGAAACATTACAGCATGTAGCTTGCATTGTGAAATTCATTTTGAAAGTACCTTGTGTGATAAAGTGGCATTAATAATGCTAAAGCTTACTAGACATAGATCTGTTCCCTGAGCATTCAGCTTATTACGTTCCCAAAGTATCGATATAGCCTTTCATAGTTTTTGTTCATTAGCATTGTTTTGTTTTCTATAACTTTTTTTAAATAAAATAAGAATTTTTTCTTAATTTTGCGATGTAGTTTTTGTTAGGTTGCCCGTTCGCACCTTTTCCATAACTTTTATGTAATTTTTAATTTAGTTTACGTGAGTTAGCTTGCGATACCTTCAACAAATAGAATGACCATTATCATTGTATTAGACTACGAGCAGTCCCACCTTTTCGGTGAAGTCCGTTGCGCGAGTAAAAAACATGAGCGGAAAAATGATCCTTGCGCACCACTTGGAACTCTGAGACTGAGGTGCAGAGTTTCATGCGGCGCGCTGACATCAACTTTCTTCTTTGCTGATTTTTTTTAACCCGCGCAACGGACTTCGCCGAGAAGGAGGAACTCGTAGTCTAATTTTAAAATTTTTCTATCATCGCTATTACAAGAACGCTTCATCATCGTTATCGTCCTCAATATCGAGAAACAAGTTTACGAATCAATTTTTGTACCGCTGCGATAAGCTCTATTTACCAGCGTGCACGGGTTTCAACCGCTTATTTACTGTAAGATGTCGTAGTTTTGCTGGAGCCGTTGCACGGTATGAACACAAATCGAACCACAATGCTGAACAAGGACGTTCAAAACACTTAAGGGCACCATTTCAGTATTAAAACACTTCGTTATTTTTATTCAGTTACAATGAAAGCAATATTTACATCAACTTTTCTGAGCGGAAAAATACATCTACATAAATGAATTGAATGGTACTGGTATGAATAAATAACAATAGCTTTAAAATAAATTTACAATTTAAATGTTTGAGACAAAATGTACAAAAGACATTTGATGCTTCGCCAAAACGCACATCATTTATACCGAGCAAGATGAATGACAAAGCAATGAATGTCTTAAAAACTGCCTTAAATTATTTTTTACGCTGCAAACTTAAGCACTCGCGTCTTCTGACTTACAATACCATCACTAAAAGTAGATTTCTGGTGTAAACAATATAACAAACTAGTTTCAGTCTTAAGTAAGGTAAACAAACAAACATTACATCTACAGATTCAATCTGTCATATTTACAAAACAAGTTAGTTTCGGAGAAAAAACTAAACTGCAAAAATTTGAGATACTTTGCTTGCTCGCTAGTTGCGGAGAAATTTTTCATTCATCACTTTATTACAACTGATTCTGTTCACTATTTTTTTTAGATCTTAATGGAATAGTCTGGATGGAGTTGTAATTAACCATCAATAATCATACATATTTAACGAAACAAAATAATTATGATCGGATGGAATCATCTACAACAGTTTAAAGCTCACGCAAGAAACTTAGATTGTGAAAATGTTTCCCAAGTCCACACTTTGTTTTTTTATCAGAGAGAACACTGCCTTAAAGCCTTTTTTGTTCGAACAGTTCAATTCTTTGTAGTAAACAAAAAAGGTGCTCTCACCTCAGATTATCGAGTTAAGGATATCATGCTATAGGTCTTCTAGATGTTGTTACAAAAAGACAGTATTAACCTTCTCTTTTGAATGGGACGAAAATAAACGCTTGCGAACCGCAATCCATTTTTTTTTGCTCATGAGCCCCCTGAATCAGGAGGTTCATTAATTTTCAGACCGCTTTTTTCTTTTCTTACTCAATACGTCTTGTTCATCGTATGATACAAGGATGGCCAAGGCGTACTCGAATCCTCAAACCTCGCCAAAAAAATTGGCTTCACTCTCCATTTCCTCATATTTTTCCAAGTCAAATTTTACTTAAAATGTTCTTCTTTTTTTCTTCGTTCTCCTCTCTTCTTTTCTTTCTTCTTTTTCTTTTCATTTTGGTGCTTGCCGAATACCACAGTTAAGAGGTAACAAATACTAAAATTCCTCGTCAGACGCAAGTAGCGTGGAATTCTCATTATCGTATCTGTATCCATGGCCATCAAGAACTGTGATTTGCATTCCAGGTTTAATTGAATCCAAGTTTTCCACAACAGTGCTTCGATATGAAGTTACAGAGTTCGCTTGCACAGTGCTTTCCTCGTTGAAAGTTTTTAGATTCTGCGCGTTTGCGTAATGCTGATAAGATCTGGAGAAGTTGTGAATCGCATCATCTACAATGTCTTTAGGATTTATCGTTTGTCTTAGATTTCTAGAGATACTTTTCAACGCGATTCCTTGCCCTCGCTCGTCAAGTTTTCTCTGATGGCGATAAATCGAGTAAGGGAAGGCGTGCCTGAGAGCAATGGCAGCGAAGAACATTTCTATGCAGACCACAAAGTTCTGATACCCGGCAGCAATTGTGCCAGCGGATAAGTCACGATATGTTCTGATGGCTCCCGCCTTTTCTAGCACAGCTAGTAGAACACCTGAGGAAACAAAAATTTTGTACAACATCGTTTTTGTTGTCTTCTTTTTTTTCTCTGGCAAGAATCACTTCTGTATGGCTGTGTAAAGTTCAAACAGATCGCCCATGGATGGAAAAAGAGGACTGTGACTTAATTACGTCAGATATGTGCGGCCAGTTTGCTCAGCAAGATTCAAAATGGCGGCATTCATTGTCGATAATTTAGTTAAGGCTAATAAATCTTTGAATCTTAAAACATGGTCATCCAGATATACTTTTAAAAGGCGTTGATAGAAATTACTCTTACCTTGCCAAAAAGAAAGAAAAATAACTGACTTTATGGTAAAAAACTTCAGCACAGGATAGTAAGGACTAAGGAGATCTCGTGTGGCTTGATAGAACAGAAACAATGCATACAGAGCCAGTGACACCGTGATATTGTACACTATTGTGATATACAGATAGCCACGGTCAGCTCTGAAATACAACAATAAAAACAGTTTAATAATCTAAACATGATTAATCTACTGGACTGATGTACTTCCTAAGCAGATTAATAGTTCACCATTTATTCACCCTTAGTAAAAAAAGCCTACAACCAAGAGATATATGAGTGAGTCTCATACTCTGAATACCAGATGGTGATGGTACTATTTACTAACACAAATGACCATAAGTTCATAATCACACGACCCTAACATGATACTTCTTGGTGAAATATCTTTTATTTTAATTTTTTTCTTTTGTTTCTTTTCATATCAACAAAAAAGTAGCCATTTTAGATGTTAACATTCAAAGTTTAACCAAGCATGATGGCCATGCTCAGTCTATGCCTGTTCACTAATCAATTTTCCCATCTTAGTACTAAGAAGGATTTTAAAAATGCACAAAGCAGGCACCCTGATAAATGAAATAGGAGGTGGGTGTTTGGAAGCATCACACCCATGTCAGTGGTTAAACAGCTTCCCCTTCAACTTGGTGGCAATCTGAATGCCTGATGCAAAAGCTAGTTATATTTAAGTATACTGGTTACAAAAGTGTGCTATTTTAATCAATATTTATCTTAGCAATATCAATTTTTGGGACAAAGATCTAAGGAATTGTTAACAGAACACTTTTATCAAACAGTTTCTTTTTTTGTAATTTAAATCAAACCTAAAATATAAGACAATACAGTCACATGACTGTGATTACCTCCAGTCTCCATCAGAGTAGTAACCAAGTGGCTGAAGAATGAGTGTAATGACTGCCATGATGGGTTTTATGACACAGTACTGAAGAGTGGCCTGGAGGGACATGAGTCAATCATGAAATCACGTCATTTTGTTGTTAGGCCGATACAAACTGACAGCATATAGAAAATGTACCTGGTTCTAATCTAAGTTTCAAAAGTAGCATGTAGAAAAAAAAAACCAACAACAACAACAATCACTGAAGACCAATTAACACAAGTCCCCTTAAAAATCCAGGTGGTAACTTTACCAGCTCCTACCCTGTCAGAGAGAAGCTCCAAAAGCAAGAGAGGCTTCTCCTAACAACTACCATGGTAAGAATTTTCAATGATATCTGTAAGCACAAGTTCTTAAAGTTGCAAACACCCGTGAGTGTCAAAAAAAAAAGGGTACTTAAATCTAGGTATCATTGATATGAAAAAATAAATGAAATTGAATTTTGCATTCAGTAGTGCCAAAAAGAAGACAAAAAGGGTGTCTTAATTCTGTATCTCAGAATACTAAGCTTCAGGATAAAAGAAGAGAAATAAATCTCTCAATTCCTTGAAGCCAGAGAACTTTCATTAGTAACTCATCACATCTAATCGCAACTACGGTGACTATTTCTTCCAAAGTCAAAGGTAAAGAAGGCAAGAAATCTATCAATCATATTTCTTGTTTGTTATAATTTTTATAATTGTTATATCTATATTTTCCTAACAGTGCAACAAAATTAGAAATAAAATTTAAAAAAAACAACAACTTAGGACATTTTATCTAAGATGATATATCAGACCTCACCTGTTTACAGAATCTTAAGAACACTATTGTATATTGACATCCTGTTAAACAACATGTGCACCATAACCAACTGGCTCTGAAAAAAAAAAGGGGATCATGAAAAAGAACTCATGGAAAAATTCCAGTAAAAGCAGCTTATCTATTGAAAAGACAAACAATGATTAAGAGCTAAAAAAAGTTTAGGCAATGTGATTAAGTAACATTCCAACTTGGTCAGTGCACTCACAGTCCTTGATATTCCAGTTACCTAGTGATACACAGCTTCATGTTATGATAACAGTTAAAATGTTTGCCAAATTCACATAATTATGTTTTGTTCATTTAAGTGCCAACACTCATTTTGGTGAATGATATGACTTGCGTGCTCTAAGAAATTTCAAATATTCCAAAAGCATGTCATGAAATACTTTGCATGCCTTTTAAAGAACATCACTGGCATTTTCTGACCCATCAATTAAGGCAAAATACAGACAAATTTAGTATCCCTAATAATATACTCTTGTGGCTAAAAAATACCACAAGGCCAACAATTTACGTAAAATCTGTGATGATTCACTTACTTTATTGGTCGTCCTCTTATCTCACTTAAGATTGACATCTCACCTCCCAAATATTCGTAACACAAACTCAAGAAGTTGTAGATAACAAATGCTAAAAAAAAGACAACCAATTTCAAAAGACTGGAATAACAGCCACATCACAAAAGCCAAAGGAAATTCTATTTACAACCACCTTCATGTTACCCCCCTTAGCTGACAATCATTTTCTTTTCTGGTCAGAAGATTTTGGCAATCAACATTTTTACCCAAGACAGAAATTAAATATAGCAAACTGTATGTTCTTCCTAAAGTAATGAGCTCTTAACAGTTATTTACATCAATTATGACAATAACAGGGCTGCTTTATGAGATGTTTGCACTCCTTTTTATAAGGATTGTGTACATTTTGTTAAAATCACTCTGTAAAAGGCAAAGGATGGTTGTGATTTTCCTAAGTAAGTTTCTCAAGGACACCAAATATAACAAAATAAAATGCTACTGCACCAGTGACCAAAGAATATTTATCAGGTGTCAATTTTAACTCTTCCCATGACAGAGCTCAATCAGCATCTATCTTTCTCTATAAAATCAATCAATGCTTTCAACATTGCCTATCCTGGCCACATGCAGAATGCATGTCACAATTGCAATCTCTGATGAAATCTTGTTATATCCCCTACTGATGCAGCACCACAGTTTCTTTAACCCTTCAACTCCCAGAAGTGATTAACATGTAACTTCTCCCTATAATATCCATTCATTATCCAGCAAACAGGTAATGAGAATAGTAACCCAAACTTATTGGGTAGAAGTTGTTTTCTTGATCTACCATAAAATCCTCACAACTAACTTACAAAGAAATGTGTAGTAGCTAGAGGGGAGAATTGACAATTGGATCTTGGGAGTTAAAGGGTTAAAGACTGATCCAATTACTTCATATTCTCAACATGCAGGCTCAGTGAGTAGTCTACAATTCACTTGATTTTATCATAGGGATAATATACAATAACAAGTAAAGATCATGATTTTCATTCCACCAAAAAAAAGAACATGATCAAAGAACATACATTTTTCCATAGTTTAGACTGTTACATCTTTGTTGTCAAGTTTGGAAGTATTAAGACAATTATTCACTCAATGGTGTGTTTTGATAAGCTATTGTTTTCAGAAGCTGGCATTAAATTGGTAAGATAAATTAAAAAATGTTAAGTACCTTCATAACAATCCCTGATACTGTCAAAGTAGACATAGTATGACTGTTCAAAAAATAACAAGCTCAACCAGGAATCAAATGCATAGATAGGAACAATAAACAGGATTCTCACAATCCACCTCTGCTCATTTGGGTTAGTGTAATACCTTAAATGTTGATAAATCTGCAAGATAGAATGAGTTAAAACATCAACCTACAATCATAAACAAAACACACTTCCTGCACAATTTTAAAAGACAATTTTCAAAGGAATAGGTTATCTTTTGGAAATCTCAAAATGCAGTAAGTAGTTAGTATTTGAATATATTCACTAACATTAGAGATGAATCAAAGCATATGGTTTCCGGAGAATACTTCTCTTCTAAAGGGATCTTCATTAATGTCAATTTTCATTACTGAAAATGAAAGACCTTATTTACGAGCTGTCTTTGCCATTCACAAGCTATCTGTGACAACCAGCAATCCTGGCATGCAATACTTAATCATAATTTTATTCTTAGTAATACAAGAAATACAATGTCATAGTTTGAGGAGGAAATATTTATTACATTGATTTGAGTGTCAGATAAACGTTTCTCAGTTGTACGATTCATCCTCAAAAAATCACCGATAATTTATCTTTGATAGTCGTTTTATATTTTTACCTTTCAAATGATCTATGTTGCAAGCACATGCAGTTGTACTCTCTTTAAACAGAATCGTTCGCGACATATGAAATAACGTAACTGAAGTTTCACTGCTCACTGCGGGTGATTGTAGAAAGGAAATTGGTTTGAAATTTATCAGTTGTCAAAACTCGCTGCGACTACAGACGATCTAAACAAAGATCTAAATAAAGCCTAAAATTTTCTAATAGAAAACAACAAATCTAACGTAAAAATGGATTTCAAGAGTCTTCCCGACATTGTAGAGGAGTTGAGAGTCACTCCTAGTGATAAGAAAAGACATGAAAACAACAATAGGTCATGCCCCTTCCAAACTTGTACATTGATGCAAGTTGGAGTTTGAAGTTTGGGTCTTGCTGTAATAAAATGGACAGATTTTGAGTCCAAGATTTTTTGACTTAGAAAAATTGGTTCCGATATGAGAGGAGAAATCGGCAAAACCATATTACAAATACAACCGCTAGTTCGCGTATGAATTCAATGTACACTTTCGTTTCGTGTATCTTGTAAATACTTTTCTTTCAAAATTTAACTATTCCTCACCTGATGGCAGGTTATAATTAAAGATAACCACACAAAGATACCCGAAATTCCGCGAGCAGCGGCGGTTTGGAAGAAAATCTGTTCATCGGCTGCAACTGGAGTAAGTTCGTTTAAAATGGGGGTTGGCGAAGTTGTTGTCGTATTTGGCGAACTTAGCAACAAAGACGTGTTGAACAACATGGAAATATGAAAACGGTAACACCAGTCAATGAAACTTCTTTCGAGACTCCGTAGTTCAAATCACTGAAAGAAACTCCAACAAAGACAATGGTCATCTACAAAGTGAAAAACCTGTTTCTTTCCGTAATAACTTCAACGAACAGCGATGCATGCTTCTAAAAATAACCACTTTTTTAGAGTTTCCGCTGACCAGTTCATCCAGGCAGGTGCTTTTCAAGTTTTTTAAAGGTTATTTTTACCAGTTTTGTGGTTATCGTTGTTTTCATCCATGCCAATGGCCAAGGGTCGAAGACTGAAGATTTTTGTCAAGAAATTTATTCAAGCGGAGCCTCCTCTCTATCCATGAAAACGATTAGCATCAACGTGTACCAGAAGCACGCGGTAAAGGGCTCCTGTATCTGCGTAATAGCTACGTCACATGTCAAGTATGTTTGGTACGCTCGCGAGTTACGTTTCATGATAACCAAGTTTAGCCGAGTGCGAGCGACGGAGGGAAAAAATTGATTTTTTTCCAATCGTACTTTACTGTTGTGCAGTAATGTGGCAAAATTTTCCTTACTTTGTATAGACACTCGTTATTTATCTTTCTTCAGGGTCTTTTTATAGAATCGCAAAAAAAAATAATTAATTGAGATAAAAATAAGCGCGGGGAGTGTGGAAGTGTGCGGCTGAGCGGGAAAAATGCGGAAGGCTGCAGATCTATCGATGCAAGGCTTCTTTTCTCCAAAACTTCACTCGATGCGGGGGAAACAGGGCTATTGTATTGAAGAGGAGAACTTGGGCCCTTCTCTGTTTTCATGCGTTTCGTTGGCCACATTCACCAAATTTCCCGTAACGGCTGGCCCGTAGACCGTCTGAAGACCAAAGAACATCTCGATTTCCTCATTCTTTCCACTTGAACTGAAGCTCTGTTTTATTCTGGTACCACTTCCGCCACTCAAAATATTCTAAGGTCACCACTCCATTATCCTGTCACAGGAGCTCATGATGGGCTCCTGCCTGTCATTATTGATATGCCCAGGATTGAATGCATCCACGAAAATCACACATGTTACTATCATTTTCGCAGCAATAGGAAGACTTCCTGGATGACAAATTAAAATCGCCTTATCATTCGCACCAAAGAAGGGCCCAACCTTAAAACAACGAAACTGTTAAGACTTACAGAAATTCGCTAGATTAAAAAAGAACACTAATTTTCGAGAATTTTGACAAAAATTGTGATTTTTCATTTTCACGGTTTTTTCGTATTTCCACGAAAATAGCAAAATTTGTGATTTCAGTACCTACGTTCAATCCTGGAAATACCGCGATTAATGCTTAAGACACCTTTTGAACCTGTGAATGCGGCCCAACCAGAAACTCAATCTTTCGTTAGAGAAAATTAAGTGAGTTCTTATTGTTTTGTTTTTCTACTTGGCTCATAATCATTTGCATGAAACTTTAATGAAGGTAAGGTTTGAATTGTCTACGTAATAACATAAAGATTTTTGGTGTTAATGTAATTAGAATTGAGTCAATTACAACCAATTTTGGAAAAGACATCTAAAATCTGGACAGCAATATCCGTTGTAACTCAATTGAAAATTAGCACTGAATTATAATGAACATAAGGAAAGATAAAAATACATAAATTACTTACCCTTGAGTGATCAGTTAGAGACCTTCGCCCAATTTCCAATGCCCTTAATTTCTAACCCAGACCAGGAATTTCAAAGCTCCGTGTATATTTCAAAACTCAACAGGAAACTTTGCCGTGGATGCTGGGAGGTTTGAAAACGAAAGTCACCAATCAAGAGATATTATTGCATAATCTCTTGCACTAATGACAACACATTCTTCCGACCTTCTCAGGATATACCTGCTGAGAATTCAATTTGATCGTTGTCTTCACATCCATGTGTATTTTGATGGTGTGTTCTAGTAGTCTATAGGCACGGTTCCCACCAACGTACAAGCCAGAGAGATTTAATAATTGTTTAAGGTTAGAAGATTCAGTAATTAACGTCGTAATTTATTTCAGTCGGTAATACATACACTGTATGATTTTACACCAGTGACTAACGGCGTAATTTATTCCAATCGGTATATGAACATACTGAGAGATTTTACGCCGTTAGTTAACGGCTTAAAATCTTACAGTATGTACGCGGACGCAGATTGTGGCGTAAAATCGTACAGTCTATAGACTGTGTTAGCATCATAATACGCCGTTATCTAAATACCGCGTATATAGCACGGAAGTATTTCAAGGCTCTCGCAGATTTATGCTGCGATTATAATTTTATTTTTTATTTACCTAGCTTATTAAACAACCATGACGGAGTGGAAGGAAACTTTTTTGAGTCCATTGACAATCATCTATTTTCTTTTCCTGAGTACCACGATATCGGTCGAGAGTAAACACAAAGCGAAAGTACTCGTGCTTGGAGCAGGTTTGTCAGGCGTGACCGCAGCTAAAACCCTAATAGACAACAACATCACAGATTTCTACGTGATCGAGGGCCGAGAATACATTGGTGGAAGAATTCACGACATCCAGTTTGAAGGTCTAACCATAGAGACTGGTGCAAACTGGCTTCATTTACTGGACGACGAAGATTCGGCACCTCTGACAAAACGGAAGGAAGAAACAAGTATTGGAGGTGTTTGGTGTAATTATTCTGACGTCATCATGAGGTTGGTTGAAACTGGCTTTGTGGAAGGTTAAATTCGCTCCCAGGGCTCTTCATTTTATCATTTCACGGGAGCCGAGAGACTGGTAGTGTGATTTAGGTCAACGTATCATATTTTATACGAGTAAAAAAGAAGTTAACCCGTGGGTATAACTAATTAGTTTGCCGCCAAAGAGGGCAGATAGTACAAAATTTTTCTTTTGAAGCGCACACGTCACAGAAAACGATGAAAAACCCCAAATTTCATCGGAAATTCTTCTGCAGGTCCCAGTTGTTCGAAGGCTGATTAGCGTTAACCCAGGGTTAAAATTTAATTCGGGTTTAATTATTCCTCTGTTCAAAAGCGTTTTCGGTATGATTTTCTCTATTTTTTTAGAGCATGCAATCGTCAAATCATGGTCAAAAAGAAACAAACTGAATTTTCCTTTGAAGCTATCACATCTGAAGTCAGATTTTACACTAACCTTGGGTTGGGTAATCTAACCCCACCTGTAAACAACCCCAACCCTAAATTAACTTAATTGATTTCTTACAGAGACGAGAACGGCCGAGACATCACAGACTGGGAAATTGTGCGTAGATTTGACGTTGAAGTTGAAAAAAAATTAGAAAATTTCCAGAAAGCCAGAAAAGACAACAACCTACCTGACATTCCAGCGCGGGTTGGCTTACAGTTAATGGGATGGAAAAGTCGTCAACCGATTGAAAAAGTGCTTGAATATTCGAGACTTGACTTTGAGCATGCCAAGCCACCTGAGTTAGTTTCATTTTATCAGCTTTTCAGTCGAGGAAGAGACTTTTTTGTTTCAGACTCAAGAGGATTATGGTCTCTGTATGAAGATCTGTACATACCTTTAGAAAAACATATCTTGCTCCGGGAAACCGTTGAAAAGATATCTTACTTTAGTGACTCGGTGGAGGTTCAAACAAAAAGTAACAAAACTTTTGTAGCGGACTACGTTCTCTGCACATTCAGCTCTGGAGTCTTAGCCAGTGACACTATCACCTTTGACCCTCCCCTCCCAGAGTGGAAGCAAGAGGCAATTTACAAAAACCCCATGTCCGTGTATACGAAAATTTTTTTGAAGTTTCCAAGAAAATTTTGGGATGATCATGAATATATTTTACACGCTTCTAAAACGCGCGGCTACTTCCCTATACTCCAGGATTTGGACAGACCGGGAATGTTGCCAAGTGGGAGTGGAATTTTACTGATTACTGTAACTGGAGATGAAGGAAGAAGGATTGAGAAACAAACAGACGAGGAAACAAAAGCTGAGATTATGACTACATTGAAAAAGATTTATGGAGAGGAAATTCCTTATCCATCAGGTATGTAAACATGTGAGCTTTATTTCCGGCAAAAAATGTTTGGGGAATCTCTGAAAGCGAAAATCTGTTTTTAAAAACTGAGTAACAACTTTTTTGAAGGGAGTTTTTATTTGTGATTATTTATCACACTTGAGTAAAGCATTATCAATAACAAAGAGGAACTTTAAAAAGTTTTGCTTGCTCTCTTTACCACGCTCGCTTCTCCTCTCTGTCTCCGTCTCTCTCCTTCTCAAGAGACCTGAATTGTTGTATTGGCTCAACTGTTACTTGCGTCTACTCGCCTTTTAAATTGTATTGTACTTTCTGTTTTGTTTTATCAGCAATATTTTATCATCGCTGGTCCAAAGATGAGTTCGCACAAGGTTCGTATAGTGAACCTGTGGTTGGTACAACCTCACAGGACTTCAAAAACCTCGGGAGAAAACTGGGTCGACTGTATTTCGCGGGAGAAGCGACCAGCGAAGAATGGTACGGGTATTTGCAAGGAGCTTACCTGAGTGGTAAGGAGAAAGCTCAGATTATCGCTGGTAATGTTAATGACGTGCCTCCTCTGATGGATAGCCTACTCGATATTCATGAGGAACTGTAAAGTAATCATAGCTTTAACTATGTTTTAGGCCTATCGTTTTAACTGTCGGTCTTAAAATCTGCGCTTTGAATAATTTTTTTATACCACCCAGGCTAAGAGCTATTAGAAATTTGAAAAGACGAATGGTGGGGGGGAGGGGGTGGTGAGGGGGTAAAAAGCAAATTTCTCGGGGAAGTACGGAGCAAATTTTGCCTGCCCAAAGTAAGAAATTCAAAACCAAAAATAAATTCATGTAAGGAATATCAAATCAATAGATTTATTGTCTCCTTGTACCAAAGAATGATGAATAAAGTTTCTGTAACAACTCAAGTACCGTTTTATTCCGATTTCTGTCTTATAAATTGTCTCGGACTCAGTGGCACAAAAATATTTTTGAGCTAAAAGTGGTTTTTTTTATCGAATATTTATAAGTTACACACGTGTTTATATACTTAAGTACATTTTCGACCATTAAACCTTTCGACGGCACACCTAGAACCCCGAACAAGGCTGTTTACAACCGGAACTTTAATGGCTTTATTAGCAATAAGACATTGTTTCTTTAAATCCGATACAAAGCTTCCGTCTGATTGAAAAACGTCGGGAATAAATGTAGCTTCCGTTTTATTGTTTCGCTATATTTTCAGCATTATTTATTACATTATTTTGTGGTCTTCAAGAATTTCAACGATTTTTCTGGAAACATCTGAACTGTTACCAATGATTGGGTGCTAACGGCTCTGGTATTTTGATAAAGACAGAAAAAAACACATTTCAGTTTGAAGTGTGAGTGTTGAAGTATTCCTCTAACAGTTACTTCGTGGTTTTGAAAACCGAAAGTGAAAAAAAGATTGAATAACCCTTTCGCACACGACACAAGGCAAACCATTCTTTGTTGGCGTTTTCGGTCGCTTGCTACACACTCAGAGGGTCTCCTGTAAGCCGTAAAAATCATAAGGGCTCTTTTTTTCCCGATGAACAGAAATTAAAATTAAACATTGAAATTAATGACTATTTGCAAACCTTAACCTTTTGTAGTGGGTTATCATCTGAACGGAAATGATAATTTTAATGACGTCATGCAGAATAAACGATTGCGGCTCCGCATAATTTCGGTTTTCATTGTCGTGAGAAGTCGGGAATTTCCGAAAGTGAAGTTTTTCACATTCCTTCACTGATGTACTTTCACCGCGAATTTTGAAGAACTTGTCCGAAGACAATATTTATTTTTCCGGCTTCAGTACTTCAAGATTTTGATCGATTTCTCCTTGAATGATTTGTTTGCGAATTGTTAACTCACATCGAATGTTACCAAGACATTTTGATTCTACTCAGAGTCGAGATTGTAAGATCGATCACTCACGCTCTGTTTGGCTAGTCACTCGCAGTCAATCATGATATTTGATACATGATACTGGTCACGACGTCTTCTTCCTTAACTCATCGAAGTTTGGAACTGTGAAGGACTCTGTGCACTGTAAACACTTTGGAAGTGCTTGTGCCTGTCACTGCAGCTTAAACGTGGAGTTTTTTTTTACGTCCCTAAGTGGAAGTTTTGTTTAGAATCGTCAAGAATCACAGCTGCCACATTACAGAGCGCTGCTGAAATCTAAACTGGTCATCGATGGATCACGAACGATTGGACACGGATCAGTCAAGGTTATCAAGGTTTGAGAACTAGTACAGACATGTTTGAATGTGAATGAAAAGAAAGCGGAAGAGTTGGAGGCTTAAACAAGAATTGCTGATCTTCAGCTGGTTAAAGCTTTTAAAATGCCATTGCATTGATATATATCAGCTGAGCACAACAAAGGATATCGTTTTAACGATAATGGCCACCAACTGATCCCTGTAAACATGTTTATTGTACTTTTATCCCTTTTAATTTTGGGTGGAGAAATAATTACCATGAAGTCCTCAGCTGAAACACGAGGTATAACTTTTCTTTTAGTTACCCTTCAAGGAGAGATGAAGCCCCTCTTAATTCCAGACGTCCCGCACCAATTGGTTTTGAACTCTGCTTTCATAAATCGAACAAAAATAAATCTTCGTAGAAGTTGTAATTCACTGAATTTTGATGCAGAATACGAGAAGACTTAAATTTATATTTTACAAGATAGTGGAAATGTTATTTCTTTCGGTTTTTGTTGGCTGTTCATTTTAAAGTGCCATAATTTCATTTGGAATTAGCTATTTCTTTTCTTCCTAAGTGGTTAAGCAACTATTGACAGTTGGGCATTTAATTAAATTTTTTCATATCACTTTTTTTATGAGGTATGTAAAATGTCAAAAGTTACAATTTGCTGGTATTTTGTCATCAATTAAATGATAAATTTTCTTTTCTGATTTTTTGGCAGGAATCTTGAACAGTTTATTGCTGTTTGGGACTTTGAACCATCAAAAAAAGATGAAATAGCTCTACTGAAGGTAAAAATTTTAATAGTTATCCTTTCTTTAACACTCTATGTAGCAAATGCATTCCATGTTATCAAGCATCTCCTCAGTTGTAAGTCACAGATGACTTCACTGTAATGAACAACAATGATATATTTTATCTACTGTTAGGGGGATATTGTTTTTGTGGTGAAGAAGTATCAAGATGGTTGGTACCGTGGCATCCGTTACAGAGGTTATCAGGTATTGTTCATATATTAAAAAATTTGTCTGTGATATTCCCCGATATCTACTTACCATTATGCATATACACACAATGTACATGCCACTGCACTACTGCTTGCATTTTAGTTCATAAAATAGTAGGACTTATGCTAATCCTTGTATGGTTAAAAAATTTAAAAAAAGGATGCAATGTTGATTTTTTTCTTTTTTTGTTATCATCAGGCTGGTTGTTTTCCAGGGAATTTTGTTGAGAAAGATTCAAGTGAAATTGGAAATTGGTAAATCAAAGTTAATAACAAGCCAATTTTTAGCAAGTTTATTGCATTTTTTAGTGGCAGATAACAAAGAGCTTGTTTAGACATTAGGTTTCACATTAATTTTGTTTTTGTGAAAGTGACAGAAAAGGAATGTAATTTAGTACTGTTTTGATTGAAGCAGAATCAACCATTTGAAATGCGGAGTCGGTGGTTGTAATTAAACTCAGAGGCTGAAATATTGTTAAAGTTCCAGGGTTCAAATTTACCCTAACTATTACCTGCCACTACCAGTGAAAGCAATATTGCCCAAGGAAAGTAAATCAAACCAATGCAGTTCTCTGTTCCTTATTAGGCAGGACTTACCTTCACCAACCTTGGAGGGGAACTCAAAAGTTCTGGAAGATTTAGAAAATGATCGAGCCAAGCTGACATCAGAGGCTAATGGAACAGATGATCAGTGCAAGGAGATGGAAGACAGACAGCCTGATGCCAATCATAATAATGAACTGAACAGATCTGATTCACTTAATGGTGGTAATCTCAGTCCTAGTGCTTTGACGTCTTTTCATGGACTGAATATAATTGCTGAACAAATGGGACAGGGAGAGGAAGGTAATACAATTGGAATGTTTAAATGTCTTGTAAAAGGTTTTATTCTGTTATTATGAGTAACAGTTGATTTTGTACGATAATTTAGGATTATCAACTGAGTTGAGTAAGAGTTTCAAAGCTGGCATTTTGAGTGTTAGCCCCTCATCATTTGCTCTAACAAAGGACTTACGCTCATAATGTCAGCTTTTAAACTCTTTACAAAGGCTAATTTATGTTTTCAACTCAGTTGAAAATACTAAATTACCCTGCTATACTCTCTCACCGACACAGCACCACAGTTTCTTTAGAAAATTACCCCCTTTATTCAGTTGATTTTGTAGTATTATTGTCATGTATTACTTAAGAACTACACACCCCAAACAACATGGCGGTTCGGTAAGTAAAAGACTGTTTAATGAAGTAATAAATGACAATTATCATTCAGGTCAGACAGGATCTTGGAAATGATTTTTCTCTATGGATGTGACTTAGTGTATTTTCACATATATTGTGGGAGATGATGGTGATTTTGAGTTCTACACAAGCTATCATAAAGCCAGTGCTTTGCTGTAACAGTAGCAGAAGTACTGAGAAATTTGCCCTCTCAAGGTTGCCAAAAAGAAATTGTGAAGTGTCTCAACCATTTGTCTCTTATTTTGTTTTTGAACCATAGAATCAGAGGAACGAAAAAGAACAAGAGCTGCAATGGTACATGTTATTTAATTTAAAATTTTCTTGTTTTGAGGCTTGTTACTTCTACCAGGACACACTTGTAGAACACATTAAAAAAAACGTGTACAGACCAAGATTTTGTGGAATTATTAATTTGTAAACTGCTAGTTTATAAGCTGCTCACTGATAATTACAAGCATTAAATTCATTACTTAATGTCAGTAATAAACAATTTCTCTGTGTTTCTAGCAAATTTGATTAAAACAGAATGTTTTTTGGGTCAGTGACATAATGAAATTTTTTTTTTCTAGGAACTCTTGACATCTGAGGTGTCTTACTTCAATGGATTAAATCTCCTTTCTGGGGTTTGTATTTTAAATCGTTCATAAGAAACTGATAATTCTGTTGGTCAAATAATTTATTTTAAAAAATATATTATTTTTGACAGTTTATGATAATTAAAATTAAAATAGAACTGATTACTTATTATATTAAATAATGTTTTCTATTGGTTTTTCTCAAATACATCATACTTTATTTTTTAACAGTAGTATTTGATATATTTCTCACAACTTGAATGCTAAGGAGGAATATTTGAGTTATTAACAACTGTTGCTTTCTTTGCAGCATTACATTAGGCCTCTCAGGAAACTTCGCATTATTTCTGATGAAGATGTAAAGAAAATTTTTTCCAATGCAGAGGTAAGACTCGTGAAATCTCCTCCTCGTAGTACTAGTAAGGTAAGGTAATAATCTTGAAAAAGTATTCGCCAATTTATTTTTGTCTTGCTTGCTGATCAAGAACATACACAGAGGCTGAAAACTATTTGCAAAAACAATGTCAAAAACAACAACAAATTGAATTGAATTGCTTTAATTTATTTCAGTCCTTAGAGTCCATTAGTAAAGAGTTGGTTGCTAAACTGCAAACGCGTTTAGCTTTCTGGGATGTCAATACAACTTTGATTGGAGATGTTCTTGTAGAAATGGTATGTGATGATCTTTCAAGAATTACAAGGGAAGACTTTTCCCTGTGAACAGAGTCTACATTTAGTCAGGTAATAAGCTTAAAATTAGCTTTGTTAAAAAATTGTAGTCTGACCTTTGATTTTTGTCATGCAGTTTTCCTATTTGATGATGTTTGAACCATATTTCAAGTCAAGGAAGAGAGGGAATGAGGTATGAAAGTCATAATATGTGCTTATTGACTGAGCTGGAGGATACCGACTATGCATAGCTCTTTCAGTTACAGCTCACATCAACTGGTTGGCTCCTACATATGTCAGCTTTCACTATGGTTTTTTTTATGGAATTACATGTGGGGCCCTACAGGTCATTTGATAATAAGATTTATGAATAATTATGTGTACTGTCTTATGATCAGGAGTGGTTCATTTTTTCTTTGGTTGAGAATGTTTCAAATCAGTCCTGACCTTTTTTTTTCTTTTTTTCTTTTTCATTTTATGGCTATCCCAAATTAAATGCAATCTGAAATTTGCCTGACTCTGAAGCCATGTTCCCTTTCCCAATTCAATTCTGGACATTTGCAGAGGTCAAAGTGCATAATTGGTAGAGGGAAGATGGGTTGAAATGGATCAATATCATTATCTGGGCAACTGCCCACCTACCCCTCCCCTAACTCAACAAGAGTCAATTGATAACAAGTTAGGGTTAATGTTGGGTTAGGGGAGGGGTAGGTAGGCAGTTGCCCAGATACTGATATTGATCTGTTGAAATAAGAATATGGGGAATCAATTGCTCTATTTTGGAAAAGTTTTCAAATGTTCAATGTATATTGAAATGCATCAATTATTTTGTCTCTAATTTCAGCTTTCTCTTATGAATTTCCATTAATGTTTGTGATTAAGAGAAATATATTATGAAGTTCCATGTAGGATTACTAACAATTAATGTTCTGTGATGTCTAGGTGAAAATGAAATTAGAAAAAAACAATGAGAAGTTCAGAAATTTTTTGGCCAAGGTGAGACACTCACTTGTTTAGTAATGTTTTAGTTGATTTAAATATACCTTAAATTTATCTGTACTTAAGGTAAGGATCCTAACTTCATATTGAGTTGATGTAATTATTTTTTGGGATGGTGTTATATTAATGTCTATTATAATGATTACATTGACTTCTTTTCCCAGGTCAGCTGCAATCATACCCTTGACTCATTGTTACTTATGCCAATACAGGTAATATCCTTTGACTACTTGATAAATTCACACTATGACACCTGTATGATTGTTTTTATATACTCTTTTTTAAGACACCTTATTCTGGAAATACTTCTAGTAGTAGGTAGGTTTTGTGGCCAATTTCTTATAATTAATGGCTGGTGTAATTTATATATTTTCAGAGAGTTCCCAGATATGAACTGATATTGAAAGAATTGGTGAAAAGAACACGTGAGGTGAGATATACCTTATATATTGTTGGTTGAGAGTTACCAGTAAGTTTATCAGTATACACCAGTTAAGTGTAATCAAAATTATGAAGTGATGTGCTGTTTAATTTCATGATTGCATTCTTTACTTACTTGTAGTTTGTTTGTTTGTTTGTTTGGTTTTTATCAATTTTAGGATCACCCAGATTATGAGAATTTGAAAGACGCTCAGAGCAAAGCCCAGAAGGTAAATTAATGAAGCTCATCCTTTGTTAATAATACTTTTTTTTATCCATGGTCAGTCCAGTGGTATATTAAACTTGATTCTACAAACATTAAAGGTTTATCTTCAGTTTACTATGTTCAATATTTAATAAATGCTGTACATATTTTAATATACATCAAGGCTTGATGTTCCTCAGATCTACTTTTACTTTTAATGTTTAGACTGCAGAGGCCTTAAATGAACACATCCGTCAAATAGAGAATGAAACAAAAGTTGTTGAAGTAATGAAGAGCTTTCCTAATGATGAATTGGTGGGTAAAATCAAAATAGTGCTTTTCACCATTTTTTTTTTTTTAAATAAGTATTCCTTGATTTAAATTGTATCAGCAGCTGTATTAGTCATCATTAAATTTCTGGATTGTCCTTAATTAGTCCCACCGTTGATTTGAATTTTTTTTTCCAGAATCTTATTCGACCAGCTGCCACACAGTATTCTACAGGTGACTTCATGATCATAAGTTATCTTAGAATAGGACCAAGTCTATATTAACTAACATTATTTACATTTAATATTCTTGGATTAAATTTTTTTGGGGTATATTTTCAGGAAAGCTGTATGGTTCTGTGCGCCTTAGGTAAGCATCAGTGTATTGCTTCTTGTTTAACTTGACCTGTACATTTGAGTGAAATTGTAGAAGATGCATTGGTTACTTTAAGCATAAAGTTAATCATTAATTCCATTTTGTTCCATAGGAAACATGAAAGAGACCAGATGACAAGTATATCTAAAACACTTAAAAGGTTGGAAATAGCCAAAAATATTTAACAATTATTTACCAAAGTGGCGAGGTAATTATCCACCAATTTCACCAACACTGAGGTGAATAATAATTGTTGTAGTATAAACCACACAGATACTGAAAAAAAAGTTTTTTCTCTGTACATTTGTTCAGTGAATTGTTAGTCAATAGTATTAGTCATCAACTTAAGACATATCAAAGAAGAAAACTCAAATTGCTGATTACCTGTCAAGCATCACACTCAAACATATATTAGTTATTTTCAACAATGTCTGGTGATTTCAAACTTTAAACCAAGAAACTTCTTATTGGTACATAGAAATTTCACTTTCAGTAACAGTTAATGGTATATGGGAATTTTCCCTTCAATAGAATCTCACTTCCCCTGATGGACAGCATTGAAATTCAGACATCTCCAAAGCTCTCCCGAGTACATGCAGACACGCGGTCACCTAGTACTCTTCCTCGATTTCACAATGGTGATAGTAGCGACAGTGACAGTGAAACAGACTCTGTGTCCTTAGGGGAAACATTTATCACCAGGTACATGTAAAAAAAAACATGCTGTTGAATGTATTAATAAATAAATTTTTTTCAAGTTAAATCTTCAGTGACAAAATGATTCCATGTAAATACAATGTTAATGCCAATTTCTAATTCTTTCTTAGCACATATATTTATGAGGGTGAAGTTGAACGTGTAACTAAGAAAGCCACAGGTTCTAACGATGGAGGAATGGTCCATGAAACAGTTGAAAGGTCAGGGAGCTGTAGTTAAGTTTTTATTTCTCACTTTTTTAGTTCTATGAACTAACTATTCTCTTTGTCCTTAAGGGCCAGCCTAAAACAACGAGTTTTTCTTTGTTTGCTCAAGATTTCCAAGAATTTTACATTGCAACTCCAAGCACTTGACCTATTTATTTGTTATGGTCTATGAACAGCTGAAAATTACTTTTAGTTATTGAAATAAATGTTATATATTTGATAAATGTTACACTCAGGTGAATGTGGTCTTGTCTTGCAGATATCTTTTCTTATTTAACAATGTCTTATTGGTTGCGGTGGTAAGTAACTTAATATTGTTTGGCAAGTGTGTGGATATTAAATTAAATTCAGGCTTTTTTTTGGAAAGAATTCAAGATGAAAATCTCTTCTTGTTACCATAGAGGTATGCAGAACTCTAAAATTGTTATTAACAACTATTAGTCACTTTCAGAAGGAGATTACTTTTCAAGTCCATTTTACTTTAGCCTAGCTGTATTCAAGAACATAAGTTTTGAAGATTTTGCTAAACTTAGTACATTTTCTTACAGGCGTCAGAAAATCGTATAACAGGAAAGAAAACTTATAAACTGAAGGACAGTGTTTCCCTCGTCCAGGCCTGGGTAACATCACCCAGTGCATATTATACAAATCCACCAGATAAGAGTAAGTTAAACCTGCCCTGTCAGTTATTTTACATTCATTTACTTCTCATCATTTTTAACCACAGCATTTGTTATTAAGTTACTCTTCTAGTTGATAGAAGATTGTGATTTTTAATTATTTAAAATGCTTTTAGTTTCACTCAGGTCAAAAACAAATACTCTACAATTTAAGATAGCATTGAATCCTTCAGCCCTTAAGAATGACTATTTTCTAATTTCTCCTTACAATATCACCCCTGAATCCAACATGAACGTCATGAGAACAGAGGTGATGATCACCAACTAAAGCTACTACTCTTCATTGATATAAACAAATTCTCCTTGTCAGCCTCTTTGGAAATGTATAGAGAACAGTATGGAGAATATACATACTGATGGTGAACACCATGAAACTAATCTATCACATACATCTAGATATTGCATTTTATCACATTTCCAGACACTAAGAGTGAGTATAAAACAAGGTATTTTAGTGTGAAAACTAATGGATTGAATTTCCTCAAATAAGTTTATTTGAATGTAGTAAACTATTACTTACCAGGTAATACACAAATGTAATGCTTTGTCGGTTCATTAATGAAAAATCTATTTTCTATTTTTTGAATAATTTTACATTATTAAAACTATTAATCCCAATTTTCCCTTTTTATTACAGTGTTTATTCTTGGGACCCCTACACAAATCTACAAGTTTTTAGCTCCATCAGAAAGACAGAAAGAAAAGTGGGAGGAGAAACTGAAAACACATATTGAGAAAGAAAAACAAGCATTTGTTGAGGTAAATGAAAATGTTCAGTTTTGCTTCCTAATTGTGCCTTTACAATAGTATTGTAACTGAACTCAAAAACTTAAACTGCATGACTTTTTAAAATTGTTTTAATAAACAATGAATTAAATGATTATTGATATAATGCAACATTCCTGTATACATGTTTATATTTACAGTCATTCCAAGGGTTGCCTGTACCAGATGGGGAATTCTTAGCAGTTTCATTTGATGCCAAGATTGATTACCATCAGACTGTTGACTTTGGTAAAGAGCACACTCATGTATTTGATATATTTACCAGTACTTATGAAGTGTTTGCTGTACTGTGAAAATGAAGGGATTGAAGCAAAGAGCTTAATAGAGTAGTTTGTGTTATTTTGGATCAAAGTATTTTGTTGCTAAAGAATTTCAGGTCTTTCATTCTGTAGGAATTGTCTCTTTCCATGAAAGCACTGGTAATCATAAGTTTATTTGAAAAACATCGGTTTGTGCTTTAACTACACATTCAAACCTCCTCACCACCCTCCCCCCCAAAAAAGGTGATATTGTGCTTGTCAAACCTGGCTTGCTCCACTTTCTTGTATCACAACATGTCTAGGAAACAACTGTGAAGGTTTTTTGGGAGGCCTTTGCAATATGACAATTTTTTGCATTTCTTGTTTTTTGGTTGATTATTTCTCATGAATATTGAATTTATTTCAAGAGGGATGATACCAAGATGCTCAATGGTGGGATTATAACAGGTGGTAATTACTACATTTCAATTTAATTCCTCAGAATTAAATTTAAGACAGAGTGAAGAAGTTCTGGTAATTGGATTGAAAGCTGGCAATTTATGGCTTCCAGTAAGTCAAACTGAATAGTATTTTTCTTTATCAAAACTTTGTTAAACTAGCAATTAATATTTAATTTTTTATGATTAGTCATTGAATTCATGTGCTTCTTTTCTTATAGGGGTTATTTTCAAATAGTGTTTGTGAACTTGACTTAGCATGGTAAGAATAATAACTCAATATGTTCATTGAAGAAAACTATGAATGAAACAAATAGAATGTATAATTGTGATGTTTTCAGTGATGAACTTGATAATCAAGAAAATTAACTGTGGTATTGAGGTTTCAGCAAAATCCTTTTTATCCCTTTGATCCTCAAGAGTGACTAGTATCTAATTTCTCCTTACAATATCTCCCATGAATCTGAGATTAACGTCACAATAATAAACAAAATGATCACTCACTAATTAAAAGGAGCTCTTGATTGTTAAACAATTTCTCCTTTTCAGAGTATAGAGAATATGAATACTGATGTTAGGGTGTAAAGGGTTTGAGTAAGCAAAGATAAGAAGGACAAGAACTGGAGAATTTCTTGTTTTTTTGTTTTAAAGGTGGCCAGGACTTTACAAAGGAAAATTTGGATGGTTTCCAGGTAGGATCAGGCTGTGGAAAACTGAATGCTAGTAAATGAATGAGAGGTGATTGAACTAGATGATGATCAATGACTGAGGAACCCACCGGCAGTGATAAGCTGACTGACTGGAGATAGTGATGAGATGCTCAAGCTTATCACAGTAAAAATTTTATAATGAATATTGATATTTTTCCTAGTAGATGGGAATTTTCATTAACCTCAAATGGGTTATTTTTGGGTCAATTGTGACTAAAATAAATGTAGACTACCTTTGATATTAGATTTTTTTAGAGATATGATGACGAAGTGGGTCACACACTGGACTCTTATACTAGTTAACAATTATTCACCAATGGCAAAGTGAATATTGTTGAATAACCCACAAGACAAAGTCAAGGGGATCATTCAACAATATTCATGGAGCCTGAGGCAAATAATTGTTTCAGTATAAATGGTTATGTGGTTTTGAATTCTGTTGTAAATATTTGTTTTGATGTTGAAATCATTGTGTTACATTTGTTTGATTACTTGTATCAAGCTTAAGAGCCAGTTTCCACTAGAATTTGAAAGGTTCATTTAACCAAATCAGCAAAAACTTCATATCTTTCTTTTGAAAAGTGTTACCACCAACTTAATAGCAGCTTTAGTGCTCTTGGGAAATTAAATGAATTTTCTTTATCATGCTCATCACTTCCTTTGTCACTCTGACAAAACTCAAGGCAGCCATTTTGAAATTCATCACTCCTGCCATAATCACCTTAAGCAAGGTGATTATAGCAAGATGTGATGCATTTTTTAACCTATCAGAGCATGCCCATCTCTTCAGTCACCAGAGCAATTATATTAAAACACCACACTAAGAAAGATTGTTGCATTTTTCAGCTCAGTGTGTCACAGGACCTGAAATGACAGCATATAATGGAACAAATGAGGCAAGTTACAATTAATATGTTAATAATATTAATTGTTCTTACTATCATAACTGAGGAGGGTTAAATGCTGAATCCCATATCTCTGCAAAACAGTCTCTATTAAGTTATCAATATTAACTAGTAAGTTTTCTCAACGAGTTAAAAATAATTATGATTTTTGTCAAACTTGATGCCCTAGATATAATGTTTGTGGACCATTTCCAAACTTTCATTCAACAGTTGACTGGTTCAAATTTGTTTTTCCATAGTTTTGAAGTTTTTAAACCAGTTTTAATATTTCATGGTTTATTTTGTTTGCTTTCTGGTGTAGTTTCATCCCATTCCTGTGGCCACAGCATTGAATGAGATCAAACAGAAAATGATGGACTGGGTGAGTGAGTGCATGTACATGTTGTAGTTAAACTTTCCTGAATTCTGTCCTCTTGTAAATGTAAGTTTAAAGATTGTAATGATATATCTAGACCAAAAAAAATGTGTTAAAATCATTTTGACATGTAATTCACTTTAGTTGAAAATATTCCAAATAGTTCTTACTTCTTTAGTTGGTTTGCTCTGTAAATTGATTTGAAAAAAATTCCTATTTATTGGATATAGACTGGCAGTTTACCCAGAGAACCTATCACTGGGGATATGACAGTGTTAAAGGTCTTTAAACCTGACAAGACATTTAAGGTAACAAGAAAAAGTAGTAAAAGAACGGTTCAGTTTTTGAGATGCTCAAAGATCATGTCACATTTAGTAACAAACAACTATTGTTATGATAATGATGTTGATAATGTTTGTTGATTTTCAGACCTGCAAGGTAGAACCAGGTTTCCTAATTTCTGATGTTATGCGGTAAGTAACTTGTCCTTCTTTGAAGCAAATTGTAGATAATGGAAATGTCTTTTTTGAATACCTGTACCACTGAAGAGAAATCTGGACATTGTATTCTAGAACTTAAAGACAAACCATAGCCTGGTTGATTAAAGGCTCCAAGTAGGGATAAAACACCATGTATATAAAATCCTGACAATATTATTATTTCTCAGCAAAACACAAAACTGAAAGTTGATGGAAACTGATGAACTTATCAGTTAGATGGTGTTATCTTGATGTTATCTCTACTAATGATCAGTTTACTAGTAAGATCAAGATTTTGTTTTACTTTTGTGCAGGCAATACACAAGGCACAGAAGTTTTGTTGGAGGGCAGATTGATGCTTCAGTGTTGGAAATGTGGGAGGAATCAGTTGATGGTTCTGGTGAGACTCAACTAATAGTTATGATCATGTTTTGTTAGCAATAATACACCGTAACATCATTTTGTTCCAACAAACTATATTTGGCAACATACTTGCACCAAAAGCCAGTCCCTCCATTGGGTTGATTTGAATATTTCATTCATGTCAAACATTCAGTTTATTTGGTTATTCTGTCTTGTTAGTTTGCTTGTTTACAATTGTATGTAAATTAGAGATCAGAGTTGTCATCACATTTAAACAAGGTACCTGGTACTGCCATTTTTGCCCTAATGGCCTTTCTGTTCCTTTTTATAGTTCACAGATGCTTGGATCCCGGGGAGAAGCTGAGTAACATCTTTGCAATGTGGGGAAAATATCAGGTAAGTTATGTTGACAGTTGGAAGTGAATTGTTAAAACAGGTAATGACACATTGTTGATTTACAGCAATTTTGTGTTTGAACAGTTTGGGTCTTTGGTAACTAAGCCATTGCAAATTTGGGCCATAACATGTAAGCGTACAGGGCTGGTGTATGTCTAAGGCTAAGAGTGGCCTGCTAATCCTGCAAGTACCAGAAGTGATTAAAACGCAACCTCTCCTTGCAATTCCAATATGTTATCTTTTAAACAGGTTACGAGGAAAAGACAAACTCATCAGCAAGATGGTGTTATCTTGATATAGCATCATATTCTCATGTGTAACTTACAAGGAAATTTGAGGGAGTGAAGAGGGAGAATTACTCATTGTATCTTGAGGGTTAAGGGGTTGAATACCACTTGAAGGATTCAGTTTGAAATCCTAGTCAGGGTGATTTTCAAGGGAATGAAAGAGCTGTGGAAACTGTCAGGGATTTTCAGGGAAACTTGATAGAATGTTGAGCAATATATAGCCCTTGTGACACAATTCCTTTAGCAGAGCTCCATTTTGCCTCCTGTCTCATGAACTGGGATGAGGTGCAGCAGAATGAGCCAACAGGCTGGTTTGACATCTTAAAACCTTGCTTACTAGTTTTATTTTGTGTTGTTAGGGAAAGATGAAGCTTGTTGTTCACAATAAAGATGAAAGACAGGGACTAGCATCTGATAAGAAAGAGGAACAAAAACCAGAACCACCCACTGGAGTGCTTATCTACTTTGATTAGCTTCAAAACAGTTTTTAGTAATTCACATTTCAGTCAACATTGTGTCCACAAATACACAATAACTTGCTAACTATTTTAAAATTAATAGTACATTTAGTTTTTATTGGAGCAAGTGAGGAAATTTTTAATTTTCTCTGAGATGCGTAATAGAAATACAACATACAATTTTATCAAATGAAAATCCTAAAGTTTTATTATCTTTAATTATGAAATCCAGAGTGCTATGAGTGAAGGCAAAGTCAATATTACAATTCAATTGCGTACCCCTTTCAGTCCATGCCCAAGAGTATCTTATTTATACTGAAAATGTGTATTTTCTCTTCTAGTTTCTCTTAGTTATCTTAATTCCAAACTGCATCAATCAACCCTCAGTTTCCAAAATAGGGGATTTTTTCAAAATTTTTTTTTAAATGCTCCATCAAATAGTTTTTGATAATGGCAGACTTGTAAATTTTATTGAAAAATAATCACAGTATTCATTTGAAGGAGACCAATGATAAATGACTATATGGTTACAGTCCCGATAAATTAAATCTGGCTTTCTGAGTCCATTTTTAATCAATTATTTTTAGATATAGAGAAGAAGATTAGGGATAATTTAGCATACACTAGTCAGCTCAGAACAATTTTTGATTTTCTTTTTTTTCCACTCATTAAGTTATTTCATATGAGCCTAGTATACCTACTACACCTAAGTCTATGTTTACTCTTTATGTCACTCCTTTGTGCATAATGCAATCTCGACAGATATTCTTCATCCCAGAAACTGCTGAGCTCTTTCACTCCAAGAGTGAATTCAAGGCATTAGGTTCAGCTGTGGAAAAAGTTTGGTATTAAAACTGAGCCCAGCACCTCAATCAACAGCAAATTGGGAAAAGATAAAATGCAATAAAACTTTTCTTTAGTACATTCAAGGGAGGATTTTGGATTCAGCTTTCTTGTCCCTAACACTTACACACTTATTTCCTAATATGTAGAACCTGAGTGGTTTCAGAGCCCACTCAGGTCCACAGGAATTTAAGCCTATTCTTGTTGATTTCACTATTGTAAGTTGACTTCCATGAGAATTTTTGTCATCCTCAAGCCAGAATTTTTCGGAAAATGCCATGTCTTCTTTATTGAGATTAGCCTTCTCAATACAAAATGCTTGACAGAGCTTGGAAGGTCCGTTGCCCAGTTCAAAGTCTTTCAGCTTGCTACCTCCATCCTTTCGTCGTACCCCTCTGAATGATTTCATAGAACTTAATCCTAAAAAGAAATAACATATGCATATCATTAGCAGAATATTACTGTTTTAAGCCTTTCTTACACTTTTCACCTTCGAGTCTCTCACCCTTACTAAAACTATTAAAACTTAAGTAACCATTTTTTTTCTTGCGTGAGAAATGGACCAGCAACTTTGCAGACATGATGTCTGTAGAAATGTTGATCTGCAGATGGGAGACTCGGCCAGTGGATAAGGAGATGTAGTAATTTCGTAAACAATTTCGCCTTCCATTACAATTTCGTATGTATACTCATTTCAACTTCTTTTGGAACATGTGCACTTTCCATTACATTACAATTTCCCTGCTTTTGAAGATTGCATGTTGCATTCCAGGAAACTGAAAACGATATAAAAGCTTTCTCAATTAGCGAGACTATCGATCGCGTGACAAATAGTGTTGTTGTGGAAAGAGGGTTGCTTTGTTCACCCACCTTGGAGCGGCTCCAAAGCTCTGATTAACACACAAGCACCAGGCTCTTGACTGGAGATGTTCAAACAATGATATATTCCATATATAAAATAAACATACGCTGTTCCTGGAGCCATGTACAGTGGTTCACACCGTTCAGTTTTTTTACCACCATAAGCATGGCAAGCTTTATCAACCACACCCAAGTAAGCCTCTGTCTCAACTATTCTTCCGCATAACACTTCTCCATTATCAAGGATGCGATAAAGCAATTTCCCTAAGAGTTTTTGGGCCAATTCTTCACAAGGTCTGATGTAAAACAACCTACCAAGTTGATTCATAATGTGATTCTTGTGGATTGTAAGTTTAGCTCTTTTGTTTGGTGTGACGTTTGAAATATTCTTATAACCTTTTTTAAAGTACAAGCTTTCTTCGCCGTTTCCTTTAGCTTTACCCGAGAGGTCTTCTTCAGTTTTAGCGGCGTTATCAAGACCGTTGCTACTTCTTTTTCTAACCTTTCGCGCCGCCATGTTGTTATTTACTTTTTCTTCGTTGTGTAACTAACATCAAGTATCCTAACGAAAAAGGTCTAAACGAAGGTTTGGTTGGTGTGGTGAGGGGTGCAATTTGAGGGGGATGTGGGAGGAAGGATGTTTGACAACTTTTTCAGCCTGGTTCAATTACCAATCTATGATTTACATTTCATTTTTGAAAGTAAAAAAAAGGAAAACCAGTCACAATGACAAATATTTATTCAATAGGTAATAACATACAAACTTATTTAGCAGGTAATTTTTTGAAAGTTTTTTCTTCACTGGAAGCACGCTCTTGCAGCTTAGTCAAAAGTGTATCACAATCTTCAGCAACTAAGAGAATGTCTTTGTTCTCACCATACACAAAACCTGTCCTGACTGCATTCTGAATCTAAAGTTAAGGAAAAAACACAAATAGTTGTGTAGGTACATAACTACACTGATAACAATTGTAATGAAGATGGTGAGAAATAAAATTAGAAAAAATTGTTTATAGGAGCTTTTAAAGGATTTTGTCTCTATGGTTAAGTGGGGAAAGGAGCAACAAAAGTGAAGAAGTACTTTTATTTTATTTTCTTCTGACAATTTCTAACTTGCTGATGAAACAGTGAAGAGTGTTTGAGCAAATTAAACAAAATTGACCACTGATATCAGAAGTAAGTTCTAAATAAGATTTTTGTATATCAGTGTGAGAGAAGACTCTTCAACATACCCATTCCAAAAAACTTCCCCAGTAATTGGCCACATTTAACAATCCTATTGGTTTATCATGAAGTCCAAGTTGATACCTGACAAAGGAATAAGAGAAAAAAATAATTAAAATAAACAGATTAAAGAATGCTTTCAACAACAGTTGCATCATTTTTGAAAAATGATTCAGAGGAGAAACAACAAGAAGATTATATATTTGTTAACTGTCTTCTTAAGCAGTAGATAATCTAATTTAAGTCTTAACATTAGTTTGTTACCATGTGATCATTTCCAGTAATTCCTCAAATGTTCCAAAGCCCCCAGGTAAAGCTATCAAGGCATCAGCCTGAAAATACACAAATTTCTGATTTAGGATAGTTAATAATGTAAGAAATTAAATTCATCCAGGGTTATTGTGATGCTCCAAAAAATACAAGTGGCCGGCACACCCAATAGAGTCTTCCCTTGGACTGAGAAGGTGCTGTATGAGAGGTTATCCCTAATATTTGTGGTGTGTTTACTTCTGAACACACCATAATGAATTTATTGTGCCTCCGGAGCACTTACCATAGGGCCACCATGCTTTTAGTTCATTGAAAGTTATCATAATTATATCATTGTTGGTACCTGCTCTAACATCTCTCTCTTCCTTGTATGCATATCTTGAACAAGTACTGTCTTGCCGATGCCTTCTAAATCTTTAGGATCTGCAGTTGAAAATTATCCCAAATGGCTCTATGTAATGCTTGACCAAGAATAATTTTTAAGGCTAATCTCAGCAAAGTCTGTAAGTTAAAGATACTCCTGGTAATTGTAATTGCCTCCAGTGTCAGCATTCAAATATGATACTCATCAGCCTCAATATATACATAAAACTCAACAACACAATGGTTAATTAGAATGCCATTTTATTTGACAGTATTACACTGTCCTAACTTTTCACATTGGGGCACTAAGGTTAATTTTGGTTGGTAAACATATCCATGATGGCTTACTTCTTTGAACAAAGAACTCAGGAAGAAATCCAGTAACTTCACATCCACCTTCAGCAACAGTTTTAGCCACAGTACCCATAAGCCCAACAGAACCGCCACCATAAATGAGATTGATTTTATTCTTCGCTAAGCAAAGACCAAGAGCTGCAGATATCAAAACCACGTGAGAAATTCAAATGAAAGTTAAAAATCAACAACAATTGATTTGGCTAAAATTTCTGCACATACTCGTACTGTATGCAATACGCATACAATTCTCTTTGGGACAGTCTGAACAGTACGTACAGCTTTGTGTTACAACAGGATGAGGCTGTGCAGAAAATGTTACCTTGATTTTCTTCTTATCCTCAGAAATGCAAGTGAGGAGTTTAAGCAAGCAAGCTGAAACGGTCAGAGGATTAGGCTATTCTTCATGAAATTTGCAGATATTTATTTGAATTAATCTCTGACAATTGCAGCCATTTCTTGGTTTTCACAACATTGCACGTTCCAACTTATTTGGTAGTGTGCGCATTTGATCACAAGTCTAACCATAGACAAAAATTATTCGAATTTCCACAGAAGAGAAGTACCTCTCGCGCTCTCCTCGAATCTTGGGTCACTTCCTGAGCTGGAACCACAAAACACAGTGATCGTTTTCAACGCCATGATTAATCGAAGTACAATCGTAAAACAAAATTATCCAGGCGTAGTTACTCTTGACTAGTTCCCAGATTTCTCTGTCAGATACAGCAAGTTCCACTACCTTTAATAAGTAAACGAGGGAAAAAAACAGAATTTCAACGCAGGCGTTTCCTTTGGAAAGCCCGAGTAATAAGTGAATAAAAAGATGAAAAAAACCTTTGAGCAGAACTCAACCAGATGCAAAGTTGCTGAGGTAATCCGAGCAAATTTCGTGACCGAAATCACTGTCACGCGATGTAAGTTTTAACAGCATTTTGACCAGTAAGGCAAACCAGAATTAGGCGCAGATGACTGAATACAGACTGCAGGGATTTTATAGCTCATCTGTCTGGATTTGCTTTTTGTCCTGGCTCGAAACTAATCCTTAGATGTTACCACGGTCACCCTGTGGTTTGTTCACGCAATTCAACTCTTTTTGCAGTGCTTGCTTTGCACCGTAACAATGAATGTTATTGTGTCTTCTTGAATATCTTAATTCTTTTTAAAAGTAACTAATGAAAACAACTGTTGTAAGCATTCGAGAAAGTCCCGGAGTTCTCCGTCGTTTTCTGCTTTTGGAAGGTAAAGCTTAAGGTAAACAAGCAAACAAATGGTTGATACTGTTGGTGCATGTTGATGAAACAGAAAATAATAGTGTCAACTCCTTCCTACATTCAAAGGTTCACCTGAGACGCACAAGAGAGGGTCATCGTGATACAATGTTCTTATTTTGCGCCAGCCTCACACAAAGGATGCACCATGATAAATAACAAGGACTACCCATCTTACTCTCCATGGACGCAATTAACAAACAAAATCGTACATATCAAGCCAATAAGTCCAAAGGCATCCTTGATTTCATGCAAAGCGTACACAGTTAATCTACGAAATTCTATCGAGCTCTCTTTCTGATATAACCATTAGTAACAAAAAAGAAAACCCAAACACAAGCAAACAAAACTCATCAGAGGAAGGGAAGATTCGAAAGAGTGCCCCTTTGGAAAATATCTAATTTTCTAGTAATGCTGTACAGAAGAACCAATCGCACAATATTGGAGCCACTAAAAAACTGTCGAGTCAACCATGAGTCACATGGGCGCCTCATAATCTAATCAAAGTACATCCAGATCATAATCGACTCTTTATTTCAGCAAAATAGCAAAGACCTGGGTCTTATACTTGAACGTTATGAAAGAAACTAACAACAAACTTGACTCTATTCCAAATTCTGAGAGAGACAAATTGAAATGCCATGTTGGCATTGTTCGACTGTCTGGAAGGAAAATGTACCGTTTTAAAATACGAGACGAAAGAAAAATAATAATAGAAATGTCTTTGCAAAAACGTCCTTTCGTTGGAGAAACCTCGAGGTGTTAAAAGAATTTCACCCCAGTAATGCAGCTAGTGGTATTTAAAAGTACAGTATTTCTACACTGTTTCTCTCCTTAAACAAAGCAATGTCCTTATCATCGCGATGAACTCGAACTAGATCGGCTGTATCTCCGTCGCCTTGGTGGTGATCGACTTCTGCTCCGTGATTTCGAGCGAGACCTGCGCCTTGGAGACGGAGAACGCGATCGTCTACCCGCTCTAAACGAGCCACGGAATCGTGCAGGCGGTGATCTCCTCCAAGTTGGCATCGGACGGCGCCTCGGGGGTGGACTGGGACGGCGAGCGGGTCTAACGTCGCGTGGCCTTATGGGAAGCACCATCTGTGCGGTTATTTCTTGTCCATCAATCTGCCCGCCATCCATATGTTTCAAGGCAGTGTCTGCATCGTCCGCCTCGTCGTACTCCACGTATGCAAATCCCCTGGGCATAAAGTTAAAACGGTCCATGGGTAAGTCAACTGACTTAACGTGACCGTATACGCTAAATATCTCGAAAACGTGATCCTTCGTGACGTTGCGTGTAAGATGTGCCACGTAAAGCTTGGCCGGTTTGGGGGTTGGGCTTCTTTTGCGTCTTCTAGGTGAGCGTGAAGAAGCTGAAGAAGACGATGAACGGGCGCGAGGTCCACGCTTCACAGGACTAGGAGACTTGGACACGGATTTGGACACTGATCGCCGCGTGGGCCTAGTGCGTGGCGGTGGGGTGGGTGACTTAGGGACTGGTGATTTCTTTGGTGATTTCTTTGGCGATTTCTTCGGTGATTTTGGGGGAGGAGAGGCTTTGGGCGATTTTGGTTTAGGGGGAGGGGGTAGGGCTTTATCTTTGACTTCTTTGGGTTCCTTTGTTACTTCTTTCACTTCTTTGGTCTCCTTTTCCTTCACTTCTTTTTTAGTTTTGGGAGCTTTTCCCTTTTCATTATCTACAGAAGAGAAAACAAAAGAAAAAAGTAATTATGGAGGCCCAGTAAGAAGATGCACAAGTATTTACTTTTATGAACAACAACATTAAAAAGTTTACAAGCTGAAGGGGAGTATACTGATTTTTTTAAAGTCCTAATTCAGCTCTGGGTAATTTTTGAGTGCAATCTCATTTTCACAAACATTAAATTACTTGTCAGAAATTCAGAGAATATCTTTGAATATTCAAAACTGAAAAAGACTATCTGGAGGGGATAAGAGGGTTAGTGGTTTTCTCACTATGAGACTTGTAGTGCTCCACATACTCAATGGAACTTGGATTTCAAAGCAGTTGTAAAAAGTTCACAAACCAAGCTCCCTTAACTAACAAGCAAGACTCTATCATGATAGAATCACTCAGCAACGTAGTGGGTTTAAAATAATTAAAGTATGAAAGGACTCCTAAGTTTATCCACTCAGCTACAGGTGGATGGTACCTTTGATTCATCACTCTCATGATATTGGATAATAAATGATTAAATCTTTTTTTAAAAATGAGATAGGTCTACTAAGGTGTGTGAATAAGCCAAACACTGCATATTTGTTTCCAAGAAAATAATTTGATATCCTTACTACTACTGCTGCTACTTGATCCACTACTACTGCGACTGGACCCACTATGACTTGATCCACTACTACTGCTGCTACTACTTCTGCTGCTGCTTGACCCTGAACTGGAGCTGCGACTAGTGCTAGAACTGCCAGAGCTGGATGATGAACTGATAACAACACAATCATGAAAATAAGCAATATTTCAATGAGGCTACACATGATATTATGTGAAAAAAAAAGCAAAGAGATGGTGGGCTTGGATTCTAGGCAGATTTTGAACTCGACATGATAAATCCAATATCCACTGCAGATACTACATTTATTAAGTCAACTTCCCACACTTTAGTACAGTTTCACAAAATCTCTCCTCTATGCTTTTTGACATGTCAAACAAATAGCAACTGAAGCACATTTGAGCATATCCACAGAGAATGTGTGCACTAATAATTTGACATCATTATTAGTACCTTATTGTCATTATTAGTACTTTGGGTTGAACCTTTCCCTAAGTTTTTCATAATTTTCAGAGCTAAGCATTGGGTGAGTGTGAAACACAGTTGGGGTCGAATGAAGTTACCATGGTTTGGTCGTCGAGGTATACTAGAGAGCACGTTAAACAGATCAGTATGTTAAGAGCCAACCTGGCTTACAATGATTAATATGCACTCATATCTCATAAATAATGACCAAGACAACGTCTTTGTTGCCATTCTAAAATTTCCGCATGTCAGCTCCAAACAACATGCGAACACATCTTTGATTTGCGCAGGTCACATATGGTAAACAAACAATGATACATACAGCAAAATGGTTGCTGCCAAATTGAAACTACATTGATCATAGCTTTGTATACATAATGAAACTGATGTGTGGCATAAGGTTGCGGTTAAATCAGCGATATTCAATGAACAGAGGTAAAAAGCATTCAGAAAGGTCTCAAACAAGTCACCTGCTTGATAAACGATTTCGACGGCTACTTCCTTTATCTGTGCCGTTTTTGGCAGTCACTTTGCTTGAATCCCCTTTGCTTTTAGCCTTAGTCTTAGCCTTACTTGACTTTACTGGACTCCGGCCACGGGTACTAGTAGTTCGCTTCTTTTCTTTGTCTTTGCGAGGTGCTGGAGAGCGCGAGCGACTTCTGCGACCCCTAAAGACCGACAAAATTCACGGCAAAATTAGCAAACAAACAATCTAATATGCTCCGTGATATAATTAAAAAAATAATTTGATATAAAGAGCAGCTTTTGAAGGTGCAATAATAGAAAGATGGCCGAGGATTGTGCAGGAATCTACTCACATCCCTAACGCTGACACCGCCAAGATGGCCGAATCCCGTACATGACTTGGTTTCAGGTCCCACTCTGTCATAGCATCCAACATGGCGGACGGCTTTAGTCTTTTGAACCTTGATGTTATTCAGAAGCAGTACTTGCAAATGGCTCCGTTGAAATTATTTCTTTGGAAAGTAAGATTATTTTGCAGAAAGAGTCAGTGGTGACACGACTGAAAATCTTAGGCGGCATATCTTTATTTTCGGGCAGCATAACTTCGGGCGAGATGACTTACTGACAACTTAATTTAAACTACTCTTATATAACAAGGCATTTTTTCCCAAACTTAAAAAACTTTTTAAGCCACTGTTGTCGTTCATCGCGCAACTGTCATGTATAATGAAGTATGAGGTTGTACAGGAATCTCTTCGGTTGATTTAAACAATTTTATTCTCAATGTTATTGATTTTTCAGGCACTTGAGCAGGAAAGTCTCGACTTGGAAAAACAGAGAAAAATCCTATGCATGGTTTGTCTCATACATCGATCGATTTCAAATTTTTTTTGCGTATTTGAATTAGCCATTGAAATATTTAATTATTTTTCAGACTTATTTCTTCACTGCAGAATCGTCGTATGCTCCTTCGGTATCGTACCAAAGACTGTTTCTGAAACGCATGCTGAAGTTATGTGAGGACAGGTGTATCGAGATCGCGGATGAACTCTATGAAGCATACGGAGATGTGTGTGGTAAAGCAGAACACCTGGATAACAAGTGCTTTAAAACATATGTACTGGTGAGGTTCATTCAGAAAAGTATTGGGGACAATCATCAAAAACGAAAGATTTCCATTCAACCCCATGCTATTCTAAAACAAAGCCTTGGTCCCAGAGGTAATCTGTTTTTGTCGTGGGGGTAATTTTTTAAAGAAACTGTGGTGCTACCTTTCTTTTATCTGAGAACTGTACCCTTAATGAAGCATGGGGTAATGAGGGAACCTTGCCATCAAAATTGACATATACATACATGCCAAGGTCTAAGAAAGTTATAGTATGTGTGTAACTATGATATACAAAAGGCACCACCCATGTAAATTGGTTCAAGGACCCTTGTTCCTCTGGGGCATTTTGGAAAAGGCAACCCCTTTTAAGACAAAATTTAAGTCATTTTTAATGTTGTAAGCCATTTATAATTAGAAAGTTGGGTCAGACAGGTTTTACCCTTGTGAAGGACTTCTGGTGTCATACATTCTGCATCAGATAGGGAAAGTTCTATGTACAAGCATAAGAATTAGGTGTGTGATCAAGAATATTCTCAGTGAGAGTATTTAGCATGTGATTGGGTGAATTATTCCTAAAACCTGTGATCTTTTAGGCCTGACATTTTAAGAGGAGCCTAATTAAATGTTAATTGATAATTGAGGCAACCTTCAGCAGACTAACAATTTCCATAGAAGAAGGAACTAGTTTACCACTGGCCTCTTCATGCCAAATTAACCATAACATTAAATGGTTTAACCTTTGATCACTTTTTTAGCCATGTGGGGCCTTGTTAACCCTTGAAGAAACTCAACAGTTTATCTCTAAAGGAACAACAGGACTTAGTACCTGGATGGTGAGTTTTCCTCTAAGATAATATCATAATTACTGGTGGTAATTTTTATGTATCCGGGAATGTATCAAGGTGGACTGTTATAGTAAGACGTAGCTGGATTTTTATAAAAGCCATAGGGGTAAGAACTCAGAGGAAAAATGTTACCAGTAACAACAGATACTTTTCTACTCACTATTGGTTTTATGCCCACCATTAGATCCACGATCAGAACATTATGATAATTGTTCTCATTTTTATTTTTATTCACTAAGTCATGGTTTTAATGTAGATTAAATCTTGTAAATGGTAATTTTCTAATGTAGATATAAGATTTGGCATGTAACTAATTTTCTCTTTTATTTAATTATTTATTTATTCATCTACTGCTATTTAATTTTCAACTCCTAGTATGGTGTAAACTGTTTCAGCAGTGTCCCTATTAAAGTGAGAACTATGAGTAAGTCACTCTGCAAAAATTCTACAGGGGTGGAAGGGTAGGAGCTAATTTCTAAGGGTTGTATTATCAAAATGTTTACATTTGATTTTCTTTTGGAATGACTGATATCACAGGCAGGAGAATACCTTGCTGAGTGGGCACTAGAAAACCCTTCCTTATTTCAAGACAGGTAACTGTATGCTTGGCTTCAGATTAAGAAAAAGACCAACAACTTGAACTGCAAGTTAAAATTGCAGTTTATTCCATGAAAAAGATGGTAATTTTAAAAATGAAAATCATTATGCAGGCTTGGCAGTCTTGATGTCATCTTAATGTCTTTTGTTTTTGGCAGTAATAAATATTCAGAGGGCTTGCATTGGGGATATGCTAGTTGTACCAATGATAAGTGTGCTAGAGATTTGGCTTAAATCCTGGCATGTATGGCAATTGTGTTGTACACTTGACAACTCATTTTGACATTGCTGCATTGCTTTTGACATTAAAATAAATCTTGCAAACTGTTAGGGAAACGGCATGAAATATGACAGGGTCACCAACTGTAGTAACCCATCTTTTTAGGCTGGAGTAGTTTTACAGTCAGTTGCTTCATTCGTCAGGAAGGCTGGGTAGTTGGGGTCGTACAAATCATTCTTGAAGGGTTTTATAGTTCCTAGTTTCAATTCTTCCATTTGCCATTCATTTTCTTTGGTGTTATTTTCCAGATCCATCATAGAGCTGGGCTGTGGTACTGGACTTACAGGACTTTCTATTTGCTCCATGAGTTCACCAAGCCAGTACATATTCAGTGACTGCCATAATGAAGTGTTCAAAGCACTTCAAAGCAACCTTGAACTGAATGGATTTGTCATAAGCCAGGCAGACAGTGAATTACCATATTTAAATAACAAAAGGACTTGTGAGTCTCACACAGAGAGTGACAAGCATAAACATTGGAAAGGATTGGCTCTCAGGAATGAAGATACTCATGGCTACTCACATCACAGAGATATAACTTCTCAGCAAGACTCTGGAGTGACTACCAGCAAGACACCTGATATGGAAATAACTTTACACAAGTTTGACAAAACACCACAGTGTATGGCATGTTTATCAGACTATTCTGAAAGTGAAGATATTCATGACCTGTCAAGTTGTGCTTCAGATTTCATTGCTTGCTATTCAAGACATCCTTCAAGTCAGATAAGGCACTTAATTGAAGACTGTGCCAATCATTCTTGGGACACTCAAGTTGACATTTGTAAATTAGACTGGACAACTTTAAAGAAGAGTGATTTGAGGAGATTTTCAACTGGGATTATTTTAGCTGCTGGTATGTATAGGGAAATATGGTACACTTTCTCTTAAGTGTAGGACACTCATGGGGTGTGGCTGTGGTGGGGGATGATGATTAGGTGATGCTAAATCCACAGAATGTACACTAAGGTGACTTTGGTGTTGGCACTATGTGAAGTTCTTTTCTGTCCAATAAGGCAATTTAAGCCATGATGATGAGGCCTCACAAGGCCACAACAGCTGCACTATGCTGCTCTCTTGGTCACTTACTCCTTCAGCTTCTTCTATATGATAGAGGAAACCACGGATCACTTACATCAATGCCTTGTAGCCATGAGTGCTCATCCTGAGGTTTCAGTGCACCATCTTAAATCAGACAATTGTTTTAATCTTGCATGACACCACATTAAGTGTAATCTGATGAATTCTTTCATACTGGTTTACAAATAACAGACACAGTGGTGACTTATCAGAATTGAAAATCTTTTAGGACCAAATGATGAATTTGTGAAAAGTATGTGTAATAGTTATGGAGATGAAAAGTTCTTCCCATCAAAAAGACCTGCCATCAAATTGGAAGACAAAGGTTCGGGTCAAAGCACATCAAAAGCAGTTGGGTTTGCCTGTTAGCTCTTGTATGACTAAAAAGCATGAGTGTGTTTGAGTTTTCTTTACTATAAATTGTGCTTTTAAAAACAAAACTGTTTTTAATTTCTTTAATAGATGTTATTTATGATGGTGAGTTGACCCCAGCATTAGTGAGAACTTTGCATCTTCTCTTAAGGTAAGTATCAATCAAGTTAGTATTTTTTTTTGTCATGGTAGCTTCTCAGACAAATTTACTTTGTCCATAAAAATGTCATTATTTGGGAAAGTTAACTAATGTTTTAACATGTGCATCTGTTGTAGTACTGGTGGCGATAAAAGGGGGAAACCTGTTGCTTTCATTGCTTCAACCATCAGGAATCTGCAAACATATGAATTGTTCCTTAATTGCCTTTGTAAGTAAAGGTAACTTCATTTGATTCCATTAGTAAAATTAAAACATTTTTATTATGATAAGTGTACAATTGTCCTTAATTTTAAAAATGTTCTTCGCAAAAAATTATAATTTTGAGGTAGAGTATTTTATTTGGTTTGCAGATGAACACAATATTTCCTGCAGTGAAGTAACCAAGCCAGCAAATCAAGTTTTTTACTATGATCAGAGTTGTGAAATTAAAATTATCAAGCTTGAAGTCTAATTTAATGAGCTTTAATTGTGTGGTATTCCTCAGACAAAATAATGTAACAGCTTTCCTTTGTTCAAAAGTTATTCATACTTTATTTACTATACACAATGATATTGGAAGTTTTACCACATTACATTAAAACTAAACCAATTAACATATTATTAGGGAAGTTTTTAAATACTTAGTACTATTAAGTAGTCATTCTTAATAGTAAAACTAAAATTCAGAAGAATTCAGATGAAACCTGACAGTGTCATTCAAATGAAACCAATAAATTAATTTATTCTGGCCTTTTTTTCGAACTGATATAGTTGAAAATCTCAGAGATTGAAGAATTTTTTAATATAGATCATTTGTTGAAAAGGAAAAACATTTTTAATATTGCTCCATTCTGCAATTAGCTAGCAAACTTAAAAATATATCATTACATTCAAAGGGTAGTTACTTTTAGAACTTCAGAGTAATCCACCCTTGATGATCATTTTCATATTAAGTCTCATAAATCATAACTTTGTTTTTACCATGTAAAATATCTAATAGGATTCTATTCTAAAATTTCTTTCCTCACAGATTTAAAGTAATTCGTTAATTCTAAAGCCCAGATGCCACTTAGTCATTTTAGTTCATTCTTAAAGTACTCTTTGTAGAGAAGTTTCCTACCAACATTTAATTACCTTTACTGTTTACAATCTGCAGAAAGGAAATGGCAGCACTATAAAATGCATTTATTAAAAAAAACACCACTTATTTACAATTGCTTGTTACTGAACTAACAAAATGCTGATCTTTTAGAAGAATCACACAACACTTGAACCTGTCTGGGGTTTGCAACTCTTAATCCTTTAACTCTCAGAAATGATTAACACGAATATTCCCTACAATATCCATACATTCACCAGCAAACAGGTAATGTGAATACTTAAACTTATCACAAAGTTATCTCTATCTAACATCAAATTCTTGTAACCAATTTACAAGGAAATGTGTGGCAGCTAGAGGGGAGAATTACAAATCAGATCTAGGAGTTAACAGGTTAAAGGTCCATTGTCAGTCTGAATGCATTGCTCAATTTCTGTCAATTTGAAAATCGTCACTTTGAAATTACAGCCAATCAAAACATTACATCAAGACCACTTCAAATAAACAAAAAGACAAAGACAAGAGGCTATTAGGTGTGGACAACAACCTTCAGTAGCTATAACAAAAGTTACATATTATGGTATCTAAAATTAAATACTAGCTGCCCATTACAAGTGTACTCTATGATAAAACAGCCCTACATGAAACAAATGACAATAGCAGCCTACAGATCTGTACATTGAAAAATATTACATAAAAATACACAAAAGACTTTAAACACACCTAAACTTTATGTAATACATATTCATATTAATTTAATTCTTAAAATTTGAATGAGCATTCATCATGAAATGTTGAGAGCTTTGATTAATAACAAGAATAGAAATAATTAAAATATTATATGCTATACTTCTCAACCCCCCACTTCCTCAAATATGATTATTATACTTTTCACACATTTAAGTTATGTATAATGGAACAAGTGGCAACCACTGTAAATCTAGAAAATATTTGATACCAGCTTAAAGCTGTCTTCTGATCACTCAAAATGAAGTCATTCTCTCTGCAGATCTTAAAGATTTTCTGAAACATAACGTATTCTCAATGCGCCAAGGGCAACATTGACATGTCAGTGTCTAGGTGGCTCTTGTTTTAATCAAAGGAGACATTTTTTAATGCTCTTGAAAACAGTGATATTTTACAAGCTCTGTAATCAGTCAGTCACCAATGCGGGAACTGTTCCTCTAGTCCTGAATTCATGAGCCTAATTGGAAGATCTTCCATGTTGGGAAGGACAAACATGTTCTGAAACACATTACAAAAAGACAAGCAAAGAAATTTGAAAACTGTAAGATAATACACAAAGACCAGAGGGATGCAGTCCAAAGTGAGGTTAAAGCAACAATAACAAAACAGCAAGGGTGACAAAAAGACAAAATTAGGCTTGAAGCACAAGCCAGAAAAGCCACTTGGCATGTCAGCCCAAGTACACTTTTTTTAATCAAATATTAATCAATCTTCAGTGATACTTTACAATGACAATGCACCTCTCCAATCTACAGAATGGCTGTCCCTCCTGCTAATGAAGCTGACTTGTGGGGATTGGTATGAAAGGCGGGGTTGGATTACTATTGACTATCATACCACATATGGGTGGAAACAATAATCCATCCATCCATTAGGTCTGTACTCAGCTCTATGAGTAAGCCCAGACTTAAAGCTGTTTGTTGCAGAACTTCACCTGCTCTCTTGTTTTTTCTCTAACTTAGTAATTTACATGTAACATCTATTCACAAATTTCCATTTAAAAATACTTACCTTAAACTCTTGTTTCAACTTTTTTTCAATCCAGTCAGTAACATGGGTGAGTTTGACTTGACGTTCACCAAGCTTTGGTCTTGCAGAGACAAACAACATGGGACTCCCCCGGAAACCATACCTGCAACAATGTATCAAATTTGAATTTAATGTAAACTGAAAATTATTACACCCCATGAACAGATAAAGTCTAAAATGTTCTTCAAAATCTCAAAACTAGAGCTTCTTCCACAGCTTCTAGATCAGATTTTACAACATAATTTAATGTACAAGCAGGAAAAAATAAAATACAGTCAAATAAAAATTTTGCTACTTAACAGGTAAAAATAATAATAATGTTAATTATCATATTGTGTTTTGCATCTTATTTACCAACTGGTAATCTATTTAAATTATGAAAATAATTTTTTCTACAATATTGTGTCACAGTTGATTTTCCTCCAAGTGTGTAAAACCTATACATTTACTCTCATACCAGTAAGTAACACTCCTCTTTAAGAATCTCCAAGTTCACTAGAAATTTGTTGAGTTTGCTGGCATGTAGCAACAGATTAAATTTACTGAATGTAGAGTCACCAAATGTGTGGAACATCTTTAACTTCCAAATTAATTATTCCCTTTCCATAAAGCTTTTCTTTCCCTTTCCTAATACATGGAAATCAACGATAACCATGTAAAGCTGGACTTATATCAAATACGTTTTCATATCTGTGAATTGGCACAAAGACTAAGTGGAAAGAGAGAATTACCTTGCTAAAAAAAAGAAAGGAGAAAAACAGGAGAAAATTTAATGCAGTTGATTACAACATACCACAGCCTGTTTGTAGGAGGTGGGGGAATGTTCAGTGCAAGAGTTCCTTTGACTGTTAATACCTCCACTGACAAAATAATTGGCAGATTAGAAAACCTCTCAGCTGCTCTCTTGACAATGCCAGTCTCCGCTGCCTTCTTCACCCACTTAGATTTTGCCAGCCGTTCAATTACACTGAAGATTTTGCGCTTTGGTCCATTCTTAGTAGAAAGACCTAAATGTTTTTTCATTGGAGTACTAGGGGCACTTTCTGATGTCTTCTCAGGAAGAACTTCAGTGAGCAAGCCTTTATCTGATAGTTCCTCACTTGAACTCTGTTTCTGAGAAGACAGTTGTCTCCTTCTTGGTTGAGTGCTCTTTTCCAAAGAAGAATTTCCTTCTTCTGCATCAGTTGCATTACTCAGAGATAAAGGATCCTTGCTTTCCAGAAGCTCTTCATCACCATCAAAACTGCTCAAGGTGAAGGAGTCAGAGCTTTCACTCTGAGGAATATCTTCCAGCTTCTCTCTTCCACTCTGCACAGTTCCAAGAGGCTTGATCATAAACTCTTCAAAGTCAGATTCTGGTGATTCAAAGTCAGAGTCACTGTCAGGTGGACTCTCAGATCCTGAGTCATTATCAAGTTCAGCTGCGCCCAAACTTTCTTTGTCAAGATTTTCATATTTCCTAGACAGCTCTGCCATTTCAAGCTCTGCATGCTCACTGTTTCCAAGGCTTAAAAAGTAACTCAAGTACCCTTCTATATTTAAATGGCCTTCAAAAGTAAGGATCAAGCCTCCATTGTAAGTCACTTCTAAATCAACCCATGTACCATCATGCTCAACCTTCGGAGAAGATGTCTTTGTTATAACTGGAAGACTCTGGCCAAGGTTAAGATCAGAAATTGAGATGTCCCGGATGAAGGAGGGTTTCTTCATCTTGGCAAGCTTGTTTTCAAAGCGTTCCTTGATCTTGTTAGTCCAATACTTGTCATGCCATACATCCCAAAATACTCTCCCAAACATGACATTAACCCATGCAATTTCTGACTGTTGGGAAGGCTGAGCAATGAGTTTAGCCATGTATTGGGGATATGAACACAATGGCGGGGTCTCCAGGTCAGAAGAGTTTCCAGAATTGTCATTAAGAAGTCTGCACAGGTGATTATACCAATCTTCTTTCTCCCTACCAGTCCTTGCAAATAAGTAAAGTACACCAACATCATCTAAAGAATCTTGTTCCTTGATTTTGATGCTCTCCTTTGCACCACTTTCTTCATCAGCACTTTTGCTAAAACAAGAGATATCTTCAGAATGTGTCCCTAGCTTTTCAAGAGCAAGGCAGATTGGAAACTTTCGACTCCATACTTTCTTCATTGTCATTGATGCTGGTAAAAGTGAAACTTTGCTTCCAGTTAAATCATAGTGTTCATGCTTTGAGAATGATACACTTGCTCCCTCTTCAATGGATCGCGGGTCAAACTTCTTTCCAGAATCTTCCACATGAGGATGTGACAGTTTTAAGTTTGTTCCATTTAAGGAGGCAAAGACTGGAATAGTCTCGGCACTGAATTCGAACTTGTCTGGGATGTAATCAAATGACTTAAACATCCAGCCCTAGGAAATAAAAAAAAAAACAAACAAACATAAAAAGAAAGATCTGGACTGAAATTTTACAAAATAAGCAAAATATTAATTCAAATGATAAAAACATTGTTTATGTAAAGTACACTTCAAAGTAAAGCCACTTAAAGGCTTTGTACAATTTATGACGTCATTTCTCTGATCAATAAAAGTAATATCTAATGATTAATCTGTTAGATAAACTATATTTATTTCATTTAGCGAAGAAAGTTTTCCTTGTATGTCTCCCTGAGGGTATTTTGCTCCAATTTTGATGCATCAAAGCTACACCATCCATTTTTTCAAAACTTGATCACAAGGTCTGACAATAAAATCAAGGTTCTATCTATATCATTGGCCAATTGCATCAATATACATAGTACGACAAGATTGTAGAAATTCGAATAACATCATTAAAAATTTACCGCGACATAATTTTAAAATGTTATGTTCCTATAGAATATCAGACTTCCTAAACTCGATGGTAAACGTAACTGTACAAACACACGCTTAAGGCGTAGAAAGTAACATGAAAGTGACGAATACACTTCCAGAAAGAAATGGGCAAGTGAAAAATCGGTTGACGAGATTTTCCTTTTCCTGTCACGAATGTTTTTGATAAATGCAAACTTGAATACTTGCCTCTAATTTGTTTCTCTCTAAAAGTAACCCAGGATCAGTAGATTTGTAATCAAGCGTGGGGATTCTTGCTAGTCTTTGTTCATATTCCATTAGTTCTTTTTCGTATCGTTCAGCAATGGAGTCCACTGGACAAAATAGCCAAAGAAATGCACATCCCCCTAAATATGTCAGTAAACCTCCAAGCACTACCCCAGACATAAACGGAGGAGACGATGTGATGAAGTAGATATAAACTATTAAAGAGCAAAAACAAAAATTGGCGAAATGAGGGGATTTGTCTACCGTAGGGTGCGGTAAATGTCGTACATCACTACCAGCTTTTGTGTTTCTGGTCTCCTTAAAATGGTTTAAATTGAAAGACAAGTCTGAAGAAGATTGAATTTCAGAGTTTATGTCTGCGCTACTTTCATTTTCTTCGGTATCCGAAACAATTTCTTCAGGCTCAACGTGCGCTTCATCTTTCGCTAAACTCGCCAACAGAGATGATAAAGAAATGCCAGCTGAGCTTTTCGGCTTTTCCTGTTCGGCACCTCCACGGGTGTTTTCATCTTGACGATCTCGATTCAATTTACGACGAAAAGGTGACGGAGACCTAGATCTTGGTCTGTCCACTGTTAATTTGCTTTGTAAATCTTCATCAACATGAGTTTTGGAGGGAATCGATCCGACATCGTTTTCCTCTTTTATCTCTTGTTCTGGAAGCGAAAGGCCTTCTTTTGCGGGTTCAGACTTCGGTTCGTTTCCCTGATCTCCTCGACCACGCAGGAACTTCATTATGACCGAATCAGAGTCTTCTGATCGCAAATAACTCGGCCACGTACTTTGTTTCTGAACTATCGACCGCTTTTCTGAGGTCGCTCTCAGCTCTTGAGTAGAGTGGCTCTTACTAGCTAATTTCAAGCCAGCTTCCGACGAGCTCTTTTTCGCATTTGAAATCGCTTCAGTATGTTTGTCAACTTCCTGACGAGAAGGGTCGACGCTCTCAAGCTGTTCGTAATCTTCCACTGTCACTTTACAGAAACCATCCTCTTCATTTTCACCTTCGATTCGCAGTCGGGGATCGTTTCTATCATGGCTCTCTCTGTTTCCTTTACGTTCGATGGATATTTCTTCGTCAGAATCTAACTCCTTATTGCTAGAACTGTAACGAATAGAGATCGAAGCAAATGCATTTCGAATCGATCTTTCAGGAGCTACTCCGGTTGGCTGGCCACTTCTCGCGGTCGTTGTTCGTGGTAAGGGTGGTCGGGGTGGCGGCTTTTTTGCACTCATTGCTCTCCTCTACTTCACCAGCCCTCTGTGCTCTTCCTAATTAAACAGTTACCCGCCATGAGGCGATGATTACCATTGAAATTGCAATTTTTCCTCGTCAAGTTTATCGACTCCGTGACCCGAGTGAATGGGACAGAAAACAAAGCCAGCGGCAAAACATTGGCTTCCAGACTCTCACGTACATAGACGCACGAATGCAAAATCACCATTTTCCAGGGGATGGGTGGGAGGGGAATCTTATATCCCAGCCCGAGTTTAGGTTCCTGGAAGCCCACGGAGAATCAAAAGATAGGTTACTGATTTCTTTGTCTATCTTTTCTCATACTTTAAATTTCTTCAAGCAATTCTTTCATCAAAAAATTTTTCTCAACGGGTGATGGAGGGGGGCATCGGGGCCTATTAGAAACCGCAAAACCGTAGAAAAATCATCCAAAACCGAAAAACCGAAAACAAATTCGATCAAAACCGAAAACCGCATACAAAACTGTCACAACCGATACATTTTCACATCCCTGATCAATCCGATACAGTGGTGACAAGTGGAGCATACAGAGTAAACTACACTAATTTCATTACAGGATTTTATGAATGCCATGGACTTGGCATTGTCTTCTCCTATCTGCTTAAATTAACAGCTGGTCTCTCGACGACCTCGAGCGTGGTCTCTGCAAACTCAGCAGCTGGTAGTGGAGCCCAGTTAAATTAAGGAAATTCGCGCAAAAGTCCTCTATAGTCCTCTATAGTCCTCTATTTGCAGTTTTGCAGTCGCAAAAAGCTATAGCTCTGGAAAGTTTCATCGAAAATCCCTAATTTAACATTTCCATTTACCAACTAAGAATCAATCAATTACGTGTGGCCTGTAACTTGGTTACCAACTTCGAGGTGGCGTTGATAAAGAAACTCTGGTAATGTTCGATGCTTAGCCATACGTGTAGCCGTACTCTCCCCTCCCCTCGGATATCAAATCCGGAAACCCGTTAGTATTTTTCGCGAAAACCGAAAATCAAATGCTAAAAAAAAGGAAAATCCGAAAACCGCAATGAACACCAAAACCGAGAAACCGATCTAAAAAATAGCCAAAACCGCAAAACCGAAAATCCCAATGCCTCCCCTCGGTGATGAAAAAGGCAGTCTGCAACATGGCCGACCAAAATGGCCGAAAAATATGACGTTAAATTTAAACCAATGAGCTTCAAGGACGTCACGAGCGTCGAACAACACGCTGGGAAAGGAACACGGATATTTACGAGAAACACGAGTATCCCAAACTCGACCTTGCTTTGTTAATCGGATAGCACAAGTCAGGAAAAATGAGCAGATGTACAATATTTGGCTTGTATTTGGGTCTGATTTTGTTTGTTTCTTGGCATTCAGTGGTTGCATCTGAAGAAGTAAGGTTAAAAATCGACCTGTAGTTTTCATGGACAAATTATATTTTGAGAATCGAACTTGAAACTCATACATTTGTTTTCCTCATAGGCTCGTACTTTGAGTGTACCAGAGTCTTTACTATTCATATCAACGTTGGATGGGACAATGCATGCGGTGAAGAAACAGACTGGAGATGTTCGGTGGTCGCTTAAAGAAGGTGACAATAAATTTATCGTATCAGAAATTTGTGAGAGATATCAGCTGTTGTGTGTTTATTACACCGGAAGTTTTATTCTACTTTTAATCGCTCGTCCTTTCAAGTCAGGGACTTCATCTTACGAAGAAATGTTCTGATATTTTCATATAATAAGGAAAACATTTAGTGACAGTGTTAAAGCAATGTAGAGGGTTTTACCACGACGATTGATAGCTTAGATTTGGTTGTTCATGTATACAGTGTGCTACAGGTTCTTACATCAGATCGCGATCTCTAGCTACGTGTTTGAGAAGTTCACGGTTCTCTTCACTCAACTGAAGTATTCTATTACATCTGCTCTTCGTCGTAGTTTCTGTTCATTTTTTTTTTCGGTTAGTACGATTAAACAAGTAACTCGGTTCGATAGCGTTTTGCAAAATTCTTTTCGAATACAATCAAAGATTTGGTAATAGCTTTTTACATTTATTTATTCCAGAATGAGTGGAAATTTCGCCGTGTTCATTCTCAGATCTCCTCAGCTCGACTCGTGGTCTTTTTCACAATTACAAATCGATGAACAGGGAGAAAGTTTTCTTTATTTTAGGAGGAGGTGTGATGCAATATGAATTTATTATCCTTTTTTATTGTTTTGGAATAATACAAGACATTATTTATTCATTGATTAGTCTGGATCGTTTTAAAGACACTTCTGATTTTAATATTCTCCTACCAGCTGTTTTTCTGAATTTATCTTCCATGTGATTCTGATATATTCTGTTATCTTTTGTACAGCTAAACACACATCTAGACAAATTTGTTTGAGCTGGGATGATTTTTATAATGAAATTTTATCTTGGATCGCTCACAAAAATACACATTAAAGAGATTTGAAATTAAAATTAACGCTTTTCACTGCTTCATACAGACAAAGTGTTTGGGATATAAGCAAAATGCAACAAAAGGTTTCTGGTGCAGTAAATTTTACAGATGCTTACATTTTAAATTACCTCTTATGTTTTGAAACCAGAAGTTTTGCTCAATAAGATATAACCAAGCACCTGTAAATATCTTTTAATTCATATTATGTCCTTATATATTTTTTCTGGAGGAAAATTACCCCAGAATACAGAAGTCATAATTTCAGCCTGGAATTTTGCACCAAAAGGAAATGACCTTTTAAAAAAAATGTTTTCTTAATCAAGGTTTGCTTTTCCATTTAGTGCAGCTTGTCACTTTAAAAGCCAAATCTCTACATGAAAGGGAATCAACAAGAACACACATCTCTGATGTTTGATTTGGTCAATCAATGATTGTTTAATGACACCCATTTTATAAAATTTCACTTGCTAGAGCATATTCTAAAACTGGGCTTCCAGAAAGACAATTATATTGTTGTGCATTGTCTTTCTTTTACAGAGTCATGACAAATAAGGTTTAAGATACAGAGTATAGTTAACCTGTGCATTAACCCTTTAACCCCCAACAGTGATTAACATGTAACTTCTCCCTATGATATTCATACATTATTCAGCAAACGGGTAATGAGAATATTCAAACTTATCAGATAGAAGTCACTATCACTATCTAACACCAAATTCTAATTTGTAACTTATTTAAAAGGAAATGTGTTATGTGTTGCAACCAGAGGGGAGAAGTAACAATTAGATCTTGGGAATTAAAGGGTTTATAGAATGTATGAGGTACTGGTTAACTACTAGACAGAAGCCAGAGAGGATATAAACCAATTCATGTACTTCTTGTTAAGTATAAAGTGCAGATTATTCCCTGAAAAAAAAACTGAAATTGTTATTGATAAAATAGTCATAAGGAACTATGGCTAAAATAAATAACTATTGCTGGAGATTGATTGATCCTGAAGAGAGCACAGACTTTGGTTTAAATTTTACCTTGTGATATTTATTTGTTGATAGATTTCTGATTTATATAGACTAAATATCTGGAGATCTTGCAAGTCAGTGTTCCAATACTACATTTGCTAATTTTTCAAATTGTTTTCTTCTTTGTAGATGCTGTAATACAGACACCAGTATTTCTTCGCCCAGGGTAAGATCATTGTTTCCTTCTAACACACTCACTTGTAGTCATGCCATGCTAACAGGTCCAAAACTAGCACATCAAAAATCAAAATAACCTTCAAATTACACATAATGTGGTCCAGTGCAACTTATTAATTTGGAATAGAGCTATATGGCTATTCTTAAAATCTGTGATTGATTTTTGTGTGTTTTTTTGTTTTTAGTGCAATATTCATCCCTGATCCAAAAGATGGTAGTTTATATGCCTTTGGTAGTGCTCATGATGGTCTCAAGGTATAGGAACGTTCTATTATTTATATACATAATTATATGGCTTAGTATTTACCAAAAGTTGATAATGATTTTTATCTAAAATAATAATTCAAGTCTTAGCTGATTGGTTCAGAGGAATTTATTACAAACTCAAAAAGAAAACATTTTTATGTTAATTTCTGTAATATCTAAACCTAAACCTTAGTAATCATTACTGGCAAACTATTTTACAGGAAAATGAAATTCATTTTAAATCTGCAGATACCCCAATTTTAAAAAACAACAAGATCTCAACTTTGTTTTGCACCCAAATAAATGAAAAGAAGTAAATTAAATTCATTCTTACTGTATATCAGAAACTGCCATTTACAATACCTGAGTTAGTGCGGGCATCTCCTTGTCGAAGTTCTGATGGAATTCTCTACACAGGTAAGTTAATTTATTGAAACAATATTCATTTCTATGATCAATGATTGGTTATCATACATTCAAATGTAGTTATCTCTTGACATGTCATTTCAACCTGCAAGTCATTGGCATTTTCATTTTGCTGTTTATAAAACTGTCTGGAATTTTTTATTTGTCCATTCTGCTCTTCATCTTCTGCTATTGATTATTTCATGTGTTGTAAAAAAATTATTTTTACTATAGGTCGTAAAACAGATGTTTGGTATGCTATTGACCTGGACACTGGGATAAAACAACAAACCTTAAAGCTGGATGGAACAGAGACTGTTTGCCCCATGATGTCCAATAAGAGGGCTCCAGTATTTCTTGGTAGAACAGGTACATTGATTGATCTACATTTTATTTCTCCAAGTTACATCTGTTCAATATTCTTGCAAATTAAGAAGATGATTTATTTCAAGATGGTTTCATAACTGGTACACTTGTCACAAATTATAATTTAAACTAGAAAGTTCTCTTGAAACTTTAATTTCAATAAAGATTGTGAAATAACTAGTTTAAGAGGGCATCAATTTTGTAAGAATTAAGTATTGTTAAAAAAATAAGTAATTTTTTTTTCTGCCTTTTCATAGAATATATGATAACCATGTATGACAGCAAAAGCAGAGAAAAAAGGTGTGTAGCATTTGTGCCTGTATATCTTGGATGGTAAAATGGAAGAGATAACAAGTTACTTTATTTTTCTTGATTTTAGACATCTCTGTCTAACCTGCAGTTTATGTTTTTAATTTTATTGCAGATGGAATGCTACATTTCATGATTATTCTTCACATCTTGCCCAAGATGTTGACTACGGTAATCAATTTGTCAAATGGAATGGCCCCAACATTTTTCTACTCAGTAACAGCCCTTTAATTTTTCAGCACAGTTACAGATGTTTATGGCGCAAGAATTTGAGAATGCAAGTTAGAATATTTTTACCCATATTGAGTCTGATTGGATATTGAGAATAGCTTTTAATTGAAATGAGTTATATTAGGCACTCAAGTCAAAGTGTTAACATCCAATCAGGCTTTATATGAGCAGAAGTATTCTTGTTGTTCTTGCCATATCAGAGGGTGACCATTATTACAATCATGTTGATTTTTTTTAATTTTATTATCTATGGTGTGAATCTTTTTTGTTAGATCTTCATCATATGTGTTCTAGTTCTGATGGTTTCATGGTTACCATGGACGCATCAACAGGTATGTACGATGAAAGGAATTCTCCTCACATGAAAATAGTTAGTAAGCTAAACTTCCTCTACCACAAATTCCCCCAACAAGTATCTCAATTTTTAAGGAGGGTTATTTTGTACAGTTGATGTGTAAAATACATTTTATCTAGGCATATGTGATAAATAGCAGAGTCAGTATAGTTATGATTGAACCAGTATTTACTAGATAACCTCATTTTAGTGGGTTAGTTTGTAAGTGACTGTTAAATATCATTCTGTTTTATTCTTTTCTTTCAGGAGAAATTTTGTGGACCAAGAATTATGGCTCCCCTGTAGTGGGAATTTACAGAATGGACAATGAAGCCTTGCTAAAAGTTAAAGTCAATCACATAGCTAAAGAGACATTGAAACATCTTATTGGGGCAAACACTTCAAGCTCTTCACACCAAAACACTTTCCTTGGAGATGGTGGAGAAATAGTTCTACAGTAAGAGAAGTTAACAGGAATTCTGAGCTCGTAGCTTCTTATTTAAATCTTTGACCCCTAAGAGTGATTTGCATCTAATATCTCCTTACAATAATAAGAAGACTCAAGGAACTCACCAACTAAAGAAGCTCTTGACTTTTAAGCAAACTCTCCTTGTCTGCACCTTAGGAAATGTATAGAGAACAGTATGGGAAATATGCATACCATTCAGTTTTAACTTTCTATTGGCTTCACTCTTCATTTCCTCTTCCTTTTTTGCGACCACCTATTTCAGGTTGGGCAGGTGCCTACTTCAAATGCCCTTGAGAACCCAGTGCATGCTATATGTATTTGGTATTGAGGTGTATCATTTTCTTCTCCTGTAGGCCAACATTGTACATTGGGGAACATGCTGGGGGATTGTATGCTCTTCCATCACTGGTTGAAGAAGGATCGCCATTAGTTGAGGTATTGGCTGCAATGATGGCAAGAATTCCTTTTAATATTCAAATACTTGATACAGCAAGTTTACATCTCTTATTCTTTTTTCCAGGCAAAAGTTTTATTGATTGAAGGCCCAAGATCAGGTGTTCCTAAAACAGTAAACCCAACCAAGTCCAGTGATGCAGTATCTGCCAGAGAACATTCTGCAAACATTTCTCCTCCAGTGCGGCGGCCTGTACAGCAGCCCAAAGTGTTGGAACCCAAAGCTGCATTGCTTCTGGGACACCATCAAGTTCCGCTTGTTGCCAACCCTCAATTGCATATCACTCACATTCCTGATAAACTGATGCCAATGTACATGCATCATCATCATCTACACAACATGAAGATGACGCCAAAGAGAATTGAAAAGACAAATGCTAGAGAGGAAGACAGACGACATCAACAGGAGATGTTTGAGATGATGAAAATTCACCAGCGACTGCTATACACCATTATAGCCACTATTGGAATACCTGTGGTCTTACTAGTTGTGTTTTTTATTGAGGTACGCATAGTGTTACATGCAATGTGATCTGCAATTGTATCTAAAACATTGAAAGGCATACATTGCACTAGGATTTTCAAATGTTATGTATATCAAAGATATTCATCTGGTCTTTGTGGCAATTTTTTTAAAACTAGCCCAAGCTTTAGTAACATGTTTATATTTTATCTTTGCCTTGCAGAGGTCAACAAGACAGTCTGCTATTTCATCAAAAAGATCTTCACCCCCTTCCTCATCATCATCATCATCTTCATCATCCCAAAGAGTCCATGAGCAAAATGCAGAGCAATCACCTGAGGTTTTAAGTAAGTTCAGCTTGAATAAATGAAAATTCCACCTTAAGTTGTCTCCCTGGCAGAATTAGTGTTTTTCTGATAACTTTCCCTACCATTGGTAGATGCTCTAACCATGGGTCACAAGGACCTGTTAGCAAGAACTACCCAGGTAAAAATATAAGGTGGGATCCCGCCAATCCCACCTGGGATCCCATGTGTGTCCCAGGTGGGATCCCGCCTTTTTCAGGTGGGATCCCGGGTGGGATTATGGAACATCCCGCATGGGATCCCGGGTGGGATTATGGAACATCCCGCATGGGATCCCACCTGGGATTATGGAACATCCCGCATGGGATCCCGGGTGGGATTATGGAACATCCTGGGTGGGATTATGGAACATCCCGGGTGGGATTATGGAACATCCCACATGGGATCCCACCTGGGATTATGGAACATCCCACATGGGATCCCACCTGGGATTATGGAACATCCCGCATGGGATCCCACATGGGATCCCGCCAATTGAAGTTGGGATCCCACCTTAAATTCCTAATAGCATCCCACCTGGGAAAGCACATCCCAGGCAGGATTAAACCTAGAATCCCACCAATCCCTCTTAGGATCCTGCCTCAAATTTCAGATAGTTTCCCACATGGGAAATCATATCCCAGGCAGGATTGCATCTGGGATCCTGCCAATCCCAGTTTAGACCCTGCATAAAATTACAGATGGATTCCCACTTTCAGAAAAATCCTTTGAGGGATCCTGTTTATCACTGGAGACCACAGATTTATGAAATGTACTAGATAGGATATCTTAAAATTAAGAGGATAAAATTTTCTAGGTGAGCTATAGACCCCATCAATCCACTGAGGGTCCAAAACTTTCCAACTAGCTATAGAACATACTGACACCTCCAATGGGATCCCATTGTCTTACCAAGCTGTTGATCATAAATGATTCAAACAGTACATGAATACACAGACTATATGTGATAAAGATCTCATAATTTATTTGCAATGAACCAGCATGTGTTTGACTTGTTTCATTAACAAATTTCTTAACCGAACATTCTCAAAGAATAACAGCACAACTCAGCATATTACTTTTTCTTCATCATTTAAGCAGACCATCTACAGTGTAATAAGGCTCAACGTTTAAAAAAATTGGCTGTTGTGTATCAAAGAATAAAAGAAAGACAAAACCTCAATAATTCATGTTATCAAAATTTTGACAAAGGTACTGATTGAAAGTCTGCTCTCTCTTCAGTCGAATTTTTCAAAGCAAAGCAAGGTCAGAATGTTCCCAAATGTGACTAAAGTAATCTTGAAACCTTACTCATAGATTTATTTCATTGTAAAGTGTAAGCTTAGGAAACTGCAGTATGCAAGCGACCAATTCGATTCTCAGAATTATTTGAGTTTCAGTTGCGCTGAGTGTTAGGTAAGCTTAATTCAAGCCGTTATTTCTATTCTTTGATAAGATTTTGATCACGTAACGAATATGGCAATTTGTACTCACCACAAACTTCTAAAAATCCTAGCTTTAAATGGCCACTCGATCGTTGTTTGAACCAGTCGATATGTCAACTATTAATTGTCCCTTCTTTTAAGTTCACGGCGCCAACGACTTTCTTTTCATTTAAAACACTCACGCTGTTCTCGTTTTCCCATTAAACCACAATAAAACCAATCTTTAGAAGTGTTATATTAGGCAAAACAGTTGGGAAAAGAAACAACTTGAAGCAAGAGCGGTTAACCGATGAAAAGTACATTCAAAGATGAGCGCCAAATGGAGTTTTCTTTGTTTCCGATTACGGGCATGATCACGTGGACCTTTTAGCAAAGAGAATCCGCTGGCTTGACCCATTGCAGTCTCAAGAGAAGGGCGCAACATTATTCTGTCTCTTCTGACCGGTTCTCCTTTCTTAGATGGTGGATACCTTGGATTCATGTTTTGATGATGACATAAATAATGATGTGAATTCACTCTATGTAGAAATAATCGACAAGAATCGAACAAGAATGCAAGATTTGTGGCCGAAAGTTTTCGAGGAAAGAAAGACTCGAAACCCACTTGAGTTATGTTCACGGCGAAGGTGACAAACAACACAAGCCAATAACATTAGGAAGTATAAGAGATACCTAGATGATCCCAGTGTACCAGTACCCAAATCAACAAGGCTTGACCACAACAAGCGTTCAGCAACACGTTTCAACACAGCTAGCCATCTCGATTCCTCAGTCGGTCTTTCCAGTGAACTAGCAGAGGTGCCAACAGAGTCAAGTGCGTCTCATAACGGAGAAAACATTTGCACGAGAGACAGAAGCAACTACATGCGATTACAGAGGTGCATTGGAATTCTCGTCTGCAAATGGTTATGCACAGTCCGAAGCGTTACCGAGCTTGGAAAGGGGTGGAGAGAACGAAGATACAAGGTTGTCATTTTATCCTACAAGTACAATTTTATACCAGACCTACAAGGTATAGAAAAATTTTGTTGATCTCTGACTCAGAGAAGAACAACAAGTAAACTTTAGAGCTGTTATTATTAAACTGTGACTTGCACTTTTCATTTGTATGTAAAGAAGGAATTGTATTTTGCACCAAAAATATAAAGAAGTAATATTTTTTAGGAGGTCCAGTGATTGGGACATTTAAGAAATTAAGTTATGAAAAGAAACTCGGTTTGTACTTCTCACTACTAACAAGTCTTGTTTTAAAAATATTTTCAGATCAGAGTTTCAAATAAAGCAAATTGAAGAAGTCATTTAAAAGGTGTATTTTCTCAAAGGGAACAGTGACCACCTCTGTCTTGTCTGCATGCCAAATATTTGCGGAGTGTGTGGATGATCCATAAGAATTGGAACTCTCACAAAAACGTTTTGTAAGAATAAAAACAGCAAAACAATATTTTCGTAGCTGGGATAAAGAATCCCAGGTGGGATATGTAAATCCCGACCAGGATCCCTGGTAGAATGCAAAAGTCCCACCTAGGATCCCGGGTGGGATGCAGGAATCCCGCATTAAATGCGGGATCCCAGGTGGGATCAAATTTTCATCCCAGGTGGGAAAGGTGGGATCCCACCACCTAAGGCGGGATCCCGCCATTCCCACCTGGGATCCTGGGTGGGATTGCCGGGATCCCGCCTATATCCCGCCTGACATTTTACCTGGGTAACTTCATATACGTTGTGGGTCTGGTGCATAGTATCTTGAGTGGCAAAAGAGAAGAAAATGAGGAATTTTTATCTGACTGTCGAAGCACTAAATAAATCCTTTGACTCCCAGTCTTCCACTCTCCTCACTGTTCCTATGATTTTAAGTTTTGCTTTAAGAATTCTCTCATCACCTTTTTGCCAAACTTTGTACTGATATCATAGGGAGATGTTACATATTGTAAATTGCTGGTAAGGAGTCGTCATCTAATTGTTACAAATATGGGACAAAAGAGAAATCAATCAGTGTTTCCTTAGAATTTTGCCAACATTTTACAAGTAACAGGTTAAACGTGTCCTTGGGGTTTAAATGGCAGAAAAAGTGAAAGATAATTTTGCTGGCGAATCTTGCTAATTTTTTCTTTTGCGCAACAGGTAGGTTAGTGTCTGTGGGAAAGATCTCCTTCTCTCTTAAGAACGTTCTTGGTCGAGGCTGCGAAGGAACAGTTGTCTACAAGTAAGTCGTTTTCTGTTTTTTTCCTCACAAGCTGGGAGAACTTTATCTTCATTTGAGTGTGTTGGGACAAACTTCTATCTAACTTTATTTGACTCGTGTTTTGTTTTTTCAGGGGTAAATTTGATGGCCGCGATGCCGCAGTTAAACGCATTTTACCAGAATGTTTCACTTTTGCTGATAGAGAGGTTTGTCATTTTCAGGATCCATTTCATGACGTCATTGTGACATTTTAAGAGGTTTCAATAGAGAGGAAAGTGGTAAAATTTGACAGAAACATAGAGTTAGGTAGCTTTCGATGAAAATAAATAGATCTGGATATAAGAGATCCACGCAGCTATAAACACTACTGAACTAGTTGTTGAAATAAGACCTGAAAAAAATTCAGGCCCGTACGGGATTTGAACCCATGACCTCTGCGATACCGGTGCAGCGCTCTACCAACTGAGCTAACAATCCAGCTGGGATATATATGCAGTGCACAGACATGTCCCAGTTGGCTTGTTAGCTCAGTTGGTAGAGCGCTGCACCGGTATTTTGGTGATTTTCATATATCTACAATAAATTAATCTCTTTTTATTACTTTTTTGTCTAGGTGGATCTATTACGTGAATCAGATGCCCATCCAAATGTAATTCGGTATTTCTGTACGGTAAGTCGCCTGTAAACCGTTTGACTCTCAAGCGCGTCTTCCGCGCGTCATTTATTAAGCTAACGATGTCTGAAAGGCATCCGTAAGTTTGAAGCGTGTTAGTGCTAAGACAATGCTTGACCCAAAAACTACATAACCAATCAAAAATCACTTTATCTTTGTGAAAAGATGCATCACTGTACATTTGCAATATTTTAGGAAAAAATCGTACCTTTGAGTTAGGAAGGAGGAATTAGTCTCTGTATCGGCTATTTATTTAGGGATTATGTTAAATGATTAATAATTTTTTATCTTTACATATAATTTTAGGAAGAGGATCAGCAATTTCGCTATATCGCCTTGGAATTATGTGAAGCTACCCTTCAGGAGGTAGGCCTATATCAACTTCAAATTTTGGGAAGTGTCCTTCATTCTAATGACGTGATGAACTATATTCAGTAAATATAGAGCTCTTTTCTTTTTTCAGTATGTTGAAGATCCGACTTTTGAGCGCCATGGACTAACACCTGTAACTGTACTGAATCAAGCCATGTCTGGACTCACTCATCTTCATTCTCTTAACATTGGTAAGAATCTGATCTTGTGAACCTCTTGTGATCTCGTTACTTTTTGTCCCTTTTGGATGTTAACAATTACCTGAGTTATGTCAGGAGAAAGTGCTGGTTAACTTTTCTTGGAGCTAAAGGTTAGATAAAGCTTGAAGTTGCTATATATGTATGTATACATTTATGTATAAAAAATATTTACATATAAACTTTCTGCTCCAAAAAATAAAATTGATAAATAGATGAAAATAAATAAAATATTTTAGAATGATTACATGATTAAATAACACATGACAAATAAACACAAACATAAAAAGTTCGTGAGTTAGTATAATTTTGCGATTCTGATATGAACTGATTTGCAACGGTGAATATTTTGGTCTCTTTCTGGAAATGAGCCTAGTATTGTTTACTCAATTACAGCCAGTGAGTGACATTGTCAATTGTAGATATGACTGACTAATCTGTGGGTGAAACTTTAAATAAGCAAACTCTGTCTTTAATGATTTGGCCTCTTGTCAAACAATTGATAAATATATTTTCTATTTCAGTTCATCGGGACATCAAACCACACAATGTTCTAATTTCTAAGCGATCCGTGAGCGGTGAAGTGAAGGCCATGATATCTGACTTTGGGCTTTGTAAGAAACTGGCGTACGGGCGGAACTCGGCCACTTGTCAAACAGGTGCTATAGGTACAGACGGCTGGATAGCGCCTGAGATGTTTAAACCTGACAACAAAATGGTAACTGAATGCATAATTACGATCAGTTTAGAGAGATAACGAGTAGTACCGTCATTAAAGAACACTCAAGATTTTATTCTCTATGCATTCCTCGAAATACACCTGGTTGAAGGTAAACCAAGGATGTCTCAATTCTCCCCACTCTCTGGCTGAAAGCCCCACTTCATCATTCAGGTCCCAGTTGCTCAAGGGCAGATAACGCTATAGCCTATAAATCGCTATCCAGTGGATAAGTGTCAACAAAACGTACTGCACCATCCACTGGATAGCCATTTGTCTTGTGAATATCGCTATTCACCCTTCGAACAACTAAGCCTAGGAGGTTTTAAAAATTTGAATGGTATGGTGGCTGGAAAGGCCATCTAGTTCTTCCATCGGCTTTAGTTTTCAAGAACTCGATTAAAAATCGCTCTCTAATCTCAGGCAAGTTTCACACAACTCAAACACTCTTATTTAACTTTATATTTGATGTCTTTTCTCTCTCTAGAAATGTTCTGTGGACATCTTTTCTTCGGGTTGTGTTTTTTACTACGTGTTAAGTGGAGGTCTCCATCCGTTTGGTGATCAGTACAGACGGCAAGCTAACATAGTAGCGGGAGATTTTGATGTAGAGAAGATAATTAATTGTGAATGTAAGAAACTTCAACCATTATAGTGTTTGATGAGATTATTTGGAAATTGACTTCAAATTCTACTGTTTCAATTAAGTAATATGGATTTGGATCAAGAAGCAGGAGTCGTGAAATAAATAAAGTGACTGTTTTAGAAATCTCAGAATGTAACCTTCTATACATTTAATGACAACTATACAAGCATGTGTACTCTTTGCTTTGGCCGTTCCATACGCTCATCAAAATTTTTCTGGACACCTTTTTTCTTTTATGTCATTTCTAAGGTTGTTTCTGTGTTTGTTACATATGCGTGAATTTTCTTTCCCTTCTTTTGCAGTGGTCACAGAAGCTAAAGATTTAATAAGAATGATGTTAAAACCCTGTCCTTCGGAGAGGTAAGGAACATTTTGGTCAAGATGGTGTATAAAAGTTAACGTACTATCTCTAATGGCTGGCAACGTGAGTGGATGGATTAAGTGAATCCTTTGTTCTTATCAGTTACCGATCGTGAAATATGGGTCTTTCATGTCCTCTCGTAATTCCATACTGTTTTCGGGCAAGAGCAACATATCTTGTGTCTTCTCTTGACCATGTAAAGATGACCGAACAACCTTGAGTCCATTATGGCTGAATATTGACCCCGTTGTGAACTTGGATATTTTACTTAGATATTACCGGGGAATGCTAAGCAGTAATATGTTTTTTTTAGTTTTCTGTTTCATCATCTCTGATGTCTTCCCTTGGAATCTGCAGAATTGAAAAATATCATTTAAAAAAGAATTCTAATTTTTGTAGACCTTCAGCGAAAGAAATCCTGAAGCATCCATTCTTCTGGAGCAGAGAAAAACAGCTTGCATTCTATCAGGTAGGAACAAACTCCTTTGCAATCGCCTACCCTTAGATACTTCGTGTATAATCGTGACAATTATAAGAAGTCATACCCCACCTCCCTGAACGAACACATCGATGTTATCAGCCACGCTGCAAGGAATGCAGTTTTGACGTGTTCTTGTTATTTTATTCCAGGATGTCAGTGATCGAATTGAGAAAGAGTCAGAAGAATCAGAACTATTAGTGCTATTACAAAAGGATTCCATTCCTGTGGTGCGAGGGGACTGGAAAGTACACTTAGGAAGCGAACTACAAGAAGGTGAGTACAATGAAAGAAACTGGAAACGAAAAAGGTTTGCTAGCAGCTGGTTCCATCTCAGTGATCTGTTGCTTCAGATCGGTGCTTACAAGTTTTGTTTTATCTTTTTACAGATCTTCGCAAATTTAGGACTTACAAAGGCTCCCATGTTAGGGATCTTTTACGCGCTATGCGGAACAAGGTAAGCGTAATGATGGTGTCTGCTGCTTCAGTTTTGGTTATTTTCTGTCCTGAAGAGATGTAGATCTCAATTTAGGCTCAGTTCAACACATTTATCCCCTTTCTTCGTCGAAAGAAATAAATGCAAGTTGAAATAACGACTTCTCCTTTAGCACGGAGATCTTTCGTAAAGAAAAGAATATTTACATCTTCTCTCTGTAAGTTCCTCTGCGTGTTACGAGACTTCACTGTAATGTGTATGTAGTACATATACGAAAAAGAAACCTGTTGGGTACTTCTCGCTAGTTCCTTTTGCATATAGGTCTATTAGCTTTCATAAATTTTAATTTTGTATTGTTGTTATTTATTTTGACAGAAACATCATTACCGTGAATTACCTGATCACGTGAAGGAAGCGCTCGGCTCTGTTCCTGATGGTTACATGCGTTACTTCAGCTCCCGCTTTCCGCGCCTTCTCATGCACACATACAACGCTATGGCCTCGTGTAAGAGCGAGCCTGTGTTTCAAACGTACTTCTCTCACAAAGAACCCCTCGCATAGATTATCTTTCTCTTTTTTAATACTTTTCACCTCTTATTAACTTAAAGCTTACAGACTCCTCTGGTCGTAGCTCAAGTCCAAGAAGACTTGGAGACTTGGGACTGCCTCTTAATAGAAATGTTCCCAATAGCTACTTACGTTGCATCGTGACACCCCATCCCCTTTCCTCTCTCTCTCTCGCTCTTTTTCTCATGTTAACCTTGCGTGACACTCAAACTTGTTTGTGTTATATTGTTACGGTGGTAAAGAATACTTTGACTCGAGTATCGAGGTGTTATTTGATATTTTTCCATTGTTAATGGGAGATGAACATGAAATATATATATATGTATATTATTTTTGAAGAAATGTTTGAAGTAAAAAATCCTTGTCCGAGTCATCATCCTTTTACGCTCCAACGGAGCCTCTGAGCAAAAAACATAGAATGAAAATGTTCGATGTATTTATTCTGCGGAGAACCCGGCATTGTACATTATTTAACGTAAATTCGGAATATAGTTAAGTAAAATATTTTGTAATCGTAGTATCCAATACATCCATTCACAATTCAAAATCGCTTTGTGAAGAATGAGTTTGAACAATAAAAGATTTGAATTTATTACAGTTCCTTTAGTAATAAGTAACCGAACTCTGAAAAGGATGCTTTGTGTAGAATACACCGAGCAGTTCGTGCACTTTAGTAAGGATTTTGAGCGAACAACGCTGGCTGTGTGTAGATCAGAAGTGTATTAAGCTTAAGCTTTGCACTAGATTATTGTTCTCCAATCTCTGGGGGCAGGAAGAAAGGGTGGCCTTCAATAATGGGACTCTACAGATGACGTATCGGAATGAAGAACTCGCTGATTAGTAAAGGAGGTGAGTTTCTGATGAAACTATGCTGCTGTGTGGGTGGGAGAGTATAACAAGGTAATTTGGTATCATCAACTAAGTTGATAACGTAAATTGGCCAACATAAAGAGTTTAAAAACTGACATTTCGAGCGTTAGCCCTTCGCCAAGGCGAAACAGTGCACGAGCGACTGTGCATGTCATGAATACCATAAGTGTTAAAAGCCTCCCTCCCCCCCTCCGCAATGTGTTGTTCTTTTGTTCAATTTCTTGCTTGTTTTAATAACTTCGTCGCTAAGTCAAAACCAAAGACGAGTTTCTTCGTATAGCATGAGATTTTAATCAATATTGAAACATTAATGTAGATACACAGAAGACCCATTTTCAGGGCCAACGCACACATAACAACACATGAAACAAACGCACATGTAAGCGATAAAACTACAAAAAGAAAAACGCTGATGCATTGTGATTCTTAGTTCATGATCACAGTTCAGACTGAATCTCCCCCTCCGTTCAGCAGGCCAGGGGGAAGGAATGTCGTCATGGAAGGGCTTACAAGCCCGTCTCCTGATCCTGACTGAGGCTCCACATCACGTGGGACTCCAGCTGGAAAGGACCACATACTGGGTACTTGGGAAAAGTTCCCCCCAAGGGCTGTTTGCTGCGAAGGGCCTGTACCCCACAAGTAAGACGGTGCTGGTGCGTGTCCATGTGCACTACCCCATGGTACACTGGGAGCTGCAGTGTTAGGCTTTGCCCCAGGCTGTTCGCTTCCCTGTGAGCCGATTACCCACTGAGGGCTGGGGGCATTGACTTTGGGCTGTTCGCCAGTAACAAGGCCTTGCGAGGGCGAGGGCAGTGTCCCTATCGTAGATCCCCACTGCATTCCAGGATTGGGGTTATTTACTTTTGGGATGGGCTGTTCAGTGCTTGATACTCCGGGTGGAACCTTGCCAATCGGTGCTTTGGTTGTAGATTGAATATTGTCCGAAGTTGCCGCAGAACCAAGCACGTTCTGAAAGGACCACTGATTACCGTACGTGTTGCTGGGAAATGGGTTTGCACTCCAATCCATGGTTTGCTCAAAGAAGCTACCGATGTCACTGTCTGTAGCGAAGTCTGCTGCCACCTGGGAGCCAACCAGCATCATGCCATTCAACGCTGCCCTCGCTTTTGCCGCTTCTTCCATGCTGCCGTAACGAATCAAGCTGTTCCCATGGCGAAGATTCAACTGAAACGTGAGCAGTGGCCCATGCCTCTCGCACATAGGACGGAGGGTCTTGGGATCCATCTGCAAGCGAGACAAGATCATTAAACGATTGTCATAAGTTCCTCTTTCTGCTAATTCTTCGATACAGTCAGAAATGTCATGTTAATCACGTAAGGAACTAGACCAGACTGTATGGCTACTCACTCATGATACTAATATTATGACTTGTCTCTGTGGGGAAAAAAGATAGTTGCCAAGAATTTTCCATTACATTGCCTTAACTGGCTTTCAGATCAAAGAAAGGATTTTAATGGACTCGACAACGTAAGAGCAAAACTCACCCTTGGTGACAAATTTCGCAGTACCAGCCAAGTTGACATGGAATTGACAGCAGTTCTAGAAGGAGCAACACCGCTAGATGCAGATACAGGGGGGACAGAAGTCCCAGGTAAATTCCCTGATAGCTTCTCCTCAGCACTTGGTATGGGTTGATTCGTTGACCAGATGATCCCTGAGTTTTGCAAAGATGATGGCTCGGTTGTGCTCACACTTCCACTACGGTTTTCACTTGTTGCCATAGTTACAGATGATGCCGACGATGACAGAGTAGGAGCAGGACCCCCGACAGCAGCCCAAGGTTGAGGGTTGGGTGTCAAAGGACTAAACGGCTGCGTGCTGCTATCTCTTGGACTCCATGGTGTTGAACTGTTCGCAAACCCAAAGCGACTGAACTGAAACTCAGGCTGGGTTTTATCGCCTCCAAGACTGGAACCATCTATTAAGCTTTTCAACCAAGCAGGGGGCTCTTCGTCAAAGAGAGGGGATTCAGGTAAAGTGGTGTCAGATCCCAACCCAGGGGGAGGTCTCAACAGTGATGCAGCACTGGATCCTGCAGATCTACTTGTCGCTTGTGCAGGTTGGGCAGGGGCTTTATTGCCTAGCCATGGGGTTGAGCCTACGCCAAAGTCGATTTGACTTGACTCAAATGTATGGTTATTGATCAACAGTCCTGAGAAGGAAGAACTTGCAATGGTAGTGACAACATTGTCTGCTACCTTTACATTGCTTCCAAGTTGTGCGCTGCTGGGCGCACTGACAGTTTGGTTTCCCAAATTCGACCAGCTATCTGATGAGGAGTCAATAGTGGAAGATGGACGACTGGAGCTTTCCACGGTGTTGGGAGAAACACTATCTCTCACTTCATCTCTTTTGTCAGATTTTGGAGCAGGGCGCCATGGTACACCTGGTTTAAATTCAGGTGGGTCAGCAGACAGCTTGGGACCAGCGTCCACACCCCACCTGCTTGAAACTGGATCAGGAATTCGTGCCCGTGGAGAAACATTGTTGCTGTTTGGAGCTGAGGAATCAGATAGGTCACTGGTTGAAATGGATGGAGCTGATACGACACTGGTTAGCACACCTGAAGATGATTGTGAAGGAGCTGATATTGTCTGAGCTTTGGAGTCCACTGAGGCTGGTGTGCTGCTAGTGACGGAGGACTGAGTGACTGGTGCTGATGAAGGTTCATGTAACAATGGCTGCTTCCACTGTGTGAGCCTAGACTGAGTAACAGGGGAAGGTTGCTTGGGTTGTTCTTCTGATGTCACAGGAGAAACTGCAGATGGTTCGCTGGGCTGAGACTTAACAGTGTCTGCTGTCTTGCTCGTTGGTGCCTCTGTTGCTGGTTTGTCATTGGTTGCAGCTTTATTGCCCTTCTGTTGTGCATTAGGTGACTGCTGTTGCTGCTGCTGTTGCAGTAGAGATTGCTGCTGTTGTTGTTGTTGTACTGCAGTAAACGGCAATGCAGGATGTCTCCCGGCCAGCCCAGGCTGTTGCTGCAGAACTTGCTGTTGCATCTGAGCAATCATGAGTGCAATCTGCTGTTGTTGTTGATACAATTGTTGTTGAGGCACTACCTGTTGTTTCTGTCCTAAGTGTTGCTGAGCAACAGACTGTGCAGCCAGGCGCTGTTGAACGAGCTGAAGTTGAGCTATCTGCTGCAGCATAGCAAACTGCTGAGGGGTGAATGGAGGCTGAAGAAGACCTCCCTGAGCCATTCTCAGCTGCTGCAGATGTAACTGTTGTACAAACTGAGGATGAAGTAATGGATGAGCAAGTGTTGGTCTCAATGGGCCCTGTACCCCTGGGCCTGGGGCAGGAGGTACTACTGGTGGACCAGATCTTTTGCCGTTGCTAGGCAATTGCGATTGCCCATTTGTGGGCTTTACTGCCCCAGCTACAGATGATGGAGGTTTTTCAGGTTTTGTTGTGCTCGTGGAAGTTTTTGTTTTAGAGTCTTGTTGTACTTCATCCGTTTTAGAAGTTGATTGAGTTTCTGAAGTCTTGTTTTGTTGTTCACTGGCAGGTTTAGTAACAGATTCACTGACTTGAGTCACAGACTTTGAAACCGCGACCTCATTTTGTCCTTGCCTTTGTTCAGTTTTTGATTCAAGAGTTTGTTGCTCGGCTTGCTGTTGCTGTTGAAGTTTCCTTCGTTGTTTGCGGTTTAGTTTACCTTGACCTTGCTGCTGTTGCTGTTGGATTCTTGCTGCTTCTGCAGGATCAGGCTCTTGGAGTTTTCCACTTGGAACTGATACAGACTGTTCCCTGTTTTCACTCATGTTCATGGCAAGTAGGTCCCCTGAAAGCACGGCAACAGATAACGTTATGAATGTTATGTCTGACCTTCTGATCAAAATCAGTTAACTAACTCTTAGCTACCAGTTGGGTGATATTGTTTTGATATACCAAATTCTTAACACAGGACATCACAAAACTCTAAGGTAAGCAGTTGGGAGAATCTGTTCACATATCTTTGAAGTAAAAAAGCGTAACGTCTGGAGAACTGAATGTGGTGTGGGATAAAGTTCTATACTATGGAAGGGAGAGTGGTGGAGACCAAAAAAATATATATTGGGAAAGGAATACGCAAAAACCAGTTGAGCCACAAATGGATTGGTGTAAGAAACATAGGCAGACAATGTGTGACTGGTCACAACTTACTTATCACCTATTCCAGAATTTCGATCCCCTTCATAATTTTCCTTTTTTATAAATTCACTTTACCTATTTCAAACGTTTTCAAGTGGAATTCCCCACGAAAATCTTCTTAAACATTAACCCACTGGATTTTTCAAGAACCGCAAACCAATTCTGAACTTTTACATTAAAAGAGACCCTATAATAAAATAATGACTGAGAATCATACCTATTGCACTCTCGATGTTCATATGATTTGCCTTCAAAGCTTTTTCAGCATCCTCTTGCTGCGCAAAATAAGAAACATAATGGTAAAAGGAAACCATTTCAGCTGAGACAATCAAAATTGTCTGTACTTTATATAGTTCTACACCTTGGAAATACATTTCAAAACCCGTGTATAGTTCGAAAAGAATGTTCTCAAGTTCTCAAATAAGATTAACACGCATCAACTGCATGAATATGCATAGGAGATCACTCACCTTGAAACCCATGTCTAACAGTTGTTTGAGAGATCTGTTCATCCACGCATTTGAGTCATTAGCTGGTTTGGGAGCCTAAAACATTTTGAGAGTAATGATAAT